ATCCCTCCCCTTCATTCTCTTACTCCCTCCCTTGAGTGGGGGGATTGTATCTACAGTCTGCATCTGATCTTTAGAGGTTGCAGTGGAATTCTGTATCTACAGGGATGACTTGTTGTGGGCTCTCCCACACTGGAGGTATTCGAGAGGCAGTTGGACTGCATCCAAAATGTGATCCTACAAGGTGAACCGGCTTGTGAGAGCTAGGCCAACAGTGGTAGTGCTGGGTGGAGGGGATGGGGGGATGGCTGACCTTTATCAGTGGAGAGCTTACCTGCATACAGGAGTAAGTTTCCTGCAAGATTGCAGGGGAGTGGTGTATTGCAGTGTTACAGCAATATGTTTTAGATAAGACACAGCATTCACATATGACAGAGCAGGTTGGAGGAAAATGGTTGCAGCAGTTATAAATTACAACATGTATCACACCTTTCTTTACCTATCTGTATGGTGTGCTCTGTCCTGACATCTCCAGGTTTTGGAGCAGGCTTGGGTGTTTCTATTTAAAGTCCCAAGATACCTGATAAGGTTTTACCAGGAAATGCTAGCAAGTTCCTTGATTTCTGTGGGGGTTTGTGAGACTAGGTTCTTTTATGCAAGATGCTCCTCTATGTGCAAAATGCCCTTTCCTCATAATTACGTTACTGATGGTTTCTCTTGTCAGTGATAAGTGTGTGAAACATGGGTCTAGGAATGGACCCTAGAGGGGACTCTGAGCCAGTGTCCCTGCAGAAGCCCCTAGGGCACCATGGCTACCCTTCTTCCCAGTTCTCCTGTTGCTATCCAGCATGCTTAGTTGGCAGTCATGCTCTCTTCTATGTCCCAAATCATAGAATAGTATAATTGGAGGGGGCCTGTAAGACTGACAAGTCCAACCTCCTGCTCAAAGCAAGACTCTAAGATAAAGCATCCCTGACAGATGGCTGTCCAACTGCCTCTTCAATGCCTCCAGTGTGGAAGAGCCTACAACCTCCCCTGAGTAATTGGTTCCATTGCTACACTGCTCTAACAGTCAGGGAATTTTTCCTGATTTCCAGTCAGAATCTGGCCTCATGTAATCTGAGCCCATTATTCCATGGTACTCTAGGATGATTGAGAAACGAACCTGGTCCTCCTCTGTATGACAGCCTTTCAAATATTTGAAAATATTTGAGGCTAAGCATGCCCAGTTCTTTCCATTTCTCCTCATAACACTTTGGTTACAATCCTCTGATCATCTTTGCCACCCTCCTCTGAACTTTTTCCAGTTTGTCTTCAGCGGTTCAGCTACTGGTTGTTGATTTGAAATTTGAGTTCAACCAGAAGTGAGAAGGGACCACACGGGATAACCATGTTGTATTGTTCCCCTCCCACCTCCTCCCACCTGAGCATCTTTTTTCAAAATAGCAGCTGACTACTCAGTCACTGCTAACCTTTCTTCAAAAACCGCACTTGAAACCATGCAGCTGCCTTTTAAAGTGCTTTCCCCTTTGTTGCAAAATTCGAACAAGCATTTTTTGTGGAGAAAGCAGCAGTAGTCCAAGTATCATCAGAGTTAGTCCAAGTATCATCAGTAGTCCCTATTTATAGACTAAATATGTCTGTGTATTATGTGTAGATTTCCATCATAGTCTATGCTGTGTTTTGGGAAGATGGATGGAGTGGTCACTGCTATCAGGGAGGCTAACTTTGGGTTTTTTCCTTTCTCACTGGAGCCAATGAAGTGGAAATTCTTGACAAGGAAATAATAAATAAAAGGAGTCAGGTTGGACCTGCAACAAACCGTTACAGCATGGAGTGCTCCCTGATCAAGACTCCAACCCCTCCATTCCATTTCACGTCCTAGCCTGGGTTTCCTGGAGTCTGCACTGTTGTGCATGGGTGCTGCTGCCTTGATTACATAAATGCAAGAACAAGAATAGTTGCAATCAATGTTATTAAATATGATAAAAGCTCCTTCCAAGGGTTAAAACTATACCCACCAAGCACAGAAAATCACAAACTCTGATTCCTTGTCTTACTCTGTTAAGTCTTGATGGGTCCAAAAGCAAAAAGAACCACAAAGCTCATTGTAAAGCTAAGTAGAAGGCTTCTGCCAAGAATTCTTTCTTCATAACTGATAGTTGGATGCGCGCTGTTTTTCCCACTTTAGAAGTGTTTATTGCACAAGTCCTTAGACCATGACAGAGTAAAACAAACATATACAATGCATTAGTCATAGTATATGAAGAGTGATTAGAGTTAGCATATAAAACTAATATATTAAACATCCTCAAAACAGGTTACTATTACTAAAATGCAGATAGAATAAGCCATTTACAGGTGGAAGGACTATTGGGCCACAATCATATTTTCCAAACATTCTTGATAATTTGCTGAGAGAAAGTCTGCAAACTCTTCCCTGCATCTGGCAGGCTTTATCACAAACAAGGCTGTATTTGTCACATGTCAGTTTGTCTCTTGAAGCAGAAAACCCAACTTTTCTTTCTCTTCCCAGTACTTCATGTTTTTTAGGAATGGTTCTAGATTACATTTTCTAGTGTCAGTACATAACTGTCAATGAAACATATAATCGGTCAAGTCTTCTACTTCTAGGGATCCACAGATACACAGTCTATCTTGAACTGGTATGCTCTGAAATCTCCTTAGTCTCATCCTTGAATCCATTTGTTCCAAACATAGCCTGGTAAAAGCTTTCCAGTGTTCCATTATCATAGGATATGTCAAACTTTTTTCATATTGATGTTGATGTTTTGTACCTGCTAACCATTTGCCTATTTCAGACACCATCTGGAATACTGTGTTCAGGTTTAAGAAAGATGCAGAAAAATTAGAAAGGGTCCATAGGAGGGCAACAAGAATGACCCAGGGTTTGGAAACACTGCCCTATGAGGAGAGACTGAAAGAACTGGGTGTGTTCATCCTTGAGAAGAGAAGACTGAGGGGGTGGGATATGATATCTCTCGATAAGTACCTCAAAGGCTGTCACAAAGAGGAAGGTCAAAATCGCTTCTTACTGATACCAAAGTGTAAGACACAGAATAATCAAGTCAAATTGAGACAACCCAAGTTCAGGCTGGATATCAGGAAAAGTTTCCTCACTGTCAGAGGGCAATACAGCAGTGGAACCAGTTGCCTAGAGATGTTGTGGGCTCTCCCACACTAGAGACATTCAAGATAAAACCGGACAGCCACCTGAGTGGGATGGTGTAAATTGTGTCCTGCAACAGCGGGGGGTTGGACTCAATGGCCTTCACAGCCCCTTCCAATTCTACTATTCTATGAGTCTATAATTTTAGAGGATATAATGGCAATTACCGTGTTTCCCCGAAAATAAGACCTAACTGGAAAATAAGCTCTAGCATGATTTTTCAGGATGCTCATAATATAAGCCCTACCCCAAAAATAAGCCCCAGTTAAGATCGTCAGCCAGACGGCCAGGGAAACACGGTAGTACATCCGTTGCAACACACAATAGATGTATTGAATTATAAAATAATAATGATAATATATAATTAAATATAAATAAATAATATCATTGACATTAATACTTAAAATAAATGATAATATACATTATAATTAAGTATTTGTAAATACTGAAGCAGGTGCCTTTGGACGAGAGGTAAATGCCTATGTAAACGGATGAATGCGTGACGTATTGCTGAATGACCAGAGTATAGACACAACATACAAATAACGTCAATACATCGTGTGTTGTAACAGGCATACTTAATACATGGATGCAAAATGGGTGCAAAAAGAAAGAGCTATTCTGTCGAGTACAAGAAAGGAATCGTGGAGGACTCTTGGGGCAAGAATCTTATGGCTTTCATAAGGAAAAATAGGACATCACCTGAAAATAAGCCCTAATGTGTCTTTTGGAACAAAATTTAATATAAGACCCGGTCTATTTTCGGGGAATCTACAGTATATAAGATTGAGTGATTTATATCCAAAACTTGTTTAAAAGTGTCTCCAATATTCTTTCCCTTTGGAATCAATGCCTGTACAGAGAATCCAAAGTTTGAGGGTAATTTTGTAAATCTTGGGAGCTGAAACTGTTCATATAAAATTAGTCCTCTAGGCAAATCTTTGGAAGTTTATTTTCCAACATCTGATTGACTATGCAGCAGTAATTTACCATTCTTATACACATTAAACCAGAAATCATTCCTATACCCAATTTTGCTCTAATTATATAAGATAGATTTTGAAACTCCAAAAATCATACACAAAAATGGTTTTTGACTCTCTCAGTGTTGGTCAAATCATCAAAGCCCCAGATTTCCACACCAAAAATTAACAGTTGTATCACCTTTGCCTTGACAATATTTAGAATTTGACATAATGTCCCATGAAATTCAGGAGTCTGTTTAGAGATTGTAGACCGGCAGCTGCTTTTAATTCACTTTTCTTTTTTTGTAGTTCCCAAGAACCTGTAGCTGAGAAAATTATGCCAAGGTAGCAAGAAGAATTTGCCTGCTGTAGCTTTTTTTGCATTTATATACATTTATGCACTTTCTTCTTTTTGCCAAAAAATGTGACTTTGGATTTAGTGTGATTAATGCACAAATCATTTTCTGCATAGTAAAATCTAAACCATCTGAAACAATCTTCTCAGGCCAACTTGATTTGCTGGCAATAACATCATGTCATCTGTGTAAAGTGGTATATTTACAAATCTATTTAGAATGTTGGTCACATAATATTTCTGGTTATGCAAGAGTCCAACTATATCATTTATATAAAAGAGGCTCAATAGACACCTGTATGGGTTGTGATTAGCTCTGAAAGAGCATAGTTGGAACCTGTCTGAGCCTTCAAGTAGTTTTCTGAAAATTAAACTTTATTTAGGTACAGGAATCTCAGATCTATATTTGAATTTCATCTCAAACTGCTCCCCTGGTAGTCAGTGCATGGCAGTGTATGAACCCAGTAGTGCATCTGCTTCAAGAAATATCAGTAAGTGATGTGATCCAGGTACTCTTCCTGCACTATTGAAGTACAACTGTCTTTCTCTACAGGGGCCGACGGGATATCCAGTGGACCAACCTAGACCCTATGCAACTGATGGAAGAACTGGGCCAGTTTGCCTCACTAGAAGGATTCAAAGAGATGCTGGATAAGGCTGAGGTTGGCCAGGCCTATATGGAACGGCCTTGCCTGGACCCATTTGACCCTGAGTGTCCTACTAGTGCCCCCAACAGCCAAAGCAAGAAGGTAGGTCAGAATCCAAAATGTTGTCCAAACATTCTGTGCTTGTATGAATTAGAGATCTAATTCTTGCCAAAGGTAAAGTGGTAAGAGGTTTGTTTGTTTGTTTTACTGTAACTCAGACTGCAGTTGACAACTCAAATGATAGGATACTTAGGGATATAAGAGAATTGCTTTTTCTTGCAAAACATGCAAGCATGCTCAATTCAGAGCCCCAGATGTAAGCAGTTGTACATGACTATTGAAAAATGTTTGCAAACTTAGGATGTGTGCTCCTATTCATTTTATTCCCAATTCCTGGTTCAATTTATGCAAGTTTTTTATTTTTCACAAAAGTCTTTATTAGGTCAATTCAGTTTCGTTTTAGCCTGTGGAGAAAATTTATGCAAATCTGCTGTTTGGTCACTGCTCGTTGCTCAAATTGTGCAAATCCTCTGTTTTGCAAAGACAGTGCAATTGCCAATGGGAATGGGTATTCAGCAAGCTGCAAGCAACAGGTCAATGATTCTGTGAATCATTAGGAAAATCCTAATTAAGCATTGCTTAATTGCTTGTCCAGAGCAATGATCAGAAATTTTACATACGGAAATATAACATGCTTTCTCCTGGCACCAGCTTGCAGTGTATAAGGGATATATTTGTAAGGTTTTCTGGAATGGTAGCTGTGGCAACAAAACAATTAAGTCTTGTGCCACCTGAACTACATGTATTATGGCATAATCCTTTATGGACACTGTCCACTTCATCACTTGCATCTTATGAGGTGAATATGTCCCACAAAGTTTTATGCTACAGTAAATATGTTAATCTTTAAGGTTCCACAAGACTGTCTGTTGTTCATAACATTTGTTAAGGAGCAAATGTTTCCATCATCTGAGTCTCTCCTTGAAGCCAAACGAGAGAAAAAGGTTTATTCGTTTATTTATTAAATTTGTATGCCATCTACTAATCCAAATGGATTCTCTAGGTGGCTTACAGTAAAATACTAAAAATGCAGCAATGAAACCAGTTATCTATAAAATCACTATCAAAAGTTAATATAAAATATAGTCTCTGGTGAGGCAGGGGCCAATTTAGATATCAGAAAATAAGGAAGATGATTTAAATCTCATCCCCCCCGCCCCAGTTGCTTTGAATGAAAAAAACAGGGGGAACACCCATACAATATCTGATCAGCATGACAGGATTTGGCTACCTAAAGGACTGCTTGCTCCTGTATATATCTACCCTCCCATTAAGAACTTGGCAGGAGGTCCTTCTAAAAGAGTCGTCCCTTCAGGAGGTAAAGGGGACAGTAAATCAGGGCCATCTTAACACATGGGCCTGATGGGCGCATGCCCGTGGGCCCCATACTGATCTGTGTATGTAAACCCTTGGAAAATTGGAAAACTTCCAAAATTAACAGTTGCTGTAGTTGTCATAGGGGCCCCAGTACACTGCTTTGCCCAGGGCCCATAATGCTGCTAAGATGGCCCTGCAGTAAATAGAAGAATGGCCTTCTTGGTGGATGCCCCAAAGAAATATAATAATTGCGCTAAGTAAGAAGAACAACAGGTATCAGAATAAATAACACATTTCAAATGTGTTCTTGAAAGTTTTCAGAGAAAAAGAAACATCATTCCCTGGTGCCAAAACAAGAACAAGGTTGTTCTTGAATTTCTTTGGGGATCCTGTGTGTGTGTGTGGGGGGGTCCCCTAGAAGTGCTTTCACTTTCAGAATTGAGGCTGATCACTAGATATTAATCTTTTTTTAGTCAGGATATCCACATAGTGGATTATTCACTCGAGGGGTACCTTACTATTTCCCACTTTACTAAGTTTTTGGTACCAGCTGAACTGGGCAATTTTAAAATCTTGCTGTTTCTCTGCTTTAATGTTCGTTTGCTGCTGCTTTATTGCTTCGTGCTTTAAAATGTATTGTTTTTAATTTGATGGGAGGTGCATTTCTATTCCAAACACAAACTTATCAGCTCCCTTAGAAGCTAATCCTCAGCCAGAATTATGTCAAATTGGACTTGATGACCCAGCATTTAAGTGAACAATAGTCAGTCCCACTGCACAAATAACTTTGGAACCGGACTGCCAGACAGCCACAAGGCCTGTCCCAACATTTTTAAAGCCTCATCTTTGACAGCACAGTTCTATGCTTTTAGGATTCTTCAGAATCCCAGCTCTGACCTTGGAAAGTTGTTTTTTGGAGCTGGAACTCTGAGCTAACAATGTGTGAGGAATCTGATTTGGAGATAGGAATCAATCAGATTTCCTTGTCTCCTTTGCCCTCCTTTCTCCTTTGCCCTAAGTTCATCTTACATCAAACATTTACATGGATATCTGGCAGGAAGCAAGTCTAAGTGAGCTCATGAGGTTGACTTGCACATATGCTGCCTGCATGCCTGCTGTGCATGTGCTTCCACACACTTGTTTTATGGGCATTCCATACTTTGTATAAAGATTTGTGTGCTTTTGACAAAGAAGGGGTCTGCTAGCATTCCTGAGTGTTTGTGGATTTGATCTCAGCTTGACTTGGTTCCTGGCCAGGGCCAAGGATAGAAAAGAACTCCAGTCAGCACAAGAGAGACCGATTCCATCTAGATCTTTGCATCCCCACTCTACCAACCACTTCTCTGAGGTTGCAAATGCAAACATTGAGTAAGCATTCCAGGAGACAGGGAAGGGAAGGATTATAGGTATTGAGACTGGATGGGTCATTTCAATGTGGGTATGATTTGAACAAATTCTTCAATGTACAAAGTCATTTTTTGCATCTCTCATAAAAAGCTGGATCTGAGATTAAGAGATACAGTAATATAGGGTTGGACTGCTTCTTTGTAATAGCCATGTTATTTTAAAAACAGGGAAGACAGAGAGACTTGTAATATAATGAAATGTAATTGTGAATTCACATTCAATTGTGAATGCTTTGCAGAATTGATGTAAAATTTTTTCATTTGCATGAAGAAGTTAGTGAATGATGAATGTTAATTGGGGCAAAAAGTTAGAGATTAGCAAATTGCATTCATAAATGACAAACATGGAAAATGAAGCAAAGTATTCCATTAATTGCTCTGAACTCAAGTCATCCAAATAAAAGTGTTTTTTAAAATCATTTGCAGCCTCTGTTTCAAGCTAGTTGCCAAGTCACATATTAAGTACCATGAAACAAGACTGATATAGCCAAAGAAAATGAACATTCTGGCTATAAAACATAGAGGAGTTTCTGTGACGTGGACTTTGGGAGGAGGGGAGAATAGACTCAATGATCTTACAGAGCTCTTCAGACTGTAATGTTTATACAAAACAATAGGACAGCTACTTTATGTCTCATTGGTGCTGGGAACCTCTTTTCTGGCAGTGTGTGCCCAAAATGGGGAGGGGGTCAACTAACTGTGGGATCCTCCATTCCATTAACTTTACCCTTCTGTGGCTAAGCATGGGAGGAGATGTGGAATGCATGGCATTATGCCAGAGAGACACAGGCAGGACTGGTGGTGCTGATCCCAGCAGACGTAATGCAAGTGCTGGGCAGCAGGTGGTCATAGTTGGAATGTGTCCTGAAACAGATGGCAGCTTAGGAGTTTTGGGAAAGTGCAGGGTTTGGAAGCTGTGTGTGCGTGTGTGTGCTGGCATGCGCTCGCGCTCACACAGCACATATGGCCAAGGGCAAGCACTAGGAGCGGAGGACAGGGTTGCAACCATAATTTCGCATTTCCTGGCTTGAAAGCCAGACTGTTATCATTTTGGCTATCCGGTTTCTCTTGCTGCCACCACAGGAGCAGAAAAAAGATGCCGACAGGATTGAAGGGAACACCCAGTGTGCCAGCAGTCAAACTTACATACAGTCTTGCAGTTGCTGTATATATTATGACTGTATCTGCACGGTCAAATTTGAATAGGCAGTATATTTGCTCATCTCTTACAGTAAGGGAGCCAGACTATATGTTATCTGTTATAAGAGCTATTGTTATTCCTGAGTTTCTTTGTTCCATTAGGCAAATGTCAGTAGGTACTGAATCCATCCACCTGATATTGTTCACTATAGCTAGAGATGTAGAAGTTAGAGTATTGGATTTAAACTCTGGAGATTTGTATTCTAATCTCCACTTGGCCATGAAGTTCACTGGGTGATATTATTTTATAATAAAACAAATATATAATATCTTTATCATCAGTGGCTATGGGATATGAACAGTGAAGATATATACCATATATAAAAGTGAGGTTGATCTGTGAGCTTCTCGAAGGTGCTTTTGCTTAAGAGACTCAGCTCAAATCCCTACTCGGCCATCAAGCTAACTGGATCATCTCAGGCCAATCAGTAACTATCTCTCAGCCCCACCTTTGTCACTGGATGTTGAGAGAATTGTATACATTGCCTTGAGCTCCTTGGAGGAATGATGGGATATAAACTTAATAAGATTTTAAAAAATTAATGAATTGGAAGTATTTAGATCCAGTAGTTTCCTGCTTCTCCCATTGCTTGGGACTTGTGTTGTATCTGTGGGCTGCATGAATGTAGATGTGGACTGCATGAAGACTTCTGTTTGCATAGCCCCATATAAGGTTCCATTCTTTGTACACCTGCATATGATAGAATGTTGGAAGAGTTTGAGGGAATGTTGTTAACTCTTGATTTATAGGGGGGAGAGATCAGTCCAGTAGTGCTGTTAATGTGCAAATTGCCTTGCCAGTTTTAGTATTTATTTCTATTTTAATAAATGGGAAACTGAAATTGAGAAGTACCATCTCCCCAAGAGTTCACTAAATTAATGGCTAAGCAGCAGTTTAAAGCCTGCTTCATTATCTGAAGTGTGATGATGACTGAGTCTGCATGACATGACAACCTGTCATGGGATATATGCAGTATGGGTTGTCGTGTCATGCATAGCTGAACCAACTGCCACAGGGTGGCTGCTTTGAGGGCAACAAGCCAGTCTGACAACCCGTGACTTGTTTTATGATTTGTTGTACCCATAATGGGTTTTTGTGTCATCTGAACATGGGTGGTTATCCCATCATAGGTACTGGCAAACAGCCAGCAACTCACTCAGCAAAAGCAGCAAAGAGCCCTTGTTGCTTCTGCCAAGTGTGCCAGGGTGCCCCCTCCTCCAGTGCTGGCTATCCCATGTGACTTGCAACCATCCCCACCACAATTATTTAAATCCAGTGTGCCTTTTTGACATTTACCTTTTGGGGTAAACAACAGACAGCTTTTGTGATTCACATTTTGGAAGCCCCTAACAGCCTTTCAAAATGCCCAGTGGTACTTTGAAGGGATTGCTACTGGCTGGCAGATCATATTAAAAATGCAAACATGATCTGTAAAAATAGGGGTTTGGGAAGAAAAATGTCTTTTTACCCACGCTTACACAACTGCAAGAGATTAGTAGTTTCATAAGGGTGGAAATGTGAAGCCTCTTTAAGTCAAAGTCTTGAGGATTATCTGCTGCCAAGTGCAGTAGGTACCAATTGTGAACATTGCCCTAAAGAGGCTCCAAATAGATTTTTTTCCTTTTCTTTTTCTGGGCAGCTTTTAAAAGCCAAGGTGTCAAGTAAAACCAAAGGTGTGATTTTTTGCTCACAAAAAGGGAGTAGTCTGATTTATACTCCCTTTGCAGAAAGATTGCAATCTTTTCCCCCCTTGTGTTCATGTCCTAAGTTATTGCTGACGTGTCAAAAGATCTTTCTTTTTGTACCACCAGGAACCAGACATTCCCTCTGAGCTCACAGGTGGCTGCCACGGCTTCTCCCAAAAATACATGCACTGGCAAGAGGAGCTGATCCTGGGTGGCACAGTGAAGGATTCTCAGGGCAAACTTCAGAGGTAAGTGTGTGTTTGTCCATCCACATCAAGATGATCTCTCTGACTGGAAAGAACCTGATAGTTAAGAAATTCTTTTTGCAAGGCAGATGACTCTTCCTTCCTAGCAGGATTAATTAAAGATGATAGACAAAGTCGTAAAGTAGGAGTGGGGAAGACAGGGCTGCTGCATACTGACTCTCACTCTTGCCCCTCTGACAATTGGGGGTGATGGTAAACTACCCCAGGCCAGCTTGTAACTTGATGCTGCTGAGGTTCATATTCTTTGGAGTGCTAAGTGCATATCCACAACCTGACGCCAGGAGCAACTGGTAGGCATCCTACATATTGCAAGCCTATTGGCAATTGTGAGCCTACTGTCTCATGCTGTACTTGGAGTACTAGGTATTGATTTGTTTCCCAAGAAGCTGATTAATCCAGCATGGGTTCACTTTGGGTACATTTAGATGTGGGGATGTGAGAAGCTTGTTGTACTGAAAGAGGCAGAAAGGGGGAACCTGTGAATCAGCTTCAGGAAAAAAAGGAAGTTGGAAATCAGAGCTCCTGCTTCCCCCTCAAGCTGGGGGAGGAGTGGGTCCCTGTTATCCAGAGGGCAAAGGACTCCAGCATCCTTGATCATGAGTAGGAGGTTTCCCTGAGCCTTCCTCTCTTCCTACAGAGCTGAAGCCCTGCAAAGCATGTTCCTGCTGATGAGCCCCCGCCAGCTTTTTGAGCACTACCGGGATGACTATGAGATCCATGATATCAGCTGGAGTGAGGAGAAGGCAGCTGCTGTGCTGGAGGCCTGGCAGCGTGAGTTTGTTGAGGTGAGATGGGCAAAGGTTGTAGCAAAACAGCTCTGGCATCTGTGTGGAGACACTGAGGCTCCTTGATTGAAGGGTGTTGTCTTTGTGCATAGGCATATCTACAAAATGCTGAATGTCAGGAAGGTAACATGCAGAAATGCATGCAGGTCTGTGGTTAAGCGATGCGGGGGAACTGCATGCAGATGTACATTTGTAAACATAAAAGGTTGTGGACCTATAGGAGCATGAATGCCTGTGAATATACAGAATGCATTCAAAGCAAAACAAAGATGATCACTTCTTTCCCCCAGCTGCAGAGTTGGGATCTCTCACAGTGCTCAGCCTTGTTGGCTTCATGATAAATATAGGAACTTGCTGTTTTGACACCTTGTGACATTTTGGTGTAGTGACGCCAAATCAATGTAATCTTGATACTAGAAAGAGATCTGATGAACTTGAGCAGGGCCTCTATTGTTAGATATGTGGATATTACTGGCTTGCTAGATAAGAGTGGTTATTAATAGATCCCTTCTTGAATAGATTCTAGATCCTGCAGATGCTTGTGTGTACTGTAATCAAATTTCTTCACTGAGCAACAGGCTGCTTATGGGTGAATGTTTTAGCAAGAGGTGTAGGTCTCGGCAACATCTCCTCTTCTCCATGTTCTGAATGTGGTAGGTATGCAAGTGGATCCTGTGCATGCATGTATGTGAGACAGACTGCAGTGCGAGCATAGCCACTGAGATAATGACTGTGTTCCTCTTCCAGTATTTCACAGATCTTGTGTCTTTCCAGTTGGCCCAGGAATCCCTCCCAGCAAATTCCTCCCAGACTATCCACGCCTTTTCTACCACCACCCTCAATGACATCATGAAATCCTTCTCAGATGTGAGCGCAATCCGTGTGGCTGGCGGGTACCTTCTGATGGTGTGTAGCTACTTCTTCCTTCTCTCTTGCCTGCTCTGATTCCTTTTGTAACTGTCCTTCCTTCCTTCTCACTAATTGTCACTGTCATCTTCTTGCAGCTAGCGTATGCCTGTGTCACCATGCTACACTGGGACTGCTCCAAATCACAGGGTGCAGTGGGCCTGGCTGGTGTTCTCCTAGTTGCCCTTTCAGTGGCAGCAGGACTTGGACTCTGCTCCTTGCTAGGCATCTCATTTAATGCAGCCACCACCCAGGTATGTCACACACTGGAGAGGTTCACCTTTCCTCTTGCATCCTGATAACCATGACCTTCCTTCACTCTCTGTCAGTCCCTCTTTCTCTTTCTCTGCACACTTTAGAACAGACCAGCCTCTCTGATTTCTCAAGTTAAGCAGTGCTGAGATTTGGCATTTTTGTCAAAGCAGTGGATTTTCCCAAGGCTCCAGAACTAACTGTCTTGCTATCTTAATCTCACAGAGGACTGTAGTAGTCTACATGCTGATTTTTCATTCACATGAAGAGAGGGAAGTCATACAATAGTTAAAATGAGCCACTGTACAGTTGCATTGAGACAATATTATTTACATCTTGATTAGGAATGTGCACAAGGCTGTCGCTAAAGTACCTGAAGTATTCAGCTAAAGGAAGGAGCCTAACAAAATGAATCTTATGTTGCTCCAGCATGTGAGTTACACTGTATACTTTTAGGAGAATGTAGAAAAGCTTGTATGGCCATTAGCCAATATGAGCTTGGGAAAATTAGAGCCTGAGCATGAAAGTAAAAATAAGCATATATATAAACACAGAGCTACGCAGTACCTCAGAATCCATCTGTTAATCCCTGCTGAGTGTAGGTCATACAATGCAAGATACAGCTGCAACATCATCCCTGCCAGATGGCTGTGCATCCCACTGCCTCCATCTCCCCCATTTCCTTTTTAGCATAACCTAGTGCCTATACCTAGTTCTGTGCTGGTTTGGTAAGTCCGATCCAAGCTCCTCCAATTGTATTTCTCTTCATGTCTGTATAGGTGCTCCCCTTCCTGGCACTGGGCATTGGTGTGGATGACATGTTCTTGCTGGCACACGCCTTCACAGAAACTGGCCAACATGTTCCCATTAAGGTGAGATCACTTCTTTGTTCCCACACATTTGAGTACCTGTGTACTGCTGTTGCATACTCAGCTCCGGCCTTCAACTCATTGCTTATGGCATCTTATTTGCATTTTTCCAACACAGGAGCGAACTGGTGAATGCCTGCGACGTAGTGGCACCAGTGTGGCACTCACCTCTGTCAATAACATGATTGCCTTCTTCATGGCTGCCCTTGTACCTATTCCAGCTCTGCGTGCCTTCTCTCTGCAGGTAAGCCTTTCTACTAGTGTTTCTTCCATGCAGGCACACAAGCCTTGTCCTTTTTTCCATCCATTGCAATTGGCTGGTCTCCCAGCTGCAGGTTTTTTTCTCTTCTAAAAGGTTGAAATGGTTCTCCAAAGGTTAAGTTAATGGTAGCAAGAGCTTTAAGCTACAAAGTGCAAGGTGTTTTTTTGTACTTTGGTCCTGCCCCATTTGCCTTTGGCCCCACTGATTAGTCACATGAGTCTGCCCCTGTTCCTGCTAAAAGTTTCTCCAAAACTGAATTTGGCCCTCAGACTGAAAAAGGTTTGATAATTGTTTAAAGCCCCACTCCCATGCCATGGTTTGTTTGTGACCTGGCACCTTATGAAAGAAAGCTGTTGTACTCAAGGGCAAAGCACTTTCATAGTTTGGCCTTCAGTCTCCATGATCTTGGCTAAAATTTGTTTGGTTGAAGAGAACTGGCATTGGCAGGATGGAAGTCCATCTATATAGAGGATGACATGGCTCATGTTCTAACTTCTCTCTTTTTCATCTCCTTATGAATACAGGCTGCCGTAGTGGTTGTGTTTAACTTCACCATGGTGCTGTTCATTTTCCCTGCCATTCTCAGCCTGGACCTCCACCGGCGTGAAAACAAGAGGCTTGACATTCTGTGCTGCTTCTACAGGTACTGATTTCAAAGTGAGAGAGAGCAGGAGAATCTCTTCTCTCTTGGGATGCTCCTGTACTTTCCAAGGCGTGGCCTGCTTCCATCACATTTGCTGGGAGAGGAGACAAATGCTGTATCTGGGGGCAGAGGTTTGAGAAAATTACTAGGCATAACAATAGGGAATCAAGCACAGCTGCAAGGAAAATGCAAAAAGAACAAAAACAAAAACCAGATGAGTAGGTGGCAGTGTTTCCAACAAGTTTCAAAAATACTTTTTTATGGGTAGAATTTTGACTCTAAAAACCAAGTCAAAATACACATAAAACAAACAAGCTCCGAAAAACCATTAGACCCTATAAGAATATATGATGGGCTTTGGGTCCACCTTCATTCCAAAGCTCTGTCCAACTGCTCAACAGGAGAACTAGAATTCTTTTGTGTTAGGTATGTCTAGATGCTGGGTCTAATCTTTGCCACGTCCATGGATGGCTAGGATAGTTTGCACCCCGCAAGTGGTTTCTAAATGTCCTCTTCTGCCCACAGCCTCTGCTCCTCCCGGGTCATCCAGATCCAGCCACAAGAGTATGCTGATGCGAATGTCAACCACACTGCACCTGCGTATCCCCATGGTCATCCAGCACTGACCACCAGCACACACATCACCACTACAGTGCAGGCCTTCACTCAGTGTGACCCCTCTGGGCGGCATGTGGTCACTATCCTACCACCCACGCAGCATGTCTTCACCACTCCCTCCACTCTTCTACCTGCCAACCCTCTGGGCTCACAAATCTTCACTCCTGCCAGCTCCACCCGTGATCTCCTGGCACAGCTGGATGAGGGCAAAGGTGCCCAGGAGTGTGTGCCATTGCCCTTTTGTCGATGGAACCTTTCCAGTTTTGCTCGTGACAAATATGCACCCATCCTGCTGCAGAGTCAGACTAAGGTAGGCAGTGGAGAGTCACTCCGAAGGACTGTGCCTTAGGTAGGAAAAGGATGAGTGTGTTGCAGGCAGTTTGGAACTGGCCTTCTCTGTCTGTTGGCGATGAGAGCCATATTTCCTACCAAACAAAACTGGAGCATATTTACTATGTGCTTCTAACCTATCTCATATGAGGATATTCCTTCTGATGGTACCTCTCTCACCAGTCTGGAAGATAGAGAGATCTTGCAGTGTATGTGTCAGGTTTGATGGAGCTGTTCAAAGATGAGAGCTGAATGGCATTTCTAGTCTACTTTTGCACATTCATTCTGGAAGCATAACCCATATTTCTGGTACCAAATGTAGGCTGTATAGTGCAGGATACAGCTACAACATCCCTGACAGATGGCTGTCCAGATTAATGCATGATTCAGTAGTTACGTTAGTACCAAAAATCTTGGTTTAACTAAGACAGTCTGACTGAGAGAAAGAAATTATTCAGAACTGAGACAAAAGAACTGTGTGTCTCAGGGATAACCAAGAGAAACATCAGTGTGGTTCTGGACATAGGTGACTCCCTGCCTGTTATTTCGGATGCTCTTGTCTTGCAAGTATTCTTTGTGCTCCCAAAGCATGGCCCATTTGGATGTAAATTCTATTTTTAAAATTATTGTTCGTGTCATTAACATGTATATGGTGCTACTGAAAAGCCATCAAGGGAATTGTCCAGTGGAGGCAACTATTACCACACAGGCAGGCACTAGAGAGTGGAACTAAATAATAACCATTCCAAAGCCCAGGCAACAGTCTGCTTTCTTAAGAATAGGCAGATCTCTTTATAGCAAGAAGAGAAGAAGCTGGATTATACAGAAAGGTTGGGGTTGACCACACCCTCCTTGATTCTTTCTTTCTGCATTTTCAGGGAATTGTGGTAGTCCTATTTCTGGCATTGCTGGGATTGAGCCTGTACGGTACAACCAAGGTGCATGATGGGCTCTACCTGACGGATATTGTACCACGAGGCACAAAGGAGCACACCTTCATTTCTGCTCAGTTCAAGTACTTCTCTTTTTACAACATGTTTGTGGTAACCAAGGGTGGCTTTGACTACCCCAACTCACAGGAGTCCCTCTATGACCTGCACCAGGCCTTCAGTGCGATTCAGTATGTAGTGCGGGATGAGAAGCACCAGCTGCCCAAGATGTGGCTGCACTACTTCCAAGATTGGCTGCAAGGTGAATGAAAGACTTTGTGCCAACTTGCCTTTATCGTCTGTCCTTAAAGAATGAGATAGGATGCCCTCTAGTTTTCAGTGCAGGATATCCTTGGCATGAATTGCTGGTGTCAAGGAAATACATAAGGAGTTCATGCCAGGTTATTGGCCACGTCATTCCAGGAAAGGCACATATCACATCTGTTTTACAAACACACTCTAGAGCAGACTTCTTCAACCTAGTTCCTCTAAATATATTGAACTACAACTCCCAGCATCCTCTAGCTGCACCATGCAACCAGAGAGATACAGGGAATTGTACTCCAGCATGTCTAGAAGGTATCATGTTGGGGAAGACTGTTCTGTTAGAAATAACTAGTTAGAAATAACTTCGTTCTCTGAGAACTTTTCAGAAGCTCTGCATCTTGTGTAGGCACTGAGTTTGTATTTTGCATACTCAGATACACACTACTTATGTTTACAGTGTACATAAGATATGTGTGCAGGTTCCCCTCCGTATATATTTGTATAGATTTCCTTCTACCTTTTGAAGATTGATAGCTCTATTACAGTTTCTCTAAAGCAGGGAGAGAAACATGCTCAACCTCAGAAGATGCTCCTGATTCTGTGATTACTATACTAAAGCATAGGCATGGTGGGCATGTGGAGGGGAGGACATAGGCATAGCTGCTGAGAGGAGCTCTTGTCTCTAGGCTGTGGAATTCTACATAGGTTGCCCCTTTAACAGTGTACTCCCCAATACCCAGGTCTACAGGTAGCCTTTGACCGGGACTGGGAAGCTGGGCACATCACCAGAGACAATTACCGCAATGGGTCAGAGGATGGTGCCCTGGCTTACAAGCTCCTCATACAGACAGGCAACAAGAAGGAACCATTCAACCTAAATCAAGTAAGTATGGGCACTAAAACTAAAAAATGGGTAGAAGAGAAGGGTAAAGAGGTATGAGAGTTAAACCTGAATGTGATAGGAAGGAGAAGACCCACACCCTTACATGGTGAGAGTGGTGGGAGAGTCTGTTCCCATGTAGCCGGGGGCGGGGGGTGGGCGTTAAAAATGAAGATTTTGAGGGATATGAGGTCTGCATAGCTCTGGACAGGGTAAGCTGTGCATAAGCAAGGAAGCCTCAGCCCTTTCCCTGCCAAACACTAGCAGCTGGTTAGTAGCATCTTGAGCAAACAGTTCTTTCTCTTCTCCATCTGCCCCACAGCTGACAGCTCGCCGCCTGGTGGATAAGAAAGGGATCGTTCCCCCTGACATCTTCTACATCTGCTTGACAGTGTGGGTGAGCAATGACCCTCTTGGCTTTGCTGCATCCCAAGCCAACTTCTATCCTCCACCTCCAGAGTGGATCCATGACAAGTATGATGCCACTGGAGAGAACCTTCGAAGTGAGTGCAGATTGGAGCCTTGTTCTCATTCAGCATTGCGCTGTTTCAGCTCTAGCCCTGTCCCATACTTAATCCACAGTGTGAGTCGTAATATGCTGCATCCACCTTTGCAAGCCATGCCAAGCTTCATGAATTGGTGGGGAAAGAGCAAAGGGAACAGGGAAGGAGGTCACTGTACCTGATGGCTGCCTCTCTTTTTGACAGTCCCTGCTGCACAGCCACTGGAGTTTGCCCAATTCCCGTTTTACCTCAATGGACTGCGGCAGACATCTGACTTCGTGGCAGTCATCGAGAGTGTGCGTGCCATCTGCGATGAGGTGGCCCAGACACACGGAGTGCTCAGCTACCCGAGTGGCTACCCTTTTCTCTTTTGGGAGCAGTATATTGGCCTGCGTCACTGGCTTCTACAGGCCATTAGTATTGTGTTAGCCTGCACTTTCCTGGTGTGCACCCTGTTGCTCCTCAATCCTTGGACTGCCAGTATCATTGTGAGTATTCTCTTCCACAGACAACAGGATACCTAGCAATAGCACAGATGTCTGGTTTGCTGAATCTAGGCCCTAATGCACTGTAGCCGTGTGGCACTGTGCATCATGAAATGCTGTCACATGCGGCTGCCTTTGTAAAGTCAATATAGATGATTTCTAACCCTCACTGTTGGGACAGGAAACTTAGCAGTGCACATAATTTGTATGAAGCTTCATTGAGCAAGGTGTCAGAAGAAAAGTTGGTTGGTTGGTTATGGTTGTTAATTTATTTCTGTCCTGCTATTTTCCCGCAAGGAATGTAAGCTGGCTTACATAACCTTATCTCCATTTAATCTTTCTCCCCTATTATTTCCTTTTGTCCCACTTTAAAAATGGCCTGAGAATTTTTCCCTCCGATAAAAAGGCAATTGCAAAAACTCAAATTCTTTAACTGGAATAAATTAGAAAAAAATGCTGTTAAAGTAGTTTGTACCATTTCTATGGATTTCTAAATCTAGGGAGAGAGAGGTGAAAGTACATCTCTTTCTTCATAAACACAAAAATGGACTTGTATACATGCTGGACAACACACATACTTACCACTTTAGGTCTTGTACAGGTGCATGCATCAAGAAAATGGAATTGGCCCTAGATTCCCTCTGCTGCCACATAAAATTTAAAGCAAATCTGTAACTTTGCAGTAAAAGCAAAAATCCTACTATATCCGCAAGTTTCTTCCTATGCTGCAAAAGAGGTTAAGCTTGCACGGAACTGACCTGACCAACAACTGATAGAACTGAAGCTCATGATTAGGCCTCACCACCACTTTTGTTTTGCAAATGGGCAACTTACTGATTTGCTTGTACAAATAAGTCCCACCACTTGCACAGCAATGATTCGATTAGGTGTTTTTGGGTGCAAGCCCCAAAATGAGAAATGGGTTGGTTTTAAAGCAGGGCATTCAGCAGAGCTCTTATGCAAACTGACTTGCCTTATTCCAGAAATGACGTAGGTTGCTCCAAAAAAACCAAACCAAACCAAACCAAACCAAAACTAAATGGTGCAAGTGGTAGATGCTGCTTTTGCAACAAAATGGACAATGCTGGCCACTCATAGCAGTCACCACTACATACTGCCTATGGTACCTTTAGCTACCCATATTAATAGTGTGTCCATCCAGATCCTTGCACTACTGCTCCTTTCTTGCCTTCTGTAATAATTTACTGACATAGAAGACATCCAATAGTACTTTATTGTACTAATTCTTCATTTAGAGATTACATCTCCTTGTGGCACATGAATTATACCATACCAATAGCTATATGCTTTCCCATCACCATACTCATTTGATACCTTGATCGTTCATATTCTGAGCTTATGGCCTTCACTGTATTTTCATAATATTCATATTTGGCACTGTTAGTATTCATTGCTGATTAATGTTTGTACCCATAAAAACTATACTATTGCACTATAGAAGCTTAATATTAACTGAAAAATATCCAAATCCTGTGCTAAAAATAAAATACCCAAATAACACAAGGACAGCATCAGTGCTATTGGAGCAGAAAAAGAGGGCTTTTGCATATCAAGGGGATGAATATTGTGCTTTCTTATCACTGAGCACTGAAGGCTTCACAGACCATCCTTCTGATTTCTGATCCTTAGACAACTTCCTCTGCAATTACAAAGTCTAGCAACAGCCTAGGATCACAGGATTCCTTCAAAAACATGTAGATTTATAGGTTCCTGTTCCTAAGCTGCCTGTTAATATATATGACTTTCTTTGGACATATAACTGATATGTCCATTATGTTAGTTTCTGGTGAGAGATTAATGTGCTGCCTTTCACTGTTTTAGGTATTTGTTCTAGCTATGATGACAGTGGAACTCTTTGGCATCATGGGTCTGATGGGTATCAAATTGAGTGCTATCCCTGTGGTCATTCTTATTGCATCTGTGGGCATTGGTGTGGAATTCACTGTTCATGTGGCCTTGGTAAGTGAACTGTCATGTATACATAGCCCTTTGTGCTACCTAATGAGAAGGAAGGACTCACTGGAGAAGACCCTGATGCTGGGAATGATTGCCGGCAAAAGAAGAGGGGGGCAGCAGAGGATGAGGTGGCTAGGTGGAGTCATTGAAGCAGTCAGCGTGAGCTTAGGTGGACTCCGAGGGATGGTGGAGGACAGGAGAGCCTGGAGGAATGTTGTCCATGGGGTCGTGATGGGTTGGACATGACTTCACAACTAACATAACATAACCACACTCTTTTCCACACCAGATAAGTTGGTATGCAATAGTACAACCTAATTTATTCAAACAGGTTCCCAGAATGGATGATCCCAGTTTTCATTTCTTGATTGGAACTGGACCAGTACTAGTGTTTATATGAAAGGATCAGCCAACAGCGCACCTTCAACGTCACTGAATATTCTTTAACTATCCTGTTGTAGTCTAATTAGTAAGGGTGTAGATTACCCTGGGTTTAGCCATCCTTCTGGATTAATTAGTGCTAAATATAAGGACAGGATTGCATACAGCGTGAAAAGCGCTGTCCAAACTCTTTCAAAGGAACCCAAACAAGAGCTTTCAATTTTGAATGAGCTATCCAGGCTCCAACAATAGCATCAGACTAGATTTGGGGTTTTGGCTTTTCTTGTTTTCCTATCCTTGGCGGGTCCCCTAAGATGTAGCATAATTACTTGCTCCTTTCTTAGTATTTCTTGGTCTAGTTACTCCCTTTGGTTCTATTCTGACTCTCCATCCTTCTTCTCAGGGTTTTCTCACAGCCATTGGCAACCGGAATTTGCGCTCCACTGTGGCTTTGGAGCACATGTTTGCTCCTGTGATGGATGGTGCTGTCTCTACTCTGCTGGGTGTACTGATGTTGGCTGGTTCAGAATTTGACTTCATTCTGAGGTATTGTTTTGTGGCTTTCTTTTCCATTTCTATATGTCTTTCATTGGTCCTTTGGCCAGTGGAAGACGTATAGTGTAACTGAAAAGGCAAATGCCCCGTGAGCTAGTTTCAAAGGCCTTAAGATTTCAATGAAAGGAAATATCTGGCATCTTCTCCTGCATCAGGTGTTGGCACTGTAGAGAGGGCAGGGTGTGCATTGCAGTGCCTGTGCTTCCTGTTACTGTGTCATTGAATATACTACTGAAATTTGGTGGTGCAGCAGAAAAAAACCAGCTGTTTTGTTTTCCCTATGGATGGAGGAAGCTGCAGATTTGGTCATAGCAGAGATGGTCAGGGCCACAAAACTGGCTGGGGTTCACATGTAGACTGTTGGCTGTATATTGCCTATCCATGCCTTATATCAATGAGGGTATGAGGAATGTAAGCTGTAGAGATCTGAACTGGCTGAGAAAAAGGGAGCAGGGGTTACTACATCTTCCATATAGAACAATTCTGATTTGAGACTGGTAGCTAGTTCTTGGATCTAGATTCTGGCCTAACGAATACATTTAGGCAGCCGGCAGGTCTGTATGATTTGGAGACTGCATAGCATCCCAGCCAGAGATCAAGCATCAGAGGAGGTCTAAAAGGTGGGAGTCTGTACTTAACAAAGAGATGTCACTGGCGCAAATGTTTCTTCTTGAATGAATTTGCCCTGTTCTAAAATGGCCCAAGTGGTGCCATTATCTCATATTTTCGTAAGTAAGGAATGCATATGTCTATGAGAATATCCACTATGTAAGTATTCAGTAAGTCAGTTTGTGTGAGCAAGCAAGAAGATGCACAACCATATCCCTGTGACCTGATGAGAGGCCCAGATGCTTAGCTGACATCTGCCACCATCTGTGTAAATATGCTCCCCTCTCACACAGGCCACAGAGCTTTACTTTCTCAGCTGCTGAGACAGAGAAAGAAAACAGGGGGCACAATAATTACTTATTTTAATTATAAAGGTTCTATTATATGCAGATGAGTGCTGCACGTAGCATTTACTGGCCTCCTTCTCTTCACCCAAGGTATTTTTTTGCTGTGCTCACCATCCTAACCATTTTGGGGCTGCTCAATGGCCTGGTTCTGCTACCCGTCTTGCTGTCTATCATTGGGCCACCAGCAGAGGTAAGAGAGCTCCTGTTTCTAACATGCCTCAAGTGAGTGGAACACTGGGTTTTCATTTCACCTTACCATCCGTACTTTTCAGGATCTGCTATATTGCATGGAATGGTTGCATCTTTATCTGCACATAGGGGGTCTTGTTTGAAAGTAGAAAGGCTGGAAACTTTGTTTGAAGCCTGTGCTTTCTGCTTTTCATCATGCAGGTCACACCAGCCAATAATGGTAGCCGCTTGCCAACACCATCACCTGTTCCCCCACCCATCAGCCATCACAGCTTTTATGTTCGGCAGCAGGGGGGCACCTTTGCTGACTCCTCAGATTCAGAGTACTATTCAGAGAGCACGGGGGCATCAGACACTGGTGAAGATGACCGCAGCACCTACATCATCCCCCCAACGCAATCTCACATCCTGGTCAGAGCAAGCAAAAGCCCCAGCTTTCCCAAAATCACAGTAAGTGCCCACCAGGAATCAGGAGAGCCAGAATTCTGGTTTCTCCAAGTGGGCAGTGGAGTCTCATGTTATGGCAGGAGAAGAAACAAAGGTTCCTGGATCCTAGCTCCATCATTAGGGTAGTGTTTCCTAATGGATTTGAAGAAGAAAGAAAGCAATTGGGGACTTTGTTTTTTAGCTTTATTGCTGAAGTGAGAATAGTTTTAATAGACTGAAGTGAGTGGGGCCCTGGGAGAAGCAATTCCTAGGATCCCCAGGAACTATGGTCATAAAGCAAGGGTACTCAGAATGCTTAGCTTTCTTCCATATCTCTGAGTTGCAATGTGGTTTATATTGACAAAATAGGAGTCAGGTTCTATTTCTGGCTTGCTAAGGGTTTTAAGAGTCAGATCAGATAATGTCAAGTGACAGCTGGACACTTGTTGTAGTCTGTTGCTCAGGACAACATCATCTTATCTCACTGCGACTCCAACTCTCCTTGCAGAATTAATGCTTTTCCTCTTAGAAAGCATTCAGAGGTGCTGTCATTTGAAATACTTTGTTTCCATTGTATATTCTTACTATGTGCTTTCCCTTAATAATCACCATGCTCACATCAATCTTTTCCCTCCTGGGCAGGTGGTGAAAAACTACAAGACAAGCCTAGAGTCTCCTCTGTCATTGTGCAGCCCAGACTGGACTCAACCCACAAGCCCCCAGGGCTACTTGTCAACCACTGCCACAGAGGTCAAGGATGCATCACATCAGCAAGAGCAGCCAAACCACAGACTAGGTCCTCGGCTGGCTCGAACTGCTCCCCTTCCCCCTCAGATCAACCCCACTGCTCACAGCACCAAACTGCTACCTCTTGGACCTGGCAGCACCTTCACCACAGTCACAGCCACTGCCTCAGTGATGCTGGCCTTGCATCCATCCCTGCCTGGCTCCTGCCGGGGCTACACACACGAGGGCTTTGAATCTGATGGCCCTGAGGAGACTGGCATAGACACATCTGACAGCTTGGAACTTCAGGACCTACAGCAGAGACATTAACTTCCTAATTGGTCAGGCCAAGATCCTGGCTCTCAAACTCCCACCTCAGGGATGGGATGTGCACAGCATCCCAAGTGAGGGCTGGAGCCCAGATTGTTCACACATAACACACACACACACACACCAGTCTGTGAAGCAGGCTGGATTTGTGGGAGCTCCTGCACTATGTCTGACCAACTGTAGGCAGGTGGTGCCTTTGAGAATGGGAGCAAGGAGGCCAGATGAACTGCAATAACCATTCAGTGAAAATGTATGTTGATGGGAGCATTTCTCAGCAACTGGTACTCCATTCTCCCATGCCTTGTTTCTCTGGGTTGATCAGCCACCAAAAAGCACACTGGTTTCTCAATTGCCAGGGCATTTGGCTTCAGAACAACCCCAGTCAGTCCTTATGCTGGGCTGACTGACTGACCCACCTAGCATTGGGCCCACTCACCTGTAGACAGAAAAAGTGCCAGCCCCATTGAGTCTGGAAAATGGAAGTGACTGTTCCCCACGTGCGATATGAACTGTCTCATGGCCATCATTGGGGCAGGGCATCAGAATGGCCCAAACACCCAACCTCCCATGGAGAGAACAGGACTCAACTTAAGTGTGAGGGAACTGTCCCTCATTGTGCTGCTATTCTTTTATTTTAATTAATATTAATATTATTATTATTATTTTAAGCTGTATAAAAAGAGTCACAAACCCTCCCCCTTATAATTATAATAATTATTTGTTGTTATGTTCACAGCTCCCTCATTAAAAAAGAGGCAGTATCCCTTTAAAGGGAAGCACCAGGGTGAAGTTAAAATGGGGAGAGCACCACCCCCTGCGAGTGTGGAGTGGAGGGAGCATGCAATGGAGTGGCACAATGTGTCTTAATGTTCTATGCAAGCTGTGTGGGATGGGCGGTGTTCTGCTCCCACTCCCATCAGCATGGCTGTCTGGGCCAGCATGTGCCACATGGTTGTTTTGAACTGTTTGCTTCCTCTCTGCTGGATCCAAGACCTGAAAATCTCTCCTCCGTGTCCTATTCTTTAGTTCATTTGCCTCTTCAATCAGCCTAAAATAGTCAATCACATGAGTGGTCCCTAAGCAAAAATGAAGTATCCCCATCATCATTTAAGCTTCCAGCTTCATGATTTCCCAAGAATAGTAATGGAGCATAATTCATGACTAATAGAAGACAGGGATTTTCAGGACAGAGTTTGTTGACCTTGGAAGTCTTCCAGAAGTTGCTCCTTAGGACTTCTGGAAGAGCATTTTGTTCAGTTGTGGATTTATGCCTTTCTGATTCCATGCTTTAAGAGGTGCTTCTAACAAGATATTTTGTATTTCAACACAGCTGGCTGAGTACAAAATGCATGTGCATTGTGTTGGCTATGAAGGGGTGTTTAAAATGGAAATTTGAGTTGGCTGGAAAGAACAACGGTTGCATAGGAAAACTGGGTGTCCGCATGGTAAATTTGGCCCTTCACTGCCCTCTTTGAGGAAGTGCATAAAATACTCACATTCTCATTGGAGTTGGTAGCACACACCATTTTGGGGTCTTTCGACACACAGTGTTTTTCCAGTGGTGAGATGATGGGCTTTTCTAACCTGTACAGTTGTAGTACAGCCACTTATGTCACACTTCATTAATGATGGTACACAAATAGTTTATTTCTCCCTTCCCTACCTGAAGATTATTTTTGTGCAGAGGAAAGAAACATATGTAAAATTGCCCTTTGATTTGACCCAGCAGAGATATTTGGGTGTCAGAAATCTCTTATAGAAAAATCCTCATGTAATCATTAGGGCAGTTCATTTCATCTCCTGCCCAAAAGTATGTGTGCCGTGGTTGCTGTTCCTGAATTCTTCCTTTCTGCTTCAATTTCTTTGGCTAACGCTTGCCAGCTGGATTGGTTCTAAAGGACAAGTCCATTTCCATCTGATATCCTTGGTTTCCACATAACCAAGTCAAAAGTGCTTTATGGAATCTTATTCCATACTGTTTCAGGACAGAAATCTGAAATTTGCATGAAATTTAAAGTGCTGGTTTCTGACCCATGCTATCCTGGGCATTACAAGAGAATCGCTTACAGCATATATATATATATATATATATATTGAAACACAGTACTGCTTTAACAAAACATTTTAGATTATTTCTTCCTTTCTTTCAGACATGCTATAAAGAAAAAAAGATGGGAGATAAAACAATATTCCTTTTTGATTATGATTACTGACATATTACGAACATTCTGTGCTAAACCATTGCACGTACTTATTTAAGCTAGCATCAAAATTACACACTTTTACCTGATGGCTTTTGAGCCTGATGAAGAGCTGCAGTTTTCCGCAAGGACTTTGATGAGAAAAAAGGCACTGGAACAGAACTTGAAATAAATTCACTCAGACATGGGCATATCCAAGCCCAACAGAAAGTGCAAACAGCTGCCTGGGGCTCAAAAGTTACATGGTAAATCTCTCAAGGCAAGCACAATTACCTACTCCAGACCCTTGGAACAATGATCTGAGAGGGGGCAGTTGTGTGTTCCTAACTCCACTCAAGTAAATGGAGAATGAATCCATTTGCCTCGAGGAGAGTATGGAAAATGAGCTGCATATGGGGGGAAAAAACCTCTGTAAAATGGGGGGAAGAATGCAGACATGTTTACCCTTGGTTGGAAACAATTCCTCACCACTATCCCTATTACAAAGAGATGCAAGGAATGGATCAAATTTATTTTTCACTTAAGCTAGCGAAATAACTGTTAGCCCCAGTTCCAGGCTAAGGGTTTTAGGTTTCAGGTAGTATTCTTCACTCCAATTGCAAACATCACTCAGCATGATTCTGCCCAGCACTTAGACCCTAGTACTTTGCCTTTTTAAAATGGCACCGTTAGGTTCCATTAGCTAACACTTTACACAGTAAAAACTTACTGGGCTGTCTTAAGGATTAGGTAAAATAAGTGTTGCTATACTCTAGCTGTTCTTTGCTAGCATGGGGTGATCTTGTTTGTGGGGGGGACAGCCTTTATGTGAAATGGGGAAGTACTTGGGAATACAGTTGTGTTTCCCCTTGGGCACTGAAGCACTACACTCAACCAGCTTACTTGTTGAGGGCTGATTCACCCTGAAATCCATTTCCCCAGTGACATTCTTCCCTCCAAATCCCAGGCACTTTAAATGTCCCCCTTTACCCGATAACTGCTGTAATTTTATTCTCCAGCCTACATTGGATTCTTTATTTACTTCTTGGTGCCAATGGCACTTTTGTTGTGGTTTTCACATTTTGTTTCTTGTGAAAGCTTCAGTAGGATCTGGCCTCCTCTTTTAAAATGAATTAAGTCAGTTTATTTAAAGCTACCAGTGCTTTTTGGAGGGGTTTCTCTTTAGAAATGTGCCATGTGGCAGGGACTGACCTGGCCATTTGGATTTCTTCAGTTTTCCCACAATAAAACTACTATATAGGCTAGAAACTAATGTCAAGTTTAGGATCTAGCAACAGATGACTCATCTACTGCATCATTTTCCTCATTCCACTCACCCATTGCCTAAAAACAGCTATCTGCATCTAGGAAATCCACAATACAAGTGGTGTGTTTTCCCCTCTTCCCAAGTGTGGAACCAGCAAAGCATGGGGAAAGGGTGGAAAGGGGACACATTATGTGTGCATGTGTGTGCGTATGTGTGCGTGCATGTGAGTATGTAAAGGGTGTGCTGGAGACTTTTTAACCTGAAATGTTGTCATGCCATATAAATTATTTATATGAAAAAGAAAAAAGATTTATTTTTGTAGTTTGTACAGACCTCTAGCCTCGCAATGGAAGTTTTATTTTTAAAAAGTAAATATATATTATATATAAACCTATATTCCAATGGTGCCTGTGTACTCTTATTTGGTCCCTGTTACATTAGGAAAGTCCATATACTTGTAGACAAGTTCACAACTAATAGATTCCCACAGGCTGTACACACAAGTTTAGGACAAAATAGGTGGATAGGAAATTTTAATCTGAAAAATAATGTTGGAAAAATGCTCTGTGCTACTCTCCTAATATCATCCTTATTCAATTATTTGTTAAAAACTGAAAGTGAAGAGAAAATACCTTGCCCAAATATGCTCAAAAGTTTCATCTCAGGAAGTGTGTGAGTTGTTGAACAATGGCTTGTATGTGTATATGTCTGGGTGTGTAAAATAAATGTGTAACATACATAAGGCATAGCCTTTGCTCCCATAAGGATCAAATTTTGGCCCAAGAAAATGCAAGTTCTAGCTAGATTTAATGTTTTCAAATGTAATTTACATAATTTATTACAATTGACCTGTTTCGAATTTCACACAATTCAGTTGTAGCTTTTCATGGAATTTAGAGATACAGAGTTTTAAACAATATTTTCTCAACAAAAAGTATTTGCAACAGCCTGCCAAAGGCAGTATGAAATACAAAATACAAATTGTGAGAAGGTCAGAGATTACTATAAGGAGAAAGGGTTTTATAGGCTCAAACAATAATAACTCTTTGCATTACTTTTTCCTCTAAAGCAGAATACTGGGGCTGGAGGTGGATATTCATATATGACTAATGGTACACCAGAGCTCAAAATGCACATAGATTTGCTAAGTGTGAAGATAATTGGCAAGACACTACTATACATCAACTCCTACAAAATATTTGTGGATACTGCTTTCTATGGCAAAGGGAAAACATGATGATATCATGGAAACACCATTATTCCAAATTCAGTGACTGACTCTCTCTAAACATACAATCCAGAGTAGATTTTTAGCCCATCAGATTGTTTCCCCTTTACTCATTTTTTTCTTGAAATTATTGAAAGTGCATGAGTTTGTAGAGAAGGAGGATGTGATTGTTCAATGGGATATGCATGACCTTTTTCTGGTTTGGAAACAACAGAGCATCAGAGGGAATTTTTTTTAGAGAAAGAGGGCCTGCCTGCTTTTTATTCTATTACGCTGGACACATCCTGAAGGACAGTTAAATTCAGAAAAATGGCAGTGAGCCTGGTTAAGGCACAACGGGCCCAGTCTCAGTGGTTGCTCTCCCTCCCATGATCAACTTCTCCACCTCCATCTCAGTAGTGGCTCTGCTGCAGCTGCTTGGCAGTGTTTATTTTTCCATAGTATGTGCAGGAAGCCGGGACAGAGCAGGGCAGAGCCCAGCCTGTGTGTGTGTGTGTATGTGTCTTGTCAGCAGCCACAGGAACCTCAGCTGAGCCAATTCCACATGCAGAGCAACAAACAGAATGAAGAAAAACAACCGAGGCCAAAAAGCTCTCTCACACATAGCAATGCAGGCTGGGGGCTCAGTAAGGGGCTCTTGACAAATGTGGCTTTTCTGCCCTCTGCAGTTGCTGTGCACTGTGCACTTGCTTTACCAAAGGAAACTGACTATGTTGTTATTACTACACACCACCAAATCATCTCCAACTTACCAACTTACAACCCCATGAATGAATGCCCTCCCCTTCACAACCTTGTCCTGCTCTTACAACCTCAAGGCATGGCTTCCTTTATGAAATTGATTCACTCTTCTTTTTCTATTTCCCCTAGCATTACTGTCTTCCCCAGTGAGTCTTCTCATGATGTGCCCACACTACACCAACTTGTTTCATAATTTTTTGCTTCCAGGAAAAGTTCTAGCTTGATTTTACCTAGAGCTCACTCATTCATCTTTCAGTCCAGGATATTCGCAAAGATCTTCAGCACCATATTTTGAAAACACATATTTCTTCCTGTCAGCTTTCACATGCATACAGAGTGATCAGGAACAGAATAATGCAGATGGCAATAGTTTCCCTGATTATTCCCTCTAATTCCTTGATTTATTTACGTATCAGATTTATGGTGCACCTTTTTTCTTTTTTTTTTAAAGCACTCCAAGCGACTTATATCATTCTCCTCCTCTTGCTCTCTATCCCCACAACAGCAACCCTGTGAGGTGGGTTGGGCTGAGAGTCTGTGACTGGTCCAAAGTCACCCAGTTGGCCCCATGGCTGAGTGAGGATTAGAACCTAGATTGCCTGAGTCCCAGTCCCAGCACTATTAACCAATATACTACACGAGCTCCTATTGCTTCCTTCTAAGTTGTCTTCAAAATTTTTGGCTGTAGTCTCACTCTGAATTGATAACTGAGCCAGGGTATGCAAACTGTTCACAATTTCAGTTACTTCACGGCTGACATCAAAGCTGTGTAAATCTTCTGGAGAATATTATTTTCATAATGTTCACCTGCAGTCCTGCTTTTGCACTTTCTCCTTTGACTTTCACTAGGAGTTGTTTCAATTCATTGCTGCTTTCTGCCAGTAATATAGAATCATCCACATATGTTAAATTGCCAGTATCTCTTCCTCCAGTTTTTACCGCTTCCACTGATCCTAATCTAACCTCTCTTATGATATTCTGTGTACAGATTGAACAGCAAGGGAGATAAAATGCACCCTTGTCTGATGCCTTTGCCTATGGGTAACCACTCCTTTTCTCCATATTCCTTCCTAACAAAAGTTTCTTCTCCATGATACCAATTATGCATCAAGTGCTCAGGCACACCCATTTCTTGCAGAACCATTCAAAATTTCTTGTTATCCACGTAGTCAAAAGCTTTGCTGTGGTCTATAAAACATGGAATGATCATTTGAAAATCCTTACTGCCAATGTATATTTGTGATATAATACTGAACTCATATTTTTCAGAATCCAGCTTGAATGTCAGGCATTTCTCATTTCAAAGGGATAAAAAAATTATTACAATACCCTGAGCATCACTTCACTTATATGGGAAATTAGTACTGTAGGTGCTGCCCTCTTTAGCATCTGCTTTCTTAAGGATTAGAATATATATTGAGGTCTGTGGGCCATTGTTTTGTTTTCCATATTTATTTACATATTCTTTATAGGATTTAGAACAATTCAGTCTCTGCAGCTTGGAAAAGTTCTGCCGGCACTCTCTCTGCTTTGGGTGCTTTATTTGTTCCAAGTGCTTTCACTGCAGTTTTCAACTGACTTTCTAGTATTTCAGGATCTTCCTGATAGGATTCGTCTTTGAAGAAACTGTCATTTTATCTTTTCTGTATAGTTCTTCTGTATATTATTCCCACTTTCTCCTTTTCCTGGTCTAATAGTATGCTCCCTGTTGATCTTTCAGCATTCTTATTCTAGGTTTGAAATTCTCTTTGATTTCTTGGACCTTCCAGAAGAGAGTTCTTGTTTTGCCTCTCATGTTGTTCTCTTCTATTTTTTCCCCACCGGCCACTGTAATAGTTCTTTATGTCTTTATGTGATAGAAAAGCTGCATTCAGGATTCTGACCCTATTTCTGTCACCTTTTGCTTTTCCTTCTTGCCTGTCATTAGCAATTTTGCTTGTTTCTTCTGCCTTCCATCTAGGCCTTTTCTTTCTTTTTGCTACAAGAATTGTCTTTTTGCATTTCCCTAATAAGGCCTCTGTTTCAGTCCACAGTGCCTCTTCAGTCAATTGAGTTCAGAAAGGCAGGTCTGTTCTTTATGTGGACTTTAAATTCCTCAGCAATGTTAGTGAGGTGGTATGTTGGCACTATGCTTCTGTGATCTTTTTCAGATGTACTCTGATTTTTTTATATTAACAGTTCATGAACACTACTACAGTCTGCTCCTGGTCTTTTTTATGGCAGTAAGAATAGAGCTGCTTCCTCCTTCTTCCAATTTGGTTCTCTATTTTATTCCTGCATTGGCCATCTGGGGATGTCAATGTGTGCAGTTGTCTGAATAGGTGCCTAAAGTATGTATTTGCAACAAGCAGCTTCTTGGCTTCACAGAATTCTATGAGCTGCTTTCCTTTGTTTCTGATCCTGGGCCAAAATATCCCACAACATTTGATTCTGCTCTATTTCCTACTGTTGTGTTCCAGTTGTCTATGATTATCAGCATGCCTTATTCTGGCATGTTATCTATTTCTTTTTGAACACCTGCAGGAAAGTTCTCAATTTCTGTTGTTGGAGCATAGATATGAATGATGGTTACATTGATAGGTTTTTCTAATAATTATGATTGATATGATTTGGTCGAATTTTTCATTATAATCTCTTAGTGCCTGTGTTACATCTTGCCTCATTCTTCAGCCTTTCTGTTTCTTCTGAATTTGTCATTTCCAAACACTGTGTGTGACTGAAAATGTCCCATTCCACTCCACTCCAGCTCATTCACACAAAGTATTGCAATGTTTAACCATTCAATTTCTTGCTTTACAGTTTACACTTTGCCTTGCTTTATTATTCTCATATTCTATGTTCCAGTGGTATGTGATGGGCAGAATTGTACTTTCCTTTTGCCTTTGAACATGTCAGTCACTAACTTCCTTTTAGCTTTGAACTAGTTGGATCATCAGCAACAGCATTATTGTCCTTTGCTTTTCCCCAGTACCTGGTTGAGTGCTTCTGACCTGGGGAGTCTCATCTTCTAACAGAATGTCTTGTTTCATTTTGGATTATTTCATCATATGGGTTTCAAGGAAGAAATACTCAGAAGTTTGCCATTGTTGCTGTCTGCTCCGTACTAAACAGAGTTAACTTGAGCATCACTGCCATTGGCTGTCAAAGATCCTCCACCAGTGCTGTCTTCAACTACTGTTCTTGCCCAGTAGCTGCCTTTCAGGGATTTCTCTCCCCGCTCACAATTAGAGATAATAGATCATAGGATCATACAGTTGAAAGGGCTCCAGCAAGCCATCAGGTCCAACTACCTGCTCAATGCAGGACTCAGGTCTCCCATCCAGATTCCAATCAGGCCTGACTCTGCTTAGCTTTCAAAATTATCTGTTACCTTCAGCTATTGTGAGCATTAATAGTTGAATGCATCACAGTCTGGTGTCTCAGCTTTGAGCATTCTGTCTTAGTTAATCTCACTTGGAGACCAGTCTAGTAAGAGAGTCTGGCTTCCTGGTGGCATTGCACTTGACTTTTCTCAAATCATGGATATTAAGGTATTCATCCAAGAGGAGAAAAATGTCTGTGGGTGCAACCAAAACATTGGATAGGCAGATCCTTGGAAACACAGATGTGTAACTTTGATTCAAAATCCAGTGGCTACTCCAAGTAGAAAGGACATTGAATCCGCCTTCTAAAGAGTGGGATCTCTTTCTTGCTATTTCTCACCATTATTTCTCAGATTGGTTACTGGGGTGTGTGTATGTATGTGTGTGTGTGTGTGTATATATACCGAGAAGCAGGGATTTTACCTGGAGCAATGCAACAGTCCTGAAAACATTGAGCTCTGATTAACTTGTAGCAGGATCACTGGCTAACTAGAGCATTAGAAGTAAATATGGTCTAAGCATTCAAAATCAGCTAGACTGGTTAAAAACATTTTTGTGTGATAATCTTTCTTTGTAAAAAGCCAGTCCCCTATAGATCTCACACTTCTTCAACTCCTAAAACTGTTAAAACCTACCATTTCCCCAACTCATTTTCTGAGAAACTAGCTAGTCAAGCTGTTTATGCCCTTTATGTCAGATAAGTGCAATTTATTCAGCAACATTCACTGAGGATCCAGATTTACTACCCACTACCTGCCTCTTCTTTGTACGTGCAAGTTGCTTCATAAAGCACAGCATTTCCCATAGTTTTTCTGCTCAGGACTTCTCATTTTCACTGTCCATACTCACCTATATAAGATTCTGCCACAGAAAACTTCTCACTTTACCAAAATGCACATTACTTAACCTACCCATAGTTCTGTCATGTCCTTTCCCATGTTACAGCCAGTAATTCTATACATGACAGAAGCCTACTGGCACTTGACTCATTTATTGCAGGAAAATATAGACTGACACGCTGGTGCTGCTTTAAAGAATATTTGTATAACCACCATGTTCTATAGCCTTTATCTCTCCTTGCTCATCTAGCCTGTGGAAGCTCAGGGACCTTCTGCAGGTCTCTTCCTCAGGCCTGAAAACTAGCCAGGTTTTGGGAACAGGCATGGGGAAAAATCCTCGTTATCACCGATCACAGTCAGGCAATAACAAGGGGAGGAGGATGCAGCCATTATGGCTCTCCCCCCACTTTATAGACACTGGTCTATAAAGTCAAATCAGCACCGACAGTAAAAGTGACAAAGTTTATGGCACTCCAGGGAAGGAAATGGACAAAAGCTGCACTGGCACCTGCCCTCCAGAAGGTGGTTTATTAAAAAAGGGAGCATGCTATATATTCATCCTATTTTCACTTCTGGCAGATGAATTTTGCAAGGAATTTAACTTGTTCATAAAAGTGCAAAATCTGTTTGATTAGTATAATAAATGTATGCGTGCCTCCATTTCGGCCTGAGAAGTAAAACCTCTCTTGATCCCTTCCAACTTTAGTTTGACTGAAAGCATCCGAGTTTTTCATACCTTAAGGACCTCGTACGATAGATAGGCTATACTGCAGTGCCCCCTGCTGGTCCTACTGGCAGTCACCGACGTGCTCGTGCTTTCCCTGATGCCGCTTGTGCGTAAAACAGCCATAATCGCATCATAGAAAAGAAAGCACGCAGGTGCAAGAGCTGGCGGGACGTCCCGCTCTGCGCGCCCGCGGGCTTGGCTCCTCCCCTCCAGCTGCCTCCACCTCCCGGCTCAGCGGGCGCGCCGAGCGCTTTCCTCTTGCTGACCCGGTTCCAGAGAGTGGCCTGTTAGCCTATCGCAGCAAAAGCAACCAAAGGCTTGTGGCGGGCTCAGCAACTTATTCTAGCATAAACTTTTGTGGACTAGCGTCTCCTTCAGCAGATGCTTGGAAGTACAATGGAGAGGTCCAGGGTTTTATATAGTTCTGTATGGTGATAGTGGAGAAACTTTTATCGCTCCCACCTCCGCAGTTCGTAATAAATAAAAGCCTGAAGCTGCTCGTGAGACTCCATGCACTAAAAAAGTGGCCTGTAGCCCACGAAAGCTCATCGCAGGATACATGAGTTAGCCTTCGAGGTGCCACAAGATTCCTCGGTGGTTTCCGGGCTTCAGCCCGGGCCCAGCTTTCCTCTGTCTCGTGCAGCCGGGCTACCGACCACAGTCTTTCGTGGCCCCAGTGAGAAGCAGCTAGCCTCCTCTTTTCCGCCGTGCACAGGCAAGTTTGTGCCGCTGCTTCTGGCCTCATCCCCACCCTAGACTCCTCACTGCAGAAGGCTTGGTGCCAATGGCAACACTGGAAGAGGCCTCCTTGCTCGTTCGTCGCTGCGTGGCGCAGAGGCGAGAGTGCTGTCGGCCGCACGCTGCTCCTCGCAAAGCCACGCTGCGGCAGCACGAAGAACGGCGTGTGGGCAAGAATCGTTCCTTCCTGTGCTACCTTCGGCACTCAGGCGGCCTCGTAGGCTCGTGGATCAGGACACAACCCTCAGCGCCGCAGTCCTGCCGCTGCCCCTCACTTGCCTGCTGTGTGGTCTGCAATTAATCCCCCGCCACAGGCGGTAGGCGAGTTACACGTCCTCGCCCAGCAGGGGAGCCCCGACATCCTCGACTAATCCCCGGTCTTGTTACTCGCCTCAGGGGGCTCGCCGCTACCTCCCTCTTCCTCGAAACCCCCCCGCCCCGCTTCCCCTGCCAGATTCAGAAGAGTCTGTGTGTAGACGAAGTGGCGATGGAAAGCTACGAATTCTACCCCAGCGGGGCGATCCTTTCTCGTGCCCCAAATCTAATCTCACCCTTCTGAAAAATTACGCAGAGCAGTGCTCGCTGCCCCAAGCGCCGCGCCCTCAATCCTGCTGCAGCGTCTCCAACTTGTTGGGAAGCCCACTGGGGACAGACGCTGAGCTAGGAGGGAGCACCGCAAGAACCGAGGAATTAAACATGGGCCGATGTTTATTTTGCAAGAAAGAAGAGCAGCGCTCAAGAGAAGGGCTGAGGTGCTGTGAAGTCGGAGGATTTAAGCTTCCCTTCCTGTTCCGCTTTGCATGATAAAGGCCCAGCTGCAGAGATGACACTGTTCCTCCCCTCCCAACCAAATTCACCTCCCCAATTACCAATCAAGTCCATTATGTGGGTACAATAGCCGTCAGCTCTCCAGCCCACCCAAGCAGCCCACCATACAGACAGCACATCCTCGACGCCATGAATAGAGCCATTTCGCCAGGGGGTTATGTCCCATTTTATAAGTGCTGTTATCAGGAAATAAATGCTCCTAGTTCAATAACATGAAAGTGAAGTTTAGCAGTCCAGCTTTGAGGTGACAGCCACGTGGATTCCATCTAGTTGCTGGAAGCTGTCAGACCAGGTTTTGCATTTTGGAAAGCTTAACTTCAAAACGCATTTTGCCTATCTGCTGAAATAAATATGCTTGCATCTCTGCATTTCTTTTCCATGTTGTGCACAAATGTAATTCTATTCTTTGTAGAATGTTATATAACATTATATAATTGTACTATAAATTAGCCATGCTCCTATTCCTGCAGCACTGCCTAAACTCTTAAAAAAAAAAAAACTTTAGTGCAAGGTGCCAGAAATGAGTGGCACTAGACTGTGGCAAGGGACAGTACAAGGATGCCTTCTTAAACTCATCAAAGCTGAAAAGTGCCTCCATTCCCTTTGTCTCAGCACCATTTTAGTGACTGGATTTTCCAAGTCCTGAGAAGCAGGGCGAGTCTCACTCTCTGTTACTGCTTGCCTTGGCGTACAAATATGCCTTGGGCAGGGCAGGAAAGGAAACAGGGAGGACAGATGACAGTGTGTGGAAAGGCTTAGAATTAAAATACTAACATTGTTCCTTTTAGTTTTGGTTTCATGATGCCCACTGGTGGCCACAGCTGATCAATGCAAGTACTTAAGCCAACACTACAATGGCCAGATAGTTTGTAGGAAAAGAACACTGAAAACTGCTCTGTAATGCTGCACAGGAACAGACTTAGCAACTTTTATTGCTAAGGAGGGAATCCTGAAATGTAACCTCACCCCAAGAAGGTATCCACAATGCTTCCATCCAGCTGATGGGGGTGGGAGGGGGGAGACAACAGCCTAATTTCTATTTTCTTGTGGTTCTCACATGTTTCTTTGACTATCTCTATTCACAAGTTAGCCCCACTGAGTTCCATGTAAGCTACTCCCAAGGCAAGCATGTACAAGACTGCAGCCTAAGAAAAAGAACAGAAATGAAAATGTAAACAGATTCAAACAGAGACGTCACAGTTGCAGAAAATATGTCTGTCAAAATGCAATTACCAGCAAAGTTGTAGTAAAATACGACAGTCAGCATGTTTTTGTTAGACACTTTTTCAGAGAAAAATAAGCTAGTATTATCAGATTCTGGAATTATGTATCTAACTGGCCAATCTCACAATGTTTCAAAATTAAACAGCTGTTTCTTTCTACCATAAAGATCTTATTTTTTGGCCCTATCCAACCCCAAGTTTTTACATCTGTACCTGCTTATTAATAGAATTCTGTCTTCACAATTGGGAATTTATTATATGTATTTATATATATACACACACACATGCGCTTCCTGGAGCCAGAAGCAAGGTAGAATGAGAGTAAGAAATTCTTCCATGTAGCAACTACAAAAGATCTGTTTGGCAAAATCCCAGCGTAGTGTCACTCCTCCCATGGGCTCATATCTGTGTCGATGGCCACGCAGTTATAAGCTGCATAACGCAACTTTTCCTCACAGACCTTGGCACTACAAATGAAAAAGAAAACTCTTTATCTCTACAGTCATGTTGGTAACCGCCAACCCACCCTGACTCCTAAGCACGAGGCCCTTCCTCACCACTACAGCCAAATGCCATCTGTGCGGTATATTAGCCCGATGCCAGTAAGGCTTCTCTGTGTTTCCATATCTTCAACACAGGAATCACCCTTTTTCGCTGGCCTGCTAGCCACTGCGAATACCTCTTTCCTGATCCCCAAGGCACAGCCCTGCCCTCCTAGCTCTCTGTAGTTACTTCTCACAAACTGTCCCAAATTTTCAGCAACCTTTCCCAAATCTCTGCCACAATCACCTCTCCGGTATAATAGCTTTTTAGCAGAGCAAGACTTACGAGGCATAGTTGGGCAAAAAGAGTGTGCTAGAGCAGGTGGATGATTCAGGAAGCGCATCAGTGGTCTCAGAGCTTGAGAAGCAGAAAAAAAGAAGGCAGTCAGTTCTGCAGGGAAGGTTCTACTGGACCCCGGAAAGACAAAATGGCTGCCCACTCAGCCCCACCTTGATGGAAAAACATTACTCACCCTAATTTGTCAGGATATATATAAATTCGAGCAGGAAGTCGGCTTCTTCCAGTCACAAACCTCAGGAAGCGACTGCGATCCTCTGAGGGGAAGAGTAGATAACCATCTGAAATTCTTAGGGGGATCACACCACAAATCCCTCTCTACAACATGTTTGCCCAAGAAGTATATAAGGTCAAAGCTTAATTAACCAAACCTTGAAGGCAAAGTAGTCCTGATCCAACAAATGAACTCAAAGTATGTGACAGAGTGAAAGCCGGTCAATGAATTGGGAGTGAAAAAGGTGCCACAAATAGGTAAAACAGGTGAGCTATAGTAGTAGAGTGAACTGTAATGGTCTATTTGGAGCTCTTCTACTCCACTCCCACTGCTCAAACTTTCCCTTCCCAATATTAGCTTGAACAAACAATGTCATCTACAGGATTGCAGTTGCTTTTCTTCTTTACAAAGGGATCTGCAGGGAGCAGCTACAAACTGGATCCACAGGAAAGAGTCTCTGAAAGCACCCTGTGCCCAGAGTCCCATTGTTGGCAGGTGCAGATTCCCCTACATTATCAATGCACAACAGTGTGCATTGGGCTGGAGTCCACTCACCATTAGTGAAATTGTTCAAGGCCTCCCAGAAGTACTGAATTCTGGTGTCTGAGGGTTCAAAATCTTCAAAGCGAGCTGTGTGTAAGAAAAAACAGACACAATACACACTGGGAGAAAAGCTATACTGGCAGAGATACAGTTCCTATCAAGGCCCAGCTGGAGGAGAGAGGGGAAATGACGTGCCTGCATTTGAGCAGAACAGACCCAGAAAGAAAGAATCATATGTCCTTCCTTTGAGTACACAGACTAGAATGGTTCCATATGAACTCTCAACTACTATCCTATTTCTTTCCATTTATATTTATTAATGAGTGGATTGATCTATTTTAATTAATACATTAATTATAATCTCTTTATATTTATTATATAACGTTATATTATATATCAAGTACAAATATATTTTATTATAGATAAATATATATTACTTTTGTTTATGGCCATCTAACCATAAACAGAGTTAAATACCACCAAGGACTCCAAGAGTACGCTTGGTTGCCTTTTTGGTTATTGTTAACAAGTTGTGAGCCACCGTATTATTTTTACAATGGAAGAACAGAATACAACAATTCTGATCAATACAGCTTTCAGCGTCTTGTCATTACACAAGATCTACTCAATGAAGTTATGGGTCTGCAAATCCAGTTCTTCTATTTGCCAGGTGTGCAAACATGTGATGCTAATGCTGCATGCTGAACTCACAGCACAACCCATTGATATGGCCCTCATGCTGAAAATCTCAACACAGCAGTTGCATACAGAGTGGCCAGTCACAGCTTCAATCAAGTACTGCACACATCTCATGACGACTTCACTCTACCAATGGAGAGTGGTGCGCAGGGCTGTATTCACACATAATGGCAAGCCATGCTGACGATGGCTTGTTATTTATTTATTTATTAAAACATTTCTATGCCGCCCCTTGCCGAAGCCTCGGGGCGGCTCACAACACAAAATAAAATACAATAAAATACAAACATAACAATATAAAATTCACAATATAAAATAAATAACAATATAAAAGAAGTCGTTATGTGTGAATACTGGAAGTGTGATGAAATGTAGCACATCTGGCTGCTGTGAATCATCATGGAGAACCTATGTTAAGGTTTCCACATTTCAACATTGCTTTTCATTAAGTGTGAGGCTGGTTGCAATGTTTTACCATGGTTTCCCCATTTCAGCCAATGAATTTGGCAGCAAGAGCAGCCACAGGCACCTTGGCTACCATTTTCTGCTGCTCCATTTGCCTAACAACAGCTGAGTTGCTAGCAGAGAGAGTGCTGATTGGTTGCCCCTACGCCCTCTGTCACCCTTCCTGGTGCACTCCCTAAAGTTTGGCCATTATTTAGATTATTATTTATTTTATTTAGAACATTTCTATGCTGCCCCATTCGCCGAAGCCTCGGGGCGGCTCACAAATATATCAATTAAAATATTATACAATAAAAATATAAAACAAGTGAACAATATAAAATAAGTCGCCCTGGCCGAAGAATAAAATAAATAAATAGTATTAGCAGTTAAAAATGACGTTTGAATAAAAAGGTCATCCCGCTGTCATGCTCGCTGCTTGGCCCCCTCACCTCTTCACCGCTCACCACTACGCTGATCTTGCTGCCAGGCCAACCTTGCACACACCTCTCTCTCTCACATACACACACCTCCTGCGACCAGTCTTGTGAGGCTGGCATGCTGGCAAGTGGCAAAGAGGCACGTGGCCAGAGCGGTAGAGCTGAGGAACAGCAAAGCAGTGATGGCGGGCATAGTAGCAGTGGGGCAGCCAAGCACTGGGAGGGAGCGCCTCCAGCTACTCTAGTAAGTAGACAGGGCCCCCAGGGGACAGCAGGGAAAAGGCGGCGGCTGACTAAGGACATGCCCAGGGGAGCATGTGGGCCACTGGAGTAGAGGCAGGCAATGCGGGCAGGAACAGTGAGTGCCGAGATTGGCCCCCAGCCATGGAATGTGCCACCACAGGTGGAAGACGGAGGCACACGAAAACTGCCTGTGCGTAGCTAGCTTGTGGATGAGTGAAGACAGGGCACCAGGTAAGGAAGGTAACACAGTGATATTCCTAAGCAGTATTTGTGAATGCAGCCACTTACTGAGCTTCTTCAGGGCCTCAACGGTAACTTCTGGGTCACCACAAACCTTCTTCTCCAGTTCCTGCCAAGTGAGTAGGTCCAGTACAGCCTGAGGCACTACCTTAAGAAGTCCAGCTTGCATGGCTGCAATCTGGAAGGCAGGGAGGAAGAAACAGGAAAAGTGAACACAGTACCAGTACCAAAACGATGAAATGGAAATGTAAGAAAGGCAGGCTACTTACTGCCTGTCAAGCACACAGTGATGAGCAGCTTGTTTGCGAAGTTTTCTAGAAAAATTTCTTAATAGACAGTCTGCTTAAAGCAACGCTCAGTTTTTTTTAAGTGTCAAAATAAGAAGAATCTATGCTGGAGCATGCTGGGAGTCTAAACTTGCATAAGGTTGCATCCTTATATGGTATTTTACACCTGTTTCATGAGAACTGGAATGACTCCACAAGCTCTCCAATAATGCATTGATAAATTGGAAAATTTTGCTCTTAAATGCAGTCCCACAACTATTCACTAAATTTTCTGTTTTCAACTTCTCTCACCATCCCACAAACTGTCTCTTCCCCTCTGCATTAAAAATTTGGATTCAATTTCTGCTTTGGAAAGTAAACAGCTGGGTGAAAATGTTGCATTTCAAATGTATATTGGTATTCTTTGCTAGTGAATGACCAAACTCTTGAGACAGATGTTTAACACCTTCTGGACCTACCAGAACTAACTAGGATGTGGTAACAAGATGTGGTTGTTAGATCTAATTTGCCTGGTGGGATTGAGGGGGATTCCATAGTTTGAAAATCTCACAAAACAAGAGAACCTGGAAGTAATATTTACATTTCAAGGGGTACAGAAAAGGAAAGTGCCCCCCTTACCTTTGGCAATGGTCCCTTAACTTTTTAAACAGCTAAGCACACAAAATTTGGCAAAATTTGTGGGAGCTGAGTTGGGACTTGTGGATTTCATCAAGGGCTTACCTACCTTTCTCCACATGTTCCAAGCTTTTGCTTAGAAGAGTGAAAAAAAATCTGACACTTTCTTGCATCCCAAGATCAAGGCAATAGGTCATACACAGGGACAAAACAATCTCAGAATGACCTGTGAAGTGCTTTGCTACAAATCACCCAAGTGAGCAAGAGTCACACACCAAAAGAAGTCCAGCACTGTCAGCTGCTGGATGGGATGCCAGACACATTTGAACTGCCTTAATGCCATACTGCATTACCTGCTCCTTGCTCTCATTTAGCCGTGCCTTCTGCACCAGGTGGATGAAATCCAGGCGGTCTTCGTAGCGCACCACAGTGTGGCTGCCACCAGGGATAAGTTCCACCATGCGCTGGTCACTTAACACTGTGGTGTAGGTCAGCTCATTCCCAAACTTGAAGTCAAATGTCTCTTTGTCCATTACTTCCATCATTTCCAGAAGCTTCACCTGATAATTTGAAGAAAAGCTGTCTCACCCAGAACTTCCATGGCCAAGATAGCAAGAGAGGGGGTGACTGAGATATTACATAAAACCACAGCCATAATTAAATGTCTACTGTAATATACTGCAAGAACATCTTCCCATCAGCTTGGAACTGTATTACGGGTGAGTTCACACACCAAGACAAGTAACCTGCGTGGTTTCCCCCATGCAGGTTTTTGGTAGAGATGTGTCTGAAAGACAGGTTCATCGTGGTACCTCTGCTCCCATCTTCCATTTTCTTTCCTCTCAATCCTTTAGGCATTATCCCAGGAGGAATGAAGCTCCTTGTTTTGGCAAGCATGATTGTAAGCCGAACTTCAGTTGGACACTTCATGGGCACTGGACTGGGAACACCTCTCTGGTGAGCCAAGGCGGATGGCTGAGGCACACAGCATCCAACCAGTCATCACAGTCCAGTGGATTGTTCCTCCATCTAGTGTAGGAGGGGCTTCACTTTGGTACATGAGAAAGGGGCACTTTTCAATGTTCAGTTCAAGTTAATGAAACAGGTGTTCCTTGAATAATCCTTGGCATCATTTTTAATTGGGGAAGATATGACATTAACATGGCAAATTATACATGGGATTTCATGTATAACTTTACTGGGGACAGACTATCAGGATAAACTGTATATTGCTACAGTCACACACACACACACACACACACATCTCTGTCCATACGTAATTAAAACACAGTAAAATAACAACAAAACCTTGAAGCACAGGGAGGGGAAAACTATCCCAACTAACTGCCCCTCACAACACTTCACAACACAACATATCAGCTTAAAGAGTTATGACCAAAGGGGAAGAGAGGAAGAAGCAGCAAATAAAAATGGGGTGCTAGTGGGGTTTCAGCTCTATTCCTTCTCCACCTGGCTGCAGTCTTAAAAAACAAAACAATATACACCTATTTGCTAATATCATAGCAACATATATCTCATAACTGTCTACGTGGAAGTAGATTGCTTGCTGTAAAGTGAAAAGAATCCAGCTCATCTTTGCTCCTGATGACTGAATGATGTTGAGGCAGGTATGGCAGCAAACAAACCTTGAGGACTCCTTTCCTTTTTTTTTTTAAACCGGGCAATCCAAAGGTACATTTATAGATGGCTCTGTGCTAGAACTGTTAACAGCTTCCCTCTGGTGAACAAATCTACAGAGGCTCGCAGCCCCCAGCCAGCTGCTGCCATCTAGCGGCTTCTTGCCCAGCTGCTGAGGCAAGAGGGGCAGCACAAACGAATCCACTGAGGTACACAACTGGGTGTCACCGTCAAGCAGATTCTCACCACTCCCACCTGTGCAGGACTGGTGGGGAATTAACTGAGCAGTGCTGCACTTCTTCAGCACCAACCAGCTGATTGCCTGTTCCTGCCCCAAAGAAGATCTTTAGGGGGGAGTGGAAATGCCTCTGAGAGTTGCGCAGCTGTCAGAGGTGTTCTCTGGTCCCTTGGCCTTGGTACCATGAATTGTGTTTTCTTGTTCAGATAACAGAACAAGCAATTGCGGTACCAAGAAACCACAGAACAGACTGTTATTTCTGTTCATGGTTTCTCAAAACCAAACATATCATGCTGAAATACTGTGGTGTGTTTGGGTTTTACACTTTGTGTAACAAAACCCACCACTGTTTGTCTTGTCATGCGAATCCACCCTATATCTAGCACAGTTGGTATGGCTGAAACTATAGAACTGTGGGCCACTTTACACTGTTGATTATGAATGTGGAAGGAAGCTGCCACTCCCCTTCCCCTTAGCATTTTAGGGGGAAAAAAGTCACCTGCTCTGCCATGTTGGCATTTCAAATGCATTGACCATGCAGAAAAGCACTAGGAACCAGTTGTACCCCCAAGCATTAATAATGACAATAGATACATAATCTCCAAGTAACTCACCAGCACAGAGTCAACAGCAGGGAAATCCTTACTCCAACTCACATTCTCCCCAGTCAATTGCTTCCAGACAAAGCCAGGTAGGGCCAGGACCTTGGAGAAACATGAAGAAGATAGGCAGTTCTGCAAAGCATTGTTTCTGGATGCAATCTTTTACGGCCCACTATGCCCAAAGGAAATATTTCAGAAGGTAAACAGGCAAGAATGATCTCTAGGTTTGTTTGTTTTAGGAATACTGTGCTCTGTTTCTCATTTTAAATGATGATGTTTTAGTACAAGGGTCCTAAATATGGCTTTGAGTTGGTAGCCATATTTGGAATTTTGAGAGCATATCATGGGTGCTCTCACAAAATGGCTGCCATAGTAGACATGGTCAGTCACTTATTTGCCAGAAGGCAAACTGGTGAGACTAAGTGAACAGTAACCTAAGTACAAAGTACAAGGTACTAGAGACCACATTTGTCTGTAAGTACAATAGTGAACCTAAGTACAAGGGTGAGGTGGCGTCTGAACTCCATAACACAAAACCAGTCAGCTGAACCAAAATCAAGACAGCGCTGGAAGGCAGCACTTCACTTTGCAGCCAGCCAGTTTCAGTTAAAATAAGTAAATTAAAAACATATCTTTAGAGAGAAAAATTGGGAAGGGAAAGCCTGACAAATATCAAGAGAAGTGCCTGTGGGCACTGGTGCACACTGGTGCACACAGACACTGTGTTGGAGACCTCAGTATAGCGTAGTGATGGTATTTTTAGCTATACATGAGTGAACTGGCCTTAAAATTCACTTATACATAGGTTAAAAACACAATAAAATTGTACAGAGAGATCATCTAGCCAGAAAATAAAATAACTAGGTACAGTGGAGAAAATAAGGTGCAGTGGGAAGCTTGGTTTCCATGGCTTGTACCAAGGAGAGGCTGGTCTCTGGCTGACACTCACAAGGAACTCCATGCCACGTAGAGCTGCACCCATGATCTGTCCAATCCACTCGTATTTGGTGAACTCCTTGCAGGATGGGTTGGGGACATACATGTCCCGAGCCTCTCCAGTACTACTGCCCTGAAATAAGAAACAGTTGTTGCGAGGATAAGACTAAGAGGAAGAGGAGAATAATGAAAATGACCTTGAGTTCTTTGAAAGGAAAGGAAGTGGGGCATAAATGCAATCATCATCATCATCATCATCATCATCAGGTCTTGCTCAAGCTAGTGCATGAGGATGCAGTCAGCACAGACTCCATGCTGCCATTACCAGGATATCCAGCAGGATATCCTGCTCAATACCAGGATCCCTAGCAAAGGGATGACCTCCCCATAGCAGGAAGACACATTGCCGCACTCCCTGACACTATGTAGTGATCTGATGTGGATGAAAGAATGACTCTAAGAAACACAATTCTTTGTCTCTCAGCCATTTTTGCCATGCAGTGGAGGCAGGCTAAATGGGCACACTAAGGAGGACCAAGCAGAAGAATGCTATAGAAAGGGTAGAAGTTGGCTTCTGGAAGTTAATCTGATGGCAACAAAGCCATCAGAGATAGAGCTTTTATGTCCATGCTAACAGTTCCCTACAATAATGCTTCCTACATAATCCCCCTTTTCAAAGCTTGCCCTTGTCCTCATATTAATAGAATCCGCTCCTCAGGTGTTCCCAACAACAAAAAAGACTTAGCTTCAGCAGACAGTACACACCTGGTTGGATGTGCGAACAAAAAAAGGCAGCGGTACAGGGGTCTCGGCTGAACTAGGGCACAACTCTTCAGACATATCAGCAATGCTATCCCGGAAACCACCACCTGGGAGAGAAACAAGAAGCACCACCTTCATATTTTTGTTCTACCAGTACTTTATCCAGGTTCCAGGTCTTCCTATTACCATTACTGAGACCAGCCCAATCTTCTGTAGCATGCATAAAATCCTGAGAGTACACAGAGATAAATGCTCAGGATGATTTGCTATGTCTGTTCATGTTTGGCAATGTCTCTGTTGAATCCTGTTGGGCTTAAGCTTCTACAGGATGGTCAGCCTGAGACAGAAATCTTTTGACTGCCCCCCACACACTGGTTTTATATTTGCCAAGCCAGCAACAGAGTTATAGCGCTACACATCTTCATCACCTGCCCCATGCCTCTTAACTGGGAGTGTATTTAAAAAATGATCCAAATCCAATCCAAAAGAAATCTGAGATTATGATACAGTGGTGCCTCGCAGTTTGAATGCCTCTAGTTTCAAATGAATCTGCAGGATGAACTTAGAAGCATGGTGAAAAAAATGTGGTCTCAGCAAAACTGTCATTGGTTGTGCACACAAGTTAAAAAAAATACATTACAGTAAAAGACACATTGCCATTAATCCCCCTCAAAATACTCCCCCTCACTTTGAACACACTGACCACATTGCTCACGCCACTTTCTGAAGCAGTTCTGGAAGTCATTTTTCATAAGTGTCTTTAGTTGCGGTGTTGTGGCTGCCTCGATGTCATGACTTGAATTGATTTGTCTCATCTTGAATCAATTCATCTTCAATCGATTCAGGACATTGAGGCAGCCACAACAGCGCAATTCATCTAGAATCGATTCATCTTGTCTTGAATTGATTAATCTTGAATTGATTTAGGACACTGAGGCAGCCACAAGTGCACAGCTAAAGACACTCATGAAAGAGGACTTCCAGAACTGCTTCAGAAAGTAGCAAGAACAATGGGGTAAATGTGTTTGAAGCGAGGGGCGATATTTTGAGGGGGATTCATGGCAACATGTCTTTTAATATAATTTTTAAAAATTTAAACATTTACCATATTTTTTGATCACACCTTGTATATAACCTTGGACTTAATTCATTTCAAGAGGCTGTATTTGCTGTTTAAGTTTACCACAATGGGTATTGTTCAGGGCCTGGGAACAAATTAATTCACCTTCTATTATTTCTAATGGGGAAGATTGATTCAGACTGTGAACAATTCAGAGTTCATATGGTCTCCTAAAACAAATTAAGTTGGCAGTACAAGGCACCACTGTAATCAAAAATATTTGCAAGTATTGTGGTGGTCATTGTGAAAAGAAGAAAGATCTTGGGATTGGGGGCAGAGAATAGGAGTTTGGGGGAGGGCTACAGAATCCTCACATGACCAGCTCAGTCTCAGATTGATTTCTTCCAGGAACCATCATGGCTAGAGACTTACCTGTTTCTCTTGTTTTTATTGAAATATACAAATATCTAAAGACCGTGTTTGTCTCAGCTATAATTTTGGACTACACAAAGGCTAGAACTTACCCTGATCAATGATGCCCTCAGCAATGAATTTGCACTCCCACCACTGGTCATAACGCAGTGGCCACCTGAGATGAAAGGAAAATGAGCAGGTAAATCTACCAGTGTGGGATAGCAGGAGTTACTGCACTGTTGGTAAAAAAGTCACATCCAAAAATCAAGTTCCTTGAATGAACTTGAATGACTGGCTTGCAGCAGATTTTTGGTGAGGTATTTTACTTTATTTACTTATTTATGTACAAGTATAGACATTTTTATTCAGCATCCCATAATTATGACATCCATAGGGATTCAACAAATGTAAAAAGGTATCTGTGTAATAAAAATGCTTACGGGCAAGTTTATCTACAGTAGGAGGCATAAAAATAGCCTTTTTAGAATCAGAACCACAATTATGGTCTTAAAGGCTGCCTAAAAGGGAATTACAGGATGGTGGGATATCAGAGATTTTCATGTCGGGAAACCAGTCCCAGCACCACCAGGTTTTCAAAACAGGGGAAAGACTCAGTAGACAGAACACTGCCTTACAGTGCATGTTTGGTCAACAACAGTGTGAGAAATGCTTTAAACAAAAAAGCAAAAGTTACTTGAATGCTGACAGCTGTTGCCCATGCAAGAATTTTCAAAGGGCTTGCAACCCGAACATCCTCCCAAGACAATGCATTTCTGTCTAGCAAGCTCTTATCTATGCAAATCAAGGTATATCCTCTTTCTGCGTATTGAGCTTTTGCTTTGCAACAAGTTCCGTGGTGCTTGACACTCAGGTGTTCAGAGATACCAAACAGTCTGATTGTAGAAGTGCAAGGGAGGGGAGGCAGATGGCAACTGAACAATCATGGAAGCACTCACCTATAATCCAGGGGTTTCTCATACTTGTCGGAAGGTTTCAGGCCTTCATACACCTACAAGGGTAGAGAATGTGGCCAAGGAGTTAAGAGGGAAAGGGATGGGCAATGATGCTGATTGACAGCAAAGCACCAATGCGAATCCCTTGAAGGCCTTTGTGCCTTTGCTGTTGTACAGCAGAGGACTGGAGAACAGGTAACAAAAAACTATTCTATCAATGCTGTCTGGTTAGGCAGATAAAAGTATTTGTGTGGGTGGGTTGTTTTGTTTTTTTATGTGGAAAGCACAAGCACAGTCCCCCAAATTATGTAGGCAAGTTTCCTACATTTGGAGAAACTGCAGGTGTCAGTGCACCCAGAATACAATGGATGAATCTCACCCTGGAAAAACTGCTTTGACCAAGGTGTCTCCTCTGCCAGGTAAGCATAGATAAAGTATTAGCAATAAGGGACAGTCATGAAATTAAAAAGCCTGTGTGATGAAGTGGAAGAGATTGAATGCAGAAAATTCGGATTCAAAGCCCTGCTCATGCACTGGCCATAGGACAGTCACTACAGGCAAGCCTAACTTCACGGTGTTGTCATAAGGATAAAATGAGATAATTCTATTGAGAAGCTTTTATCGGTGGAAGAAGGGGTAAAACAAACGTTAAGTATAGAAACAAACAAACTGAGAAGTCCTGTTATGCAAAGGCCTCAAAAAGAGAACTGGGCACAAACACAAAACAATTTCTGAGAATCTGGGGAAAAAATCCGCCCTGGGATTATAGCTTACAGACATATGTACTTTCTGCTGGGGAGAGGTTAGGGCTGAGTATGTTAGTTACCAAACTCCTTGTACCAGAAAAGACAGGAAGTTAAGCTCTGAACTTTCTATCACATTACACAAGCAAATTCTTGGAAAATGCTGAATTTTATCATAAAGTGAAGGGATTCAGGAGCATTGAAGGAGAAGCTGCACAGCCCTACAAAACTGCTTGCTTGCTTAGGTGAAGACATTCGTTCTTGGATATAGTTTCTACCAGGAACTGAATCTATTTTGGAGGATGGAACTTGAAAAAATGCCTGAGGTACAGTATAATAACAGTTGTGGGTTTTTCTGCCTATGCAACCTGCTATTTCACAAGTGTCCATTTCCGCACAGGGCATGTGCTAGTGAGTGAGCTGGCCTTACCTGGGTGAAAACAGTGTTTTTACAGCTAGGATCAAGTGCTGGGTTGTCACGATGCTCCATGGCCAGGCGCCGGTTGATGTAGAGCCGTGGCCTGAAGTTCGGTTTGCTTGTCTCAGAGTCTTTGAGGCACTGGGTGATTAGTACCATACGCCGCTTGGACAGTAGCAGGAACTGCTTGATTTGCTGTCATGGACAAAGCGGGACAGCAATATCCTAAAACTTAATATCTTCCTTCTCCCACCTTCCCACCAGTCCTACTGCCAACATCACCCACAAAATGTTCTAGCACCATCAATTTTCTTTTAAGAAACCCTTTCAGGTGGGATGACTCATGCTTGATGCAGAAAGTTACTTCCATTTTCCACCTAAAATTTCAATGTATTTTAAATTTATTAGAATATAAAAATATATAGCCAGGTTTCCCTATTAACTCATGTTCATCTTTAAAACAGTTGTCTATTTCAGATGATCAAATGAAGAAACCTACTTTGGAATCTGAAAAATCTATTTGCAACAGTCTTTCACACAGTCCATGCTTGAAACCTTGGCCTTCTTTTAAATGACCATCACTTGAGCTACAGAAAAAGCCTGTGAGTGTATCCCTTTAAAGACTGCTACAGAAAGATTTTCAAACTTTAAAGATATATGTTAGGACATAGTATGAACAAGTGTCTTTGAGCGTACTGCATGAAATCTTTAGGTCAACCAAACTAGGAGTCCTGGATCCTCATCTCTACTGTGACACTTGTACATAATCACTTGTACATAATCGCTGCAATGAAGTCAGAGAACTGCGAGCACTAAGACAGCTTTCACATGGACCACTGAGTGCGCAAGCATAGGCCCATGAAAGTGCGCAGAAGCAGTAATGCTTGCCCCAAAGACAAGTTTGGGGGTAACTTGCCTCCTTCAGCAGGAAACTTGCTGTCCAGCATAAGCGTATCAGTTAAAATTAGAGAGGCAGCTATTTTTATTTAGATAATGTGCCAGTCCACAGAAAGGCTGAAGGAGAATCTCCACAGCAACAGGATCCATGTGGCATCTCTGCTATGGCCTTTTCTTCACACAAGCCTCCCTTGCCTGCAGGAAGCAAGTTGGAAACAGAGCCTAGCTGGTTGACCAGTCAAGCCCCAGAGTAAAATACAGACATTCATTCAGTTTGTTTTTGACTTTTGTCAAAGGAAAAGAGGCCTCATAGGCAGGGTAAGCTATCAAGAAGTACTATTGTATTAGCTGTTCAAAAGGAAACAAAGAAACTGCCACATGAGAAAGATTCCAGCCTCACCTTGAGCTCACTGAAGGTGCCAAGTGTGTAGTCCCATGCTGGAACAAGGTGGTGAAGAACACTGTCCAAGATCTTGATAAACCTACCAAAATGGAAGTGCAGAGCATGAGAAAAGCAGAAGCAACCTATCTGAATTTAGTAGGGAGTGACACCCAGAGTACTTGGCACCTTACCACATGTTCATGTTAAGAGTAAGAACATGCTCCACCTTTTCATTCATGCAAAGTATATCGTGTTCAATAATAAAATCTTTCTGAGTAGCTAGCAATCACAGAAAAATAATTCCATATACAGATAAAACCACAATCATTTCATGCAAATGCAAGAAGAAAAACCAGCAGTAAAACGGTAACAAACACATAGCAGCATCAGAATTTTCTGATTAATGACTCTGGAAGTTCTCACCCTTTCCCTGTGATTATAAGCACGCACTGGCTTATGGATATAAGAATGCAAGTAAGCCATGTTTCAGCACATGCTCAAAGAAATATTCTCCAAGTTCGTAGGATGAGTGGTAAGTAACTCCCAGTGGTAAGCTCTATAGTACTCCAAGTTCCTGGCAACAGAATAATTCAGATGCAGAATAGGACACTGGTGATGCAGGTCTTGGTGTGCTTTCCCTTTTTCACGTACTCCATTCATCAGTTTTGTATCCAATGCAACAAAGCTCAAGGAACCAAGGTTCAATATGGATGCCAGCAAGTACTTCCTGACAGTTAAGACACCAAGGGTATGGGACGGGCTTCCACAGGAAACCCCACCAGTGAGGGTGTTTAAGGATAGGCTGGACATGCACATAGTAGGCATGTCATGAGTGGAGCTGGCTAGTCAGACTAGATGGCCCAGGAGGCCTCTTCTGACTCACTCTGTTTCTATGTTTGTACAGACACATACACACAAAAGAGATTATTGTCTTCCCCTCCACAAATGCAGATAAGTTATCACATCTTATTGCTTTGAGACAGCTGCCTGGTGTTCCTTAGTGGCATTCCCCTTACCTTTGGATGATCAAGGCCCGCCGGTAGAGCACATCAGGATCCCTCCCCTCAAGGCGAGGATACCTCACTAGGTTGGCTGGCTGAAACATGTCTGCATTGAGCCCCAGTTCCCGTTGCCGAGAAGATTTAATCTTTATGCCCCGGAGCCGGACATCAATCCCATCATCTGCATAAAATAGAAAGACAGTGCAGCTCAGGCAAGAAAGCCAATTAAAAACAATTTCCTCTGGTGAAGGGAGAAGGGGATACTGCAGGGATGGGGTCTTCTCTGCAAATGACCCAGGGCCATCATAAATAGAAGCTGTATCAGTTTTATTCCTGCAGAATTTCAGAGTCCTACTCATTTGATGCAACAAAAGCATGAATACTGTGGCAGTTTAAAGATTAACTAATATACTGAAATAACTACCATACATGCATGCTTTCATAGCCTTTGCTGTTTTATTATTATCAAGTGCCAGGGCAGCTACTATGCAGTGACCCCTTAAGGTTGGGGCGTAGACCTTCTTTCAGAACTTCTTTCACTCTGGAGATGCTCTTCAGGATCATATTCCAGTGCTGGGTGGGTCTGAAGGCAAAAGTGGCAGGGCCAAAAAAGAAAAATGCCAATACATTTTAGTCTAAAGCTGATATTTCCAGTAACTAGACCACTGGGGAGATATTTTAGTCATTTACAATTGAGGAGAAGTGGCATAAAAGCCAGGAAAGCACCAGGCAATGGAGGTTTGGAGGGAATGATTTGGTGGTTGGGGGAAAGTGGGTAGGTCCACAGGAAGGGAGCATGGTTTTCAGAGGAGCACTGAAGGGCTGGATTGGGATTCAGGGCCTGCAATTCTACACCTCTGGAAAAGCGGTCCCAATTCCATGCGGACTACAGGGTGGAATTCTTGCAGCCCACCTCCCACAGCTTAACAGGCTCCTTCCCACGCGGACACGCACCCACACACCTCGGCATTCCACAATGCGGATTTCAATCACAGGCAAATGAGCAGTCATGTCTTCCAGCACACACACATCCCCGATGTAGGTCCTGGGGATACAAAAACATCTGTTTCCTTTTGCACAGGTTGGACCTTCTCCTTCCAGCAGGCAACTCTTTAATCTTACATGTTCTGAATCTATGGGAATTGTCACATTAGGGTGGAGTGGGAGCTGAAACCTTCTGGACAACCCAAACCAGGAGTGGGCAGCTTCTCGCATGCCAGATGTTCGACCTACAAACATCTAGAATTGCTGTTCAACAGCATCCGGAGGGCCACCACCCACCTCTGTTGCCCACCTCTGACGCAAGCTCCCTTTGATTGACTGGGGGATGCATGGGGAGCTTTTGTGCTAACAAAGACGCTGGGGTGGGATGGCAGGTGCAAGAGCTGAGTGTATCTTCTGCAGACACTGTTGCACTCTAAGGGCTGGTTTCTGCGTTATCTTGTCACATATAGCAACCTTCCCCCGCCAGCCATGTTGAATGGAGAATGCAACCCAACCAATTTCGAAGGGCGCTTGGGTCAGGAAAGACTAGCATACAGAGATATTTAGCCCATCAGTTCTCCTATTGCAAGCCTTTCCCAGTGGGTTCTGCTCAGAACATTTGGCCCTGAGATCCTCGTGCTTTTGTGGTGGATGGAACTCCCTTCCCTGGGTGAGCGTATTTAAGAAGCAATGAACAGGCATTTGATGTTCAGGATTAACCAAATGCAGAGGTTGGGTGATGATGGAGATGATGCAGCAGAAGCTGCCACCACCACCTTGTGTTTAAGCACCTGACTGCCACCTGGAACAACAAGGAATTGCCTGCACGGAAGCTGAACTGGCAGGCAAGAAAGGGTCAGATTGTTCTATCCCTCCTCCATGTCCACAAAAGAGCAAGCTGAATGCCTAAGGAGGAAATCTGCTTCCTCAGCATCAGCTTAGATGATGCAAGTACAGAGTGCTCCATCTCTCCTCTCCCAGCAGCTAGTAACACTTTTGGCTTTAGCGGCCTTAATACAGGGCTATAATAATATGCCTCCTTTTTCTGAACCCATGCAATATAATAGGCTATGAGCTCAAAAACAAATTGCTGTGCATGAATTGCTGAACTCTTCACCAACATGGGCAGGAGTGACAGTCCATTGCTTTCTATCACCATCTTAGTTTGGTGGCATTTTACACTTCCTATTCTTCCCTCCCACTTCCCATGTCCTTGGACATGAAGAAGTAATTGGAGCAGGTTGTTAGTTTAACTTCATACCTGGCTTTCCCTGCCATCCAATTCCCCACTTAGTACCCCGACTCACTCATCAATGCCCACGTCACTCAGTTTCTTCAGATTATCTCCTTCACCACCATACACAGTCACCCTCTTCGGCATGAAATTCTCATCTGTTGTGTCCACAGTCAGGAACAGCTTCCTGAGGAAGGGAATCAAGAGGCAAACATAGGACAATGAGAAGACATAGTTGGAAAACTTCTAAAATTGGGGCAATTCTATTAGGACCAGAAGCCGAAGGACTGCAGAAAGAATCGAATGAAACAGGGCAGCTCTACACAAACAGGACAAGCTTCCAGTTTGATTCTTTCCAGATTTCTTATAAGCAGTGGATTGCTCAAGCCAGCTTAAAGCCTTCAGGGACTGGAAAACTTGGGTAAACATCTCAGCTTAAGCAAGTCTCTTAAATGTCCACCCCAGTCTGTATTCTGTACATCTGGGAAAGAGGGAGGGAGGAGAAGAACTACCACAGATGAACACTAGCAATGGCAGAGGAACTCTTCCAACTGACGTTTTCTGAGGCTTGGAGAAAAATATCTAGCACTTTTTCCCTTTTCTAAGAATTCTCCAGAAAGCAGAAAGTTCCAGCCCATTCTGACCTCTGATGGGGAGGAACGTCCCTCACTGGTCCCAACTTCTGTGAAAACATCTGTGATCAGAGTTTTTCAGGTCTTATTTAATAGAAAAGTAAGTGGGAGGAAGATTAAACTCAGCTCTGCTTCCTTTTAAAAAGGAGAAAGTGAGACTAAAGAAATATTTTATTCAACAATTTAGAGACCAATTTGGGACTATTCTAGAACAGCATTCCACTTAGGGGTGTGGGGGAGCTACAGCAATATCCATGAGTACAATCCCTTGATGTTATTGTGCAGGAAAGTAGTTTCTACCTAGCAGGCTCTCCTCCATTATCAAACACGCTGAACAAGAGGAAGCCCAGGTAGATCATGACCAAGCAACACTCATCTCATCAGTATGCTGACTGCACACAGCTCTGTCTTTCCTTTTCAGTCTCATAAGGATAAGCTGTGAATGTCCGGCTGCAACAATGAACTGGATGAGGCTAACAAACTGAAGCTCAATCCAGACAAGACTAAAAATGCTGCTGGTAAACAGCTCTTCAGACTAGGTAGAGAGGGTAGAAATGTTCTGGATGGAGTTGTACACCCCTTGAAAGAGCAGATTCATAGCTTGGGAGTTCTTCTTGATCCATGTTTCTTACTTGAGGCCCAGGTGACCTCACTGGCATGGAGTGCCTTCTACCAGCTTTGGCAGGTGGCCCAGCTGCACCCCTACCCACCTTGCTTCAGTAATCTACGTTCTGGTAATCTCTAAAATAAATTTCTACAATGTTCTTTGCACATTATGCCAGAAGAGAATTTGGAAGCTGCAGCTTGTGCAAAATGTGGCACCCAGACTAATAACAGGGACAAAATGGTCTGAACATATAACACCAATTCTGGTCCCCTAGTATTAGCTGCCTATATACTTCTAATTCAAAGTGCAGGTTTTCATCTATAAAGCTCTACACAGCTTGGGAACACAATGCCTGAGAGAACAGCTCTCTCAACCACACAGCACCAGGACACCATGCTCCACATCTGAGGCCTTCCTCTGAATGCCACCTCCAACAGAAGCTTGGTTGGTAGCAACAAGGAGGAGGGCCTTTTCTCTGGTAGTCCCCAATTTCTCTGGTAGTCCCCAACAATGATCTCATCTCCCAGAGGCCTTCCTGGCACCAATTTCACTATCCTTTCAGTGTCAGGTTAAAACAATTCTCTTTGTCAAGGCATTAATCAACTACAAATAGCACATGGGAGTGGGGGCAGTATTGCCATGTTTTCCTTTTTTTAGCAGGCCTCGCAGTACAGACTGGTTTTAGTTTTGTTGTGATAATGTCATTAAAAGTTTCAATGTAATTTTATTATTTTTATTTTTGCATTGCATTTTATTGCATTTATTACCAGTTGATCACTGCTGAGGGAGCTTCGGTTATTGGGCAGTATAAAAATTAATTAAATAAACAGCAGCAACAGTGTGGGTCGCATGAAGTGGCTTTCACACGCACGGAGAATGCGGGAAACAAGATGGTAACATTACAGTATTTATATAAGTGACAGACTGGATTGTGACAGCCAAGGGCCTGCCCCCTTTAGTGTCAGAGAGGGAAATTTCATTGTACAATGGTATCTGGGCTCACGAATGCCTCAGTTCACAGCCAAATCAGGTCGCAAACAAAAATTTCATAAACATTTTGCCTCAGGTCACAAACTTCACATTGGGTGGTGACCCCAGGTGGGGAGATGGCCAAGATCGCGCCCATCTTTCCTGCATGAGTTTGCCCATGACTGCACTTGTCTTTCCTGCACAAGTTTGCCTGTGATTGCACCTGACTTTCCTGCACGAGCGCAACTGCATTCGCGCCCTTCTCTCCCCCTGCAGCACGCCTGCGTTCACACCCGTCTTTCCCCTCCCGAGCGCTCCCACGATCGCGCCTGTCTCCCCCTTACCCAGCACACCAGGAGGATGGGCACATGCAGGGATGACGGGCGCGATTGCGGTCGTGCTGGGGGGGGGGGTGCAGAGAGATGGCCGTGCTCATGCTTGGGGTGGGGGGGGCAGATGGCCGCAATCTTTGTTGTTGTCACTTTGCTTCACATTTTTCTGATTAAAAAAAATAGTTACCGAACAGATCAACCTTATTTACATTGAACCTTATGGAGAAATTTAACTTGGCTCACGACCAAGTTGGGTCACAACCAGAGTCCTGGAACAGATTAAGTTTGTGAGCCAAGGTACCACTGTATATGGAACAGGTTAGTAAAGGAAAGAGAAGCACTAGCAACTCACTTGATAATGGTTCCTTTCTTCATGTTGAGGCGGACCCAGTGCTGGCCCTGTGACCCATCACTCTCCCAGTAGGTATCTGCATGGTTGTCCGTCAGGCATGAAACATTGAATTCCTCCTGAGGTTGGTATTGGAGAATGTTATGCAGATTGAAGAGGGCTGAACCACTCTCATTTACACACATGCAAAGGCATACATATGGGTGCACACAGATGCACACACTTAGTTATTTTTCACATTTATACTCCACACTTTTTCCTTTTACGAAGAACCCAAGGCAACTCATACAATAATAACAATTCTCTTCTGCATTCTATCCTCACAACAACCTTGTGAAGTGGGTTCGGCTGAGAGACCATGACCGGTCCAAAGTCACTCAGTATAGAAACATATGCTTCATGGGCAGAGTGGGAAACAGATCTCTCAAATTCCGATTCAACACTCTTAACCATAATGCCACACTGGCTCATAAAGACCCACATACCCACACACACACACACACACACACACACACACTCATGTACGCATAAATACAAACACACAAATCTACACTGGAGAATGTAGGCATTTCAGTGAGTTATTGCACCTCTTGCTTTCTGCAAAAAAAAAAAAATCTAGAAATGAGGCTTAGGAAATGCTGGAGGCAGGCAAGTGAAATGGAAAAAAGAAAGTTCCTTACTATAAGGTTATTGAATATACATCCTTCCAGAAGTTCTTGGACTGCAGCTCTAGCCTGCTGATTTGGGCTAAACGAGAGTTGCTTTCCAACTATATTTGAAGGGTTGTATGTTCCCTGCTCCTGCCAAACTTCAACCACAACCACTCTCTCCTTATCTTTACATCAGTTCTCTACATCAATCAGTCATCTTCACATAGATTTTAGGCATTCGCCAAAACTTAACTGCTTCCGTAGACTCTTGCTTATTAGCAAAAGATGACACGGTAGGGAAGATTCTGATGCAAAGAGGGAAGGAGAGGTCCCAATAGCAGGGGTGCAGATCCTTACACCAGGGGACCAAAGCCAGCTATCTGCTAGTCCTCAGAAGGGCATGCTCCTTTCCCCTTTTCTCCAATTACTGATCTTTTTGTGGTTTCCCAGGTTTTGTGTCCTCTGCATCCCCTTTCTAAAAGGCTGAAATGCCTCTTCTAAGGTTCGGTAATTGGCAGTAATAACCTTATGCTGATATTTTTGCTTTTGGCCTTGCCCACTTTTGCCTTTAGTCCTGCCCACCACTGGAATGCAGCCACCAAGAGCTTCTCCAAAAAGGAATTCAGCCCATGCACCAAAAGAGGTTCTGCATCTCTCTGCTATAGGAAGGAAATCAACCACTGCAAATGCCATACCGTGTAGGAGGAGACATCAATGCTGTCCACATATTGCTTGATGCTGCCCAGATTCTCATCCTCTTTGCCAACGTGGTCATAAAGGAAATGCACCAAGTCTTCGTCACATTCATAGCTCCATGTGTGGGGTACAAAGCTAATGATTGGAGTTAACGGTACAGATGGGTAGAGGGGTGATGGTCAATCGATAGAAACAGCCCCCTGTTTACCCTTCCACCACCACGCGCTTTCCACTCCTCAACACCACACACAACTTCCAACGTATTTTACCCCACACCCTTCTGTATCAGCACCACTCCGAATGTAATTCAGTGCTGAAGTTTATGAAGCCTGGCAGCAATTTTGGCTGACACCCAAAGCAATCCAGCCTGCTCAAGCTGCAGTCCCAGTTTCCACCATTCTTATTTCCACACAGAAAGTTACCGGAGTCTCTCTACTGCAGCTACATCTGGCTCCATAATCTTTGGCTTTGCACCAAGATGCAGGGAATATGTTAAATCCACCACCTGCTCCCACCTGGAATAAAAGAAGGGCAGCTTTAGCAAAATATGTAAACTCCTGTTTAGGCAAATAAGAAAAAGAAGAGGCTTCAACTATATGATGAGCTCCTAAACCTGACGGGGGTGGGGAAGTACATGGCAATACATCTAAGGGGTTTTTATAACACACTGTAAAAGGATCAGGAAGATCACATCAGAATATTTTCAGTAATTCTTTTTGTTCTGTTATTCAAATATGTGTGCTTTGATTTATTTAATAAAACAAGAAAATGAACAAAGATGGAACCCAACAATTCACTCTTTTCTACAGATGATGACTTACTAAATTACAGTTGAGGAAGTGTGCAAACAACTGAAAGCATTTTTATACACATCTGTGAAAGTTATCCCTTTTATAGCAAATTTAGAAGTGGCATGGTAGTACTTTTACTTTGAATACACTGTGTATTTGTGCATGCAGGAATATTCAGAAAATCTCTCTCACACACACACACCTGCTTTGAAAGGCCTCCTTTTCTACCAGTATTTTGCTTGAACAGGAATGCTGTTTGGCCTCATCCTGTCTGTTACTGCACCCAGGTATTGGTCCAGAAGGTCTACTGCCTCATCTGGGTTTAAGGTAGGAGTCATCTGTATATTGGTGACACCTCAGCCCACACAGTCAGATAACTTTCCCCAGTGGTTAAATGTTCAACAGCATGCCAAATAAAGCTCCATGGAACCCCACAGCATAACTGCCAAAGGACAGAGCAATAATCCCCCAGCACCATCTTCTGGAATTGGCCCTCCAAGCAGGAATGGATCCACAGCAGAAAGGGCCAAGATAATCAACAGGGTCTTACTTCCCTTGTCCCAGGGCAGCTTCCATTCTGAAACCAGGCCTGAAGCCCCATTGAAATGGACCTAGATCATCCATTTCATTCAGGAGTGCCTGGCAACCATCCACTCAAACACCATGGCCAGGAAGGGGCTATTTGCAACTCTCCAATAGTTGTTAACATCTGCTTGCTCCAATTTTTCAGGAGTGGCCTAATAACTGCCTCCTTTTGATGACTGATAACCCACCCAGCCATCCCCTTTCCCTATTTGATTCAAGAAGGCATGATGGGCAAGGGTCAAGGACACAGGTGATTGAGCAGACTTGTCCAGGTACCATGCCTGCATCCTTGGGTTTCAACAACTGAAATCATCTAATGAAATAGAACCAGATGGTGCTCCAGAGGCCTCTAGCCATGGAACTGTATTAACTGTGGTTGCTAAGTAATGACAGGTGCAAATGGCTTTATCTTCAAACTGTTGTACAAATTCCTCGCAGCATGCAGGTCAGGAAGTAAGAACAGAGCAGAAGAATCCCAACCAATTTTGGTTGACACAACTAGCAAAAACATTGAAAGCTACCGATTAAGCTTGAAACAATGGCATACTTTTTGTCCTTTCTGAAAGTCATGGAATAACGCACAATACAATACATAATAATATATTACACACTTGACACACCCAGAGCCCTCAAAAGCCAACCATTCCAAAGACATAGGACTGAGTTCCTGTACCTGATCACAGGCTTAAAGTCCATCCCAAAGAGTTGCTGCTGCCTCTGGATTCTCTCTGTTGATTCCACTGGTACCAGCCTGTCCCCACTGTCCGCATGCTTACACATGAGTACCCAGCCTTCCTCCAGGTCACAGCCAGTCTGGTATTCCTCAAGCTGTTCCTAAGAGGAAAGAATACTGTGTTGGGTGACCAGTGAAGCCTGAGTTCTTCCTGTACTATCAGGAAAATATTAGAATAACTCAGGCATAACAAACAAACTGCATTAAATTGTATTTTCATAGAGGATTATAGTCAACTTGATGAATTCTAAATAGCTGCAGGCAGCCACCGAGGTAAATACATTGATCTGTATATGATTAAGGTGTGCAAACACACAGCCTCTGATGGCCATGAAGATATCAGCTAAATCTTCAGCTCAAAGAGCGCTGCTTTAGACTACAGCTGTTCATTATATTCTGCATGTTCCAAGCAGAGACAGAAAAAAAACCAGGCACAGTTGACAAGAATGCCTTCCGGCTTTTCCTGTTCCAAGGTACTTTCAGTATTGAAAACTCATACTGTAAATCTCATGAAGGGGGTGAGTGGGAGTTAGGTACACAGGAACCTGGTATTTTAAACATGAAACCAAGGAAGGCAGATGGATCCCAGACTACCAGGAACCAACAACATCCAACTGAAACTCAAGACATGTATGTTTCACCTTTGGGAAACAGACCCCTAGAGAGAAGACACCATTCTTGGAAACAGATCTCCACATCATTCCCACAAAAAATAGTGACTCAGCACCACTCGCCCCTTGCTCGCTGTTTAGCAGAAATAGCTAAACAGTCTGAAACAAGGGGGATTGCTCTGTAAATGGCCTGGGAGATCTGTGTGTTTAGAACAGGCTGAAATCCCCATGGGCATGTAACAAGAGGAGGAGATGGGAAAAGGGTGGCAAGAGTATGGCTTTTTTCCAAACCATTTTTGCTTTCAAATGCTCATTCAGAGGAAAATGGGATATAGACAGGGCAGTTACTTCCAGTGAATTAACCAAATGCAAAATGATCTTATGTGAAATAAAATGCTATTAAAAATCGATCAGTGAACACATTAGATATGGCAGATCTCAAAAATCCCAGTTTTGTATCTGTATGCAAGCGAGTATGACAAACACAAGTACTCATCACAAACCTGCTACTCATCTTATCTGTGCATTTGTATTATGGGCAGCAGCTTGTGTGTTTGTGCCATTACCGGTAAAAAATTTTCATACAGATGAATGCACATGCATCACAAGCAAAACAAGAAGTCACCACCTTCTCCAAGAATGGAACAGGATTGTATAACAGACAGCATCTCTAGACAGCCTCTTTGTTTATCATCTCCCAGTATATATCCAGGACCCCACCTCAAACAATGTGAGAAAGGATGGAGGAGGTGTTCGTTAGCCTTCACAACCTGGAGACCACCAGATGTGTTGAATTACAAGGCCTGGCATCGCCCAGCCAGTAATTTGATCAAGGGTTCATAAAGACGCGACTGCCTCTGAGGATGCCCAGAGTGTACTTCCCAAGTTCCTCACAAAAGCACTCTGAAGCAGTAAAAATGGAGATCAGGGAGGAGGTGGCTCTTTCGGGCTTCTGAGTCCCGCTCCATCTCTCATTCGGAAGCGTCACCTCCCGCTCACCTCCCTCCCACTCCACCAACTACGCGGCATGCCTCACCCTGGTAAGCTTCACCCAAAGCCCGTGCCCGTTACAATATTCCTCGCCGCTGGCTCGGATGCACGATCCCTTGCGCAACTCGATGGTGCCCCTGCCTGGGCCCTTCCTGCCGCCGGAACCGGAGCTGCCGCCCTTGCTCGGGCTCTCCCACACCGACAGCAGGCTCCGGCCTGAGGCTGAGGCGGGCCCGCTGGGATCCTTGCAGATCTTGTACTGCACCTCGCGGGGCACGTAACACAAAGCGGCGGGCAGCGGCTCGGCCCGGCTCAAACACCCGATCGCCTCGCTCAGGAAGCGCAGCCGGCCCAGCAGCTGGTGCGGGGACTCGCCTGGAGCCAAGGGCACCATCGTGTCAGTCCAGCGGCGCCCGCCGAGCAGCTGGCCAAGGAGGACGGAGGGGCGACCGCCAAGGGGGAGCGCCGCGCTCCACCACTTGCCTGCTCCCCTGTCCTCCCCTCCCCTGCTCCTGTAACCGGCGCGACAGACCCCACAGCGCCGCGGCCGCCAAGAAGAGGAGCGGCAACTGAGGCTGCTTCCTGCTAGCGCCCTTCCTCAGCCCTCCTTCTTAGTCCTACGTACGGTACCGTAATGTAGCTTCTATCGGCGGTCGAGTAAATGAACGAGCCTAGCAAGCGGGAAATAAATGAGAACGTTGAGATGCGGCCGCATGGGAAATGGCTTGGCGAACTCGGGCTCCTCCTGCGATCTAGGCCTAAAGACCACAAAGGAAAGTCGCTTCGCAGCATTGCAGCTCAATTCTTCGGAAACTTCGTTGGTGGGAATAGCTGTAGTTTACAGTGGCCTAACCCACTTCACAGGGTTGTTGTAAAATGGAGTGGAGGAGGACTATGTAAGTCCTCTTGGGTTGCTCAAAAGAGGAGGAAAGGCAGGATATAAATGCAATGTAATAATAACAACAATAACAATATATTAAAGGCGGCCCAGCTCTGCCATTATGCAGGCTGATGCATCCACATTCGGCAGCATAGTGGGAAGAGCAGCAAATTGCAAAGTCCCCTGGCTGCCTCCAGGCCACTTCCAATAGGTGTTCTGGAGAGCTCTGCCAAGCCTCAGCAAGAGAGCAACTCTTTAAAGCAGCCTTCCTGTGGCTGCTGCCTGCCTGCCTACTTATGCTTGACCAGCTGCTGGCCAGTTTTCTCACAATTGCTTGACCAACGAGCCCCCTGCTCACTTGTCCCTGCCCAGCTGTGGGGGGGGCCCACAAGTTGCTGGGCTCACCTGAGATGGCAAAATAGGTTGGGCTGGACCTATCAGCAATGGAAAGAGCTGCCTGCAGAATTTTTATTTATTTAGAATATTTTTGGATTACCTTTCTACTCAGCTCTCAAGATGATATGCAATAAAAAGAATACACAAATCTGCAAAGAACTGACACATTCTAAACCCTGGTGATTAATGATAACAAAGGAGAACATCAGCCTTGACTGTTAAAAGTTTGGCAGTGCAGTATCAGCTTTTCTAGCTTTCTAAAAGGACACCAAGGAGGAGTCTCGCCTGGAAAAGCTGTTCCGGAAGATGGATGTTGCTACATAAAAGACCCTGTTAATAGAGTGTTAAGCAACTCAGTGCCTTCTGGGACACAGAAGAATGCCCACCAGCCCGAGCTTGCTAGCAGGTGGGCACACAACAGGGCTTCAGGTGAGAAGCACCAAGTCCAGGCAGCCTCATAAGACTCAAGTGCAAAAGTAACTTGATCAGCCTTGGGTACAATTCACTGTGCGGAGCTCAAGCAGCAAAATGACTTGACTGGTGTGATGGTAGTGATTTTCATTTCTGTTCTGCTTATACTAGAAAGGAATTTGACCCATTGCTGAATGTGACTAGAGCATTCTAAATTAAGCATAAATTTATGTGGAGCGTTTGGGGCCTCTTACTAGTTCAAGGTTGATAAATAAGTGATGACTTTCTGTTCTTAAGAGATAAGAGCTATCCTCTGTCTTGAGCTGATAAAAACTCTAGCCTCCCCCTGCATGGATGCTTTGTGTTCTCTGGTTGCAGATAAAATGGCCTGAACCACAGCATCACTAGGGATCCTCTAGATCAAAACAAGAGACGTTACCAAAGACAATTTTGTCTGTTCCTGTTTCCTTTCTAGAGAATTCATGGCTCAGGAGTAATAACATATGTGGCAAATTCAATTCTCTCAAAGTTTATGTATCCAAAATGCCACTGTGCATGCAAAAAGGGAGATATCTGCTGGCTTGTGAGAACTTGGATTTTTGCAGTAATAGAACACACAAAGAAAACAGAACCATAAGAAAGGTAATCCCCAAACTGCTGTAAACTGGTGTCTTACAGAGCAAATCCAGTGCCTTCTTTACCCCAAAAGCTGCACAATGGAATGACTTGCATGTACCACTACATCTGAATTCAGAGTTTCTGATGGCAAAATAAGGATTCCAAAACCTACAGCTGAGAAAGAAGTTTATTAGGACATGCCAAACATGGACAGTACTATGGGGAAGCTTTGGAGATCTTTTCATCAAGCAAACTGTTTTTAAAAAGTCAAGAGGAAGAGATGGTGTGTGCATGGCCAGAGCCCTACAATGAACTGGAGGAAGAGTCACCAGTTAGGCAACCCAGGTGCCTTGCTAATGTTTTGGGATTACATTTCTACTAGCCCCAACTAGTACAGGCCCACAACAGTCAGGGGTTATGGGAGATGTAGTTCAAAATTCTAAGTGCCATGCAAGTTTCAGATTTAAAATGGACATGCAATGCCAATCCCCCATTTCTGAAAATAAAAATCAATGCACACTGGTCAGTCTTAATAACATTATTGCATGACCATGGAATTGGAATTTATTTATTCAATGTTTTTATATACTGTTCTTCAGCAGCCACTAATAGGCAAGCACGTGAGTCCTGGATCAAATCAAGCCACAGCTTTCCTTAGAAGCAAAAATAACAAAACTGAGGCTGTTATTCTTTGGACACATCATGAGAATGCAACACTCTGGAGAAGACAATCATGCTAGGGAAAGTCAGAGACAGAAGAAGAGGGAGACCTTTTTTTTAGGTCGGCTACGGCGTGCATTACGGTAACAGCATCTCGCGCCTTTCACGCAAAGAGGAAGCTATGGGTGTGCCCTTGAAGAGGCCAATCGAGGCAGCTGGAGAAAGAACCCGGAAGTCAAGAGAGGAGGAGGAGGAAAGTGGGCGTGCTTTTCTTTCGCTCCTTGGCCGGGGCGGAGGAATTGTAGTAGCTGGAGGTGAATAGAAAGCATGGAGAAGAACGGGCCAGCGCTGTGAGTAGCAGCAGCAGTGCAGGCGGAACCCGAGCTTGCAGGGCAGCGATGAGGGCGTGGGGAAACAGCCGCACAGAGCAGAGGCTCCGGGCTAATCGGTTTATGAGGCGGGAGGGACAAGAGTCGAGGAGGGGGAGGAAGAAGTAGCTCCGCGGTGACCTCGGGTTACTCTGAGTAAAGGCACTGAAGGACGGTGCCTGCCGCTTGCTTGCTTTCTTCCTAGCAGGACTTGCGTGTCTCCGGTACTTGGCGGCGCGGAAAGCCTTCGCTGACACTTCGGTGCAGTTCTGCGCGTAGACGGACATGTTGACTTTACGGGAAAAGTGGCAACCCTGATTGTTCGATCCCATGTTTTGGTACTCGGCACGAGCCTCGGGGCGTAAGCAGGAGCTGCTCGAAGCTGAGTTGCCAGTCTTATGCTGTGGTGAAGGGGAGTTATTCTCTTCCTATTTTATACTGACCTGCTTTTCCACTGTCTTGATCTTGCATGTTAACATGCAAAGACATGTAGCAGTTTCACTGTGCTGGAAGAAAATGGGAGAGGAGCTCAGGCTAACTCTTCTAACTTTCCCCTCTCCTTCTATGGCGGTGTTAGGTGGGTGTTGTAACCAGACGTGGACGATACAGTAGCGGCTCTTCACAGCAATTTGTGTTGAGCTGAGACCCGCTGTCAGATGTGATCCCAGTCATGAAACATGTGGGTGATGCATGTGTGGTACATTCCGTTATTCCCAGTGTTGAAAGCTCCCAGAACAACTAGCAGGGTGGAAACCCAAATAAATCAGTTGGCTATATTTGTGTGAACTCAATACAGGGAGGATGCTGCTGAAGTTCCTTATGCAGTCATCTCAACATATAAAGTCAGTTGTGCAGAGGTATTCTATTTATTTATTTGGAATTTTTATTTGTAATTTTTGTATGCCGTCCCATTCGCATAAGCTCGGGATGGCTTCCAACATATAAATAAATATCTTTAGAAATACATATATATAAAATCTGGAGACATCCTGGCTTAATAATTTAAAACCAATAAATAAAATCAGCACTTATTAAAATAACGTTTAAATAAAAAGGTCTTGGCCTGGCGCCAAAAAACAACAACGGCACCAGGCATCTAATATCCCTTCTATTCTAATATCCCCTCAAATTGTTGTCACATGATACCCAATATTGACCAGAAACTGAAATTGCAATGGTGCTTCATTTGGTTGAAACTTGAAGATGCAAAATTCAAGTGCTTTCTGACTATTTTGGAGGTAAAGGCTGCATAGGGTTACTTTCTTCTGGATTCTAGAACCTTTAGGGTACAATGCTATGTCTGTTTAAACAGGAAAAAGTCCTGCCTGGGGCATACTGGAAGTTGTAAGTCTTTTTTCTAAACTTGCATAAGATTACATACTTAGGTTAGAAACCTGTATCCACATATCTGAAAATACCCCCATTGAACCGCATGGAACTTGCTTCAAAGTGAACAGGTATTCCTGGCCTGTTTAGCTTACACCAATACAACTTACCCTTTTGCTGCACTCAGATTAGTTAAATTCAGGTATGTCGTTATCCATTAGTTGGTTTGCTACCTTTCTGTGTTGCGATTACAATTGCTCTGTATTAGGCTGGAATTAAAGAATGTAACATTATTCATGTTACTTCATACAGAGTTTTACTGTCCTGTGGCTATTGTATACTGACTAGGGCAGACTATGAGTTTGTACCAGTATAATTCTTGTTTCTGCCTGGCGCTGATAATTTAATCAGTGACTGTTCATGGGCTGGGCTGGTGTTTGTGTGGCTTGTTGTTGGTTTGTGGCATCAGATTGTAAGTCGATAGCTTGTATGAACAAGCAAAATGGACTGTCTTTTTGCAGCAAAAAACATTGCAGCATGGGGAATAGTAAAGGATATTGCCAGGAAATATCTTGGTTCTTGCAGGTTCTGGTTACAATGTGTAATTATGGATTGGCTGCCACTCTTCTCTTTCTCTTGTCAGAAAGGTGGTATTTGGAGAGAGGGAGAAAGGACATGGCAGGCCCATTATACAGAGAAATACAAGACCGGTTATTCCTAAGGCGGGAATCTGACTGTTTGGTAACATGACTACGCAAAGATATGATTTCTAGATGGAGTTAAGCCCTGGTATTTTTCATAAATGAAACTAAGTACTTGGTTAAAGCTTGAATTTTTTTATCCATAGGCATATTTATGGTAGAAACTCTTTGATGTTGGATGTCCTTGCTTGGCTGTAGGATTTTAGTTCTATGATGAAGAATAGCTCTCATGCTCAGTTCAATCATGCTGACCCCAGGGATAGAGAGCCACCCCTGTTCCTTGTGCAAAGCCTTTGCTTTTTGTCGATCAGTCCCACAGGATTTCCTGAACTGAAGAATGATACTTTCCTCCGGGCAGCACAAGGAAAAGAGACAGAATATACCCCTGTTTGGTGTATGCGGCAGGCAGGAAGGTACCTCCCAGGTAAGTGAGGCAACTGGAACGGCCTGAATGAGGAGCCTGTGGCCCTGCAAATGTTGTTGGATTTGGAAATTCCCTAAGGGAGTGATCCACCCTGAATCATTTGCTTTCAAAATTAGCCTGGCAGAAATTTCAGTTCTGCCTGAAGAGCTTTGACAGCTGTTGTCCTGGATTGGGACATTTTCTTCATGAAGTCTCTGTAACATGGTTTGCCTTTTCTGTTGTCTTAGTCCAGTTCCTCTGGAACAGGAATGGGCAACCTGCAGATCCCCTTCAATCATTTGTTTAAAAAAATGAAAAAAGGGGCCTCCATAGTGGCTGCAGCACACCAGAAGGGCCAATTAGCTCTAAAACAAGCTATTTTTATCCCTTTGCTTCTCCACAGCACCTAACACATTTAACACATTAGTTTCCATTCTTGTTTAATTGGCACCTGTGGGGAAAGTGCTTCAGGTTGTGAGCTAGAGAGCCGCAATGGTCTCCAAATATCCTGAAGCTGCCCCCATCTGTTTCAGTGCCTTTTCAGGGATGTACCCTTCCTGTCTTCACCATTTTCTGATCATTTTTGCAGAGTTCCGTGAGAAACGAGCTGCTCAGGATTTCTTTGCTACGTGTCGGTCACCGGAAATGTGTTGTGAACTCACTTTGCAGGTGTGTGGGCAATGGAGGGGGATTTGTTTGTCTGAATTAGATGTAAGGATTATTGATGTATGTATCCTTTGGTAGAAAGTGCTGGATAGAAGAAGAACGGGACAAAGAAAGGGGACCCATGCAATCCGCTACATTTCAGGGTTTTGTTTTGTGATGTGTAAAATTTTCGCTGACTACCCAGCAGTAGAGAACACACACTGCAGTTGTGTGAGTCTGCGATTTGAATTGTCTGTTAAGTTGTCATGTGGGAAAAGTCAAACATGTGACCTCGGATGACAAGGCTAAACGTAAACATCTGCAAAAAAAAGAGTGTATGGCAGGGGTGAAGCCTATTCATTGGAGGCCTGAAATGACAAACTGCCACCTCAGATTTGCTACTGCAAGGTCTGTCTGTCCTGTGGTATGCAGCATTAGAGGACTCAGATTTGCAGGTGACTACAGACAATTGTGACATTGTATATAAATACAATGCATAAATATTGGGGGAGGACAGGTTCTGCAGAGTGCAAAAGGCCATGTAGGTTTAACATGCTTATAAAATCAAAGGTGCAATTTAATGAATGTTGAGGCAAAAAAGCCCTACAAGTCCCAGCCTTCCTCAGGAGTTATACGGCAGCATCACCCCTTGGCAGCTTACCCCAAGGGAATGCAGGCCTCACCAAGAAAACACCTTCCACAGCCCTGCTTTCAGCCTATGCATGACAGAAGGAGACAACGACTCTCAGCTGGGGAATGCTGGAGGTTGTTTTGATGGGAGGTGGGGATGTCTTACAAGATGTTGCTATGAATCAATGAAGACAAACGTCAGTCCACATGTTTAGAGAAGGTCCATCAGGTGGGGTTTTTTGCCACACAGATGTACAAACATTCAGCTAAAATGGTGCAAACAAACCAGATGGTTAAAAAACAGATGATAGATCACCAGAATGGAGGAGCATTGTGGTCAGCAAGGAGGTCAAGTGCCAGCATATACATACATCCAGCTTCACTGGTGTCCATGCAGGGCCTGTAATTGTAATTTTCCCCCCCTTTATTAATGTATGTAACTGGGAACTCTAGTTTTGGATTCTCTTTGAATGGGTCATTGACATTTCCATTGTGGGTAGCATGTTATGTAATCTTCATTTATTTGCACAGCTGAAAGGTGAGCGTGGTGTCTTAAGGGCACATCGTGTGCTCCAGTTACACTCTTAAAAAAATCAGACTCACAGGTTTTCTACACTAGAGAGCTAGTGTGGTTGTTTCTTTGTAATATTTCTTCTGTTCCACTTAGTTTAATTATGTGTGTGCAGATTGGCTGCCCTCCCTTCATCTCTGCTTTTGCTCACCACCTTAATTTTTGCCCTTATACACACCATTTTTCTGAGTATTTCCTTTCAGACTGTGTGTGGAGCTGGGGGTGTTGAGCCAGGTGACAAACTGTGCAATCCCTGAGCCCAGTTACTTTCATCCATCCATTTAGGCTTCATTCTGAGGGGAAGCAGGTGGCAAGTTCAAGATCCATTTAGGCACTCATTGTACTAACAAACATCCCACTTTAGAATTATAGGAAGTTATACTTGAGGCTTGGTTGACTTTGGCAATTTTGCTAATGAGAGATATGCCTCCCCAAGGTCATTAGCACTGGGCTGTGAGAAAGTAGACCCACATGCAAGGCAAGTCTGTACCCCTGTTGCTGAAAGGCCAGGCTGGCAAAGTGCAGTGAGTGGGTTATGCAGTTGGTTTCATGGTGTCTCTGCCTGCAGCTCATGTTGTCTCTTGTTCTCTTGGAAAATGAGATGGGAGATGCTGAGCACGGGTGCAGTGGCTCAGCAGAAATCCTTCCTCCATCCCCCTTTCTTAGATTTTGGATTTTGTTTTCAACTCCTTGCCCCATCATTACAAAACTAATTTCTGCCCTGCTTTCTCACATATATGCACCTTCTAGCTAATTTAGGGTGCAACTCATATTCTGTATTTTTTGTTATCTGTGCTTTAGCCTCTGCGACGGTTTCCTCTGGATGCCGCCATCATCTTCTCTGACATTTTGGTGGTGCCTCAGGTAAGGGTATATCTTTTAGAATTGAAGGGCATATCTTTTAGAATTCCTTCTGGAAATAAACTCTTTTATATACTATGCTTATTCCATATTACATTGCGCTCTCTTCCCAGGCTCTAGGCATGGAGGTAGTGATGGTGCCTGGCAAAGGACCAACCTTCCCTGAGCCACTGAAGGAGGTAGAGGACCTGCTGAAACTCCGACAGAAGGTAGATGTGGCAGCAGAACTGAGCTATGTCTTCCAGGCCATCACATTGACACGGCACAAACTGGAGGGGAAGGTGCCTCTGATTGGCTTCTCCGGTGCTCCAGTGAGTATGATTCTTCGGAAATGAACCTCTCCCAGAGCAGACCTATATGAAGGTTCAGAGAGTGCTGATGGCAGTAGGGGACATGCTGGCCACTTTTGTTGCTGACTTCAGGCCAAGTAGATTCTGAATCTGATGAGCTTGTAACTGCAGCAGTTGGCCAATTGGGGTGGAAAAAGTGTCAGAGGAACATGCCACTGATAGACGGGCATCTGCTAGTAAGACCATTGCCCTGTCTGGCTTATCATCTGTTGAATCCCCAAGATGATCTTTGTTCAACTGGTGAGCAGCTGCCTGGCCTTGTCTTGTAGCAGGTGCCTCCGGTACTTCCCCATCAGTGTTCAATGCAGTCCATGGAAGCTAGTGTGCCAATTGTGTGCTAGTGTGCCAAGCTAGTGTGCCCTTGCTTAAATTTTGTAAGTTGGGTTAAAGTTCAGAATTCTCATATATTTGCTAAAAGCAGGCAGTGACAAGGAGCATGACCAATAAAATATGAGCCATTTGCTGCTTTTGTGGGAGGGTGTGTGCAACCGGATTAGAGGAAATAGATTAAGGCCAGTGTGGCTACTGGTTTATAGGGATCAAGTGGGGTTAAAAAGCCTGGTTCCATACTCTCCACATAATTTGTTCTGGGTCGAGCTCTGTTGCTCTTGTAAGAACTGTTTATAGAGGCTGGCTTGAGCAAGGTGGGGCACTGGAACAATGGCTTTCTATTCAGGCCTATCGTAACATTCCGCTTATGCTTGCAGTGGACACTGATGTCCTATATGATCGAAGGTGGAGGCTCCAATACAATGGCCAAAGCCAAGGCCTGGCTTTACCGGAATCCTGAGGCCAGTCATCGTCTATTAACCTTGCTGACTGATGTGATTGTAGATTACCTGGTGGGGCAAGTGGCTGCAGGTGCTCAGGTGAGTAGGTAGAATAAAGTGGCATCATCCTGCTGGAAAAGAGCTGAGGGTTCTGAGCTGCATCCTCCTACAAGCCTGTAGGTATGATTGTGATTGAGCAGGTCTGGCCCTCATGTTTCAAGGTGCATCTGAGATAGCCCTTACCTTGCTGTTGCTACAACCTTGAAGAAACTAAAACAAGTGTGATATTGAAAATGACATCTTCAGGGTGAGGTAAAGGGTACACATCTTAATTCCACATGACAGGAAACTTATTCTCCCCCCCAACATCTCAACAGCCCCCTTTTCAGTTTGCGTTTCTTTATTACTTTTATACCTTGACTTTTTTTCCCCTCTTGCAAGGAATCCAAGGTGGCTTAGTGGCCCTCCTGCATTTTCTTATCACAGTAACTCTGTGAAGTCAGTTAGGCTGGTCCAGAGTCATCCCATGGCCCAATGGGAACTGGAACTCAGAGTTCCCAAGTTCCAGGCCCATACTCTGACCATTGGACATATATCAGAGGCATGGAGTAGGGAGCCAATTGGGAGGGTGTGGAACCAGCCAGCACAGTTTCCATGCATTTAGCATAAAGGTGAGAATGGACTATATTAGCCTTGCTAATGTTAATGTTAAATATTCAGGAATGGAGTCTGCTTATACAATCCACTATCCTGTTCCCCTGTACACAAGCACACATCTTCACTTGCAGATCGTTTCCCTGGCTTGTGACAGGCAAGTCCCAGGATGAAACCTCTGGGTGACAACAAGAATCAGGGGTACCAACTATCATTCTAATCTTATTAATACTTACTTCTGAGTATTACTCAGTAGTAAACCATACTCCGGGTGTCTTTTCAGTGAGATTTCTTTCCAGAGAAGTATGCGTAGGATGGCAGCCCAAGCAGTTTACATGCAACTTTGTTCTAGTTGAAGAATTCTAGATGGTCTTCAGGATTGTTTACTTGTCCTGCACCAGGAGAGGTGGACTGAATGGAACACAAGGTTCAATGGGCAAGGGTAGTAGAGGGACCCTGTTGGGGAAAGGAAGGAGAGAGATGCTACCCTGGAAGTGATGTCAATGCCCTGGTTGTTTCTTTCTCTGGACAGGCGTTGCAGCTTTTTGAGTCCCATGCAGGACACCTGGGACCAGAGCAGTTCTCAGAGTTTGCCCTCCCGTTCATCCGGTCCATTGCCAAGCGTGTGAAAAGTAAGCTGCAGGAAGATGCTCTACCTGCAGTGCCCATGGTAAGAGATGGGGCTGTTCTGTCCATTTTCTCTTCGCCTCAGTCACTCTTTTGAGTCGCCCAGTCCAGAAGACCAGCTGTGTTCTGTTCACCTTCACCACAAAAATCACATCGTACTGGCTTAAAGGGCTGCCAGAATTTTACATTGTAAAACTAATTTGATTTTTTTAAAAGGGGGCTGCTGGAGTCCACCCCATGCTGTTCTCAATGTTGAGAACAGCACTGACAGCTATTGGATGACACCTTCCAGAAGAAATATATACAGGGCAGGGGGAATATAAGGTGAGCAGAAAAGCAGCCCTGCTGGATGAGAGCAAAGGCTTATTTAGTCCAGTTTTCTGTCCCAACTATGGCAAACCAGAAAAAGCAGGAGGGTGCTCAAGTGCAATGAGCACCCTCCTGCTTTTCTGACTACATTGGCATTCAGCTTCTGATGCTGAAGTTAATATAAAGCCATAATGTAGCCACTGACGGTGCTTGGAGTTGTATGTATGAACATCTCTAGTGTCCATAATCCTTTAAGCAGAAGAAGAGAAGGTGGTGATGGTAGTAGTACCCTTCTATTCATAATTTTCCTTCTGTAAGAATTGAACTGGAAACTACAACCCCCATGTCCTACTGAATAGATAGCTCTTCCATTGATTGGCTAAGTCCTGGTGCAGCCTTCAGATTCCCTCCAGATCTGCAGGTTCCCTCCAGATGTTTTGGACAACAATTCCCATCATTCCTGATTATTGACCTTTCTGCTGGGGATATGTTGTAGTCTAAAACCTCTGGAAGCCCTCAGCTTGAGAAGTATCCTAACTGATTTCATGCTTTGTGTCTGTCTATTCTGCATCGAGCTATATACTGGAAGTGGTTCTCTTAACTCACCCAGTCATAACTTGGCTAAATAATCCACTGTCTTCTGCCTGGCAAAGCAATATAACTCAACAGTAAGACCACATGCTTTGCATGAAGAGTCTCAGGCTGCCCTGACATCTCCAGCTTGGAAGGTCATGGAGTGGGTGATGTGGGGAAAGATGGCCTTGAGAGCTAGTGCCAGCTTGAGCTAGCTGGGCAATTGTTCTGTCCTGAGATAACTCAAGCAACTGAAGAATTGGCTGGAAGTAGAGGAATCTTGAAGACGAAACTCATGGACGGTGCACTAAAATCATTGTTGCTTACAGAACATCCATGCCTCAAAATGACCTGCATTCTAAGCCAGTTCTCCAGTCTGGAAATACATGTTGGTCTTTCTACTACCTGTCCCCATTCCCTACTTCCTACCTTCCTTTTGATCCTTCTTTCGGCTTAGGGGATCTACTTGAATGCACAATCAGCAAGGCCTCTGCTTGCTTTCTCCCATTCTCATTTGCTTGCTTACTCAATCACTTGCACACATAAACACACACCTCCCTACCTGTTTTATAAAGAAACACTTTGTATGCCTGGGTTGGCCTCCAGAACTTCCCAGTGACAAAGTGAAAGCTCGTTGGAGAGGACTGAGCAATGCTGGCCCTGAGCCTAGAACCAGTGAAATCAGTATCTTGCTCATTTGTCCTATTTGTTTTTTCATCTCCTCACTTCATCCTCTCCTAGATTGTCTTTGCCAAAGATGCACACTATGCACTGGAGGACTTGGCACAATCTGGGTATGAAGTAGTTGGCCTGGACTGGACCATTCGCCCACAGGAAGCTCGGTAAGAAACTGGGCATCCTGCCTTGGGGACTTTAGAATGGTTTGTAGTATCTCTAGAGTAAATAGTCCTTTGTTTTAAGTTGGATACCTTTACCAGTACTTTACTTTGTTTTCCAAGTAACCAGTTTCTAATCTTATTCAGAGTGGGTTGTACTAGTGCATCTCATTACAGTGGAGCATTGCAGAAACAATAAATATGCTTCATTCATTCTGGTTAGCCAGCAGCTCTAGGTGCAGGGTGCTTGTCCACTGAGTAGCCTTTAGGGAAACCATATTCTGCTTACATGCAGTGGCTGAAGAGCAAAGGGACCATCACCTGTGTCTGGAAATCTCACTTACTTCTATTTTCATGAAACCTTGTTTGAAACCCCATCTTAGAATATAAATCTGTTTCCCAAGAAGATGAGTATAAGAGGGTTATAAAACTATGCAGCAAACAGGATGTGGTGCCCTACCAGTCTACCTTTTGGAAACAGTTTTAATGCTTTAGAAACAGAGAAGGCAAGACTCCATGCAGGGCAATGAAGAGTCGCTGAAAAGAATTGCTCTGATGGATAAGACCAAGTTTCCTATACCTGTTCTATCCAGAGTTAGCCAGCAAAATGTGAAAGACTTGCAAGGTAAAGCAAAGCAGTGGTGTTCCCTATTTATCCTAAATGCTAATAAGCAGATGTGTACAGCCATCTTTAGCTACTAAGATTAGTTGCCTTTGATAGTTTATCTTCCTATTTTAAAAACAGTGAATAGACAATTAGTACCACATGTTGCTTTATCGCAAGTGCCCTGCCTCCAGCATAGGCTTTTCTTCCTTTTCCAGCCAGCGTACAGGAGAAGGTATTACCTTACAAGGAAACTTGGATCCATGTGCCCTCTATGCACCTAAGGTAAGGAAGCAACCATAATAAACTTATAAAACTGTACAGTATTGGATCATCTGCCTTTGCTGCGGAGATGCAAAGAAGAAAGACAGCAACATGAGCTTTTGTTAGTTACAATAAGAAGACTGGCGAAGGGCCGAGAGCAAGGATTTGGGTTATGCTTCCTTCTACTGCAATTGGCTTCTTGTATCACCCTGGCCTATTTGTCAGTCTTCTGGTTCTTGCTTCTCTCGGTAAAAGGGCACAAATAACCTATTTGGAGGTCATTGGTCAGTAGTATAAGACATAATGGCTGGGATTTCTTTCATGGAGAGAAGAATACAGAGTGCAATGAGCTCAAATCCCAGTGAGAAGGGCATTTAGTATATTTGGAGATAAGCACCTTCTCTTACTGCAAATAAAATCTTGCTGAGCCTGTTAGAGTAAGGATGAAAAGTTGTTGCTGATCAGAGGGAATAATGGTAATACTCCAAACCTTGTTTTTGTACTTAAGATTACTATATGGGCTTGCATGCTCCTCACTTTCTTGATTTATTATTGCTATTCTATTTCTCTAAGTAACAGTAAAAACATAGTATTTCACTGAAGATTTTTAAAGCAAATTTTAAAAACTTAAACTGCAAGTACAGCTTCATACAGCTCAACTTAAATAAGCTTACAGTACCCTTTCCTATGTCTAATTCCTTGGCATAGAGGGCAGTCTTATCCTGGTGCTGAAAGAATACTTGGTGCCAGGCATGTTTCAGTGGAGAGGTCATCCTATAACTTCAAATCTGCCATAGAGAAGGTCGTACCCTTTGTTGCCACCAACCAAATCTCCACTGGAGGTGGTATTTGGAGAAGGGCCTCAGATGTCAAGTTCTGTTGTGATTGGAAGAAACAGTCCATCAAGTATGGTGTCCCCAAGCCATAAAGGGCTTTATAGGTTTCAGCCAGTACCCTGAACTAGGCATTGAAGCATATAAGCAGCCCTAAGATGGGGCCAGCACTGGTATCATGTGTTTACATCTAATCAATTTGGGCCTAATGAGTGCAGCACAATAGCAAGATGTTCCATTTGGGAAAACTGGGTTTGCACTAACCCAGGCTGCTTTCAAAGCATGACTTATACTGTGCATTGGAGGCAAACAATGGTCAGCTGAAAACATTTGAGTGAGACATGACGAGAAGGAAAAGGGAGGTGGTTGCTGGAGGGGGACTTGAGCAAGGCCTAATTTCCAAGGCTTAGGGTTTTGAGGATTGTAGAACTGCTTTCTGCATTAAGCCTCTCTCTCAAACATCCACAGTATAAGCCTACTAAGGGTTCAGCCCTATTCTGCTTCTACCACTTAACTGCCTTACCTACTCATACTTTTTTCCCCAGGAGAAGATAGGAGAGCTGGTGAAGAGGATGTTGGAGGGCTTTGGCTCCCAACGCTACATTGCTAACCTGGGCCACGGGCTGTATCCTGACATGAGTCCAGAGCATGTGGGTGCCTTTGTGGATGCTGTACATACGCACTCTCGTTACCTAAACAAATGTTGTTAAAGGCTGCTGGAAGTGGGAGTTTAGGCTGGAAAATGGACAGTGTGCCAAGCCTACTGTACCAAGAGATTGCCTAAGGAGAGGGCTTTCTTGGTGATGTCTACAAAGCCAGCCATCAATGACTGCCAAAAGGAGGAGGGCATAGAATTTCAATCGACAGCACTGCTAAAGATGGCTTCCTCTCAATTCATAGTGGTGCAGCCCTTGAGGAAGGCCAGACAGACAGTGTCGTCAAAGAAGGGGGTGAATGTGTGTTATGTACCATCTCTGTGCAGAATGTTTGATCCTAGCTTACTGCTACAGACTCATAGGTACAGTTACATAGATCAATAAAGACCTTTTGCTACCACTGAACTTGGTCTGCTCTTCCCTCCAGTCATATGGAACTTCTTAGGTAGCAGTCTGTTCTTCTAATCCAGTGCAGCAAGCTCCTTTGCTTCAGGTGTCAAAAGTGCTGCTTGCCCTGTGGACAGAGAAACTGGGATGGCAGGAGCAGAACTTCTAGAGGACTGTAGCAATGATACCATGCGCACAATGCCAGTGCCTCGTACTCTGAACCCACAATCTACAAGTATCCTCTCTCCAGAGGTCTGGCTCTGCAGGGTAAGTAAATTCCATGTTGCGGTGGGGAATGATTAGTCTCCTTATACACCTTACGTGTCAGTACCTTGTTGGTGAAGCTGCAGGGCAGAAAAAAAGGGGAAGACATGAGCTTTTCCTTTTCCAGCCAAAGAAGCATAGAGTATAGTTTAAAACAACTCTGAAAATGGCAGTTCAGAAGGTTACAGCCATTCTCATCTCATTATCCCTGTCCTGTCGAGTGCTTGCATGCCCTGTAGTTTAACAGTAGTCTTTCTAACTGGCTCTGCTCCGTGACTAATAGAAATGGCTGGAGTGATACAAAAGTGATATGAAAGTCTTTCTTCTTTTTTATTATTATTATTATTATTATTAAACATCAGGTCAAGAAGTTGTACACATAAAATAAAAAGTCAGATGTGAAGAATGATACTTCTATGGCAACAAATACTGGGTGAGCTGGGTTTGTCTGGTCTCAGGACCAGTTTTTCAGGATGTTTTTGAAAATAAAATTGGAGTCAGACAGTAAGCAATTTTTAATCCACATTTCCTAAGCTACACTTCACCCCAAGTTCTGCCCCACTTTCCCTCCCTGCCCCTTTTAAAACTAGAACACACTGGAACCAGGAAACACAAAGACAATTGGAATAAGGAAGAGACTTTTTGCTCCTGCCATCCCCCACCCACCCTTTGTTTCATTGGAACAAATTAAAAACTAAGGTGAAAGAGAGCAGTGATGAGAAGTGGAGCAGCAAGGACTTTGACAGAACGCCGTCCTCAGGAGGGCACCAGCCACTGAAGGCAACAACTTAGAAATGGGAGTTGAAAATAAAGACAATACAACAAGAGGGAAAATTGGATTTCCTGCTCCTCACCTGCCAACAGGAAAAAAGCCTTCCCATCCGTATGGTCAAAGAGGTATGCAATTCTTGCACCCATCCATCTGTACAAACACATGGAAAATGGCCAAAAGTAGATTATTTACACTGGGATTAACTGTTTTACAGCCAGATACCTGGTTTTCTGGGAACTTTGTATTCCATATACTGGAAACATGGTACAAACCAGCAGAGGCAAGGAGAATGCTCTGGTTGACAGCCAGCAGGCCAGGTCCACACCCTGATGGCCTTGAAACGTCAAGATGCATCTGGCTTCGCAGATGCCAGTCTGATGGTTCCACTTTCAAGGCTGGAATGTTGTCATACTTCTATATATTCTGGATCCATCACCACTCATCAGATACCACCCACCCAGCCCTCTTCATCAATAGTGCTGGGAAAAACCTGAGAAATGTTCATGTTTCCCATGTTCAGAAATGCTTAACAAGAACAAAATATATATATATCTCAGCCCACATCACATTTCAAGTATTCCCCCAAACAAAAAGAGAATAATTATAAATAATTAGAACTTTACAATTTAATAATTGACACATACACTATTGTATTTACAGTATCATAAATGCTTCTGTTACTTTTAGTGAAGCAATCCCTGAGAATAGTTAACTTTAGGTTTTTAATTAAGCATCTTCCTTCTCTCTCTCTCTCTCTCTCTCTCCACACACACACACTCACACTCACACTCACACACACACACACACACACGAAATTTGCCAGTTCTGGCAAGATGCACCTCTCGCAAAACCACCAGCAAGGAACATGGGTAGCAATGCAGGAGGCTAAGAGACATGCTTTCGTATCTCCAGGGTGGGGGTTTGCTTTCCAGCCTCCATTTGCCATGCCCTTTGGGAAAGAGGTATTCAGTTTCCTAGTTAGCTTTTGGTATTGCCGAGGTGTTTGCAAATGAATGGTAGGTAGGACGCAAACCCTTCCTGCCATGCTGCTTTTGGTTTACAGTCCAATCTTCTCTGAATGGAAAACTCCATCAGTCTTGCCTGGTAAGCGTAATTCCACCAACAGGGATCAGGGTTTCCTCGTGCAGCAGCTCATCCAAACCGTTCTCTCACTAGCAACATGAGTTTCTTCTTGCCCTTGTAGATCTGCTTGAGGTTGTCTATGAACTGCGCAAACTGGATGTGGCCATCCTGAGCCAGCAGGAAAGTTTCCCGAGCTTTGCTAAGAAACTCTATGAATTCTCCGTAATGCCGAGGGCTGATGTGGGTGAGCCGGGAGTGTGTGGTGTTGATGTAAGCGCTTATTGTAGCATCCAGCAGTTGGCGCAAAGGTGCTTTGTCCGTTGACATCAGTTTCCCAGAGTTCCTGCGGCCAGGAATGCCTGCCAGACCAGGTGCTGTCATGGTGCAGCGCCGTAGGATGTCAGACAGAACAGTGGCACAGTGAACGCTCTTCACCACCAGCGGGATAATGGCTGCCAGCTCATTCTTGCCCAGGGAGTGGCTGAGTGCACATGCCCAAAGCACATCATTGATGGCAGGGTGTGTGTCCTGATTATAGGCAAGGTTGAGGTGCGTCATGGCAAGCGAGGCTAGCTTGAAGGCCCGCAGTGGGTACCCTCGGTGCTCCATGTACCGTGCAATGGTGAAAAGCTGCGAGTAAGTCATGCCCGTGGAAGCAGCATCTATGACAATTTGGTAGGCTGTCTCAAAGGCGATGTGGTCTTTCTCACACAGAGTCAGGGCTGAGAGCGCACAGTTCTGCGGGTCCTTCATGGCACACTGGAGGGCCAGTGTACGGGCACAGCTGGCCAGCTCCTCTCGCTGCGGATAGTCCAGGCTGAGGCGCAAGATGGTGTTATGAGACATCACTGTCGCTGCTACTATGCTGGTGGCTTCAGTGGGGGTGAAGAGGGTATACCAACTCTGCAGTATGCTGACCAAGGCCCGAACACCTGCAAGGAGGGAGCAGTAAAGTAGCAGCATCATTATGAAACACCTGAAAGCATGGGGGTGCTGGAAGAGCTAAGCAATAACTTGGGCTTCAATTAGTAACAGGTGACTCTTGATACTTATTTCAGGTGCCAGTACTGAGGATTGCTTGCTAGGTGTAAATTGCTTTGCCTTGGTCTTAAAATCAGGGTATTGCCCTGCTCGATTATGCAAAATTTGCTATTTTTGCAATGCAGAATTGTGTTAACAACCAAGATCGCTGCGATAAGGAAGCTGAATGTCTAAATTTACTTATCAGCACAGGGCACTGTCTTTTTCTGAGTCTAACCATTGGTTTATTCAGCCCACTATTATCAGCACATCCCAGCAGTGGCTCTTCAGGGTTTCAGGCAGGGTTGTATCTTGCTCTCCCTGGAGATGGCTAGGATTGAACCCAGGACCTTCTGCATACAGATCAGGTGTTCTCCCACTGACCTATGGCTTTTCCCCTTAGTTGAGGCAAGAAGTTCTCTCATTTGACAGACTGTTACCCACAATGTCATCTTCACTGATAAAAGTTCCTTAGTATCAAATTCTATGTTTCTCTGTTTTCTAGCTGGAAAGGGCTATATCCTCTGTGGGCATGGTATAGTACAATAGATAACAGAATGAGCCATCAATCAAAATGCCTTCTACTCAAATCCCACTTCTGCCATGAGCTCAGCAGGTGATCACAAAGTTGAGACTTCTTGCAGTTCCCATACCTGCAATATGAAGCTTATAATGGCCTACCTTACAATGTTATAAGGCTTTCAACATGTCAATGCATATGAAGGGTTTTGACCATTTGAAGTGCAAGTACTGTTTTCTCCTCTCTGCTATGTTGTTCTCTGCCACTGCATCTCCAGGTTGCCATCTTCAACCTACCACTTCAGATCTACCACGGATTCATCTGAATGAACAGGCTGACTTTGCATGCAGCCTTCCCTTGTGGGAAGCAGTCCTGAAATACCCACCCACTTCTGTCGCACAGGTCACCAGCCATCGCACCATTTCCCTCCGTCTCCAGTTCAAGGTTGATAGGGTCATGCGCATCACCTGGGCAGAAAATGAGTGGAGAATTAGAATTATTTTCCCCTAAGTAAAGAGTTTATTCTTTCCCGGAATACCAGGGGCAGAGTAGAGCCAGGACTTGTGGGAATGTTGTGCTAGCCCTTTTTCTTTGTATGACTGCTAATGTGATCTGCCATCCCCTCAGAATTCTCTGAGAGCTGCAATCCTCACAGAAACTGATGGAAAACTAATTATCCTAGCAGTAATATATGGTTGTAATCGAAAGTATTTTGGGGTGGCTTGGTCTTTAAGGCTCATTCACTTTACAAAAGACTTGCTCCTAGCAGAGGAAAACTTGTAGAACTAGCTTATACCTGCCATACTATGGATTAACACACCAGGAGAATGGCCTAAAGGCACAGGATACTTTGCTGCTGCTGAAAATAGGCAGGCTTGACCTCATAAGCTGACTGGATGGGAGACTAACTGAAAGCTTTTCTGAATTCTTCAGAGAAGTGAGGTGTAAAAGCAGCTCAATACTTCAATGGGTGGCACTGCATATAAGTTCACTAAGAAGCAGTAGGCACACCCAAGAACAGAGTCACATTCAGCACGTTGCTTCTAACAGATGTGTCCCCTCCTGGGCTTCTAACATGGAACAAAGATCTGGAAAAGCTGCCAAGGCTTCCTAGTAAGCACTGCTCTCCCTTACCTGCAACCCAAGCTCCAGTGCCACATTGAGCAGGGTTGTGTCAGAGCTGTTGTCAGCAGGAGTTGCAATCTTGAAGGCATCCTGTGCCAGTTTGAAGATCAGGGAGGAAGAGTGGATGTTTTTCTGAATTGCTTCCAGGACCGTCCGTAGACGCAGCATGTCACCTGTATGGAAGGCAGCAGAGCACTCATCTTAGCTTGCTGGATTGTCCAGTTTGTCTCATTCAGAGCTGGCAAATTGTGCAGACAATGCTAAGCATAAGAGCACAAAGAGTCATGCTGGATCAGACCAATGGCCTATCTGGTCCACATTCTTTTCCTACAGTGGCCAGTCAGATGCCCACTGGAAGGTCACAAGTAGGACAGGAGCCTAACAGCACCCTCCTGCTCATGTTCCTCAGCAAATGGTCTACGGAGGCATACTGTTCCTAATGCTAGTGTCTGTCTTATTACATTTATATACCATCCAATAATCAAAGCTATCTAAGCAGTGGCCATCCAGGTAGGTGGCCATCACTGCATCCTGTGGGAATGAATTCCTTAGTTTAAAAACAAGTGGTGGCATTTCTTACAGGCTTGCCAGAGAGCAGGCAGTCAAGGTGTGAAGAAACATACTGCCTTCTAATCTATTAGAAGCCATCTCCAAATTTAGAGAATTGCAAACCCCAAATTGGCACCTACTGCCCGGAGACAGCTGCTGCCCTCATGTCCTGTTGTGGGCTTCCCAGAAGCCACTGGCTAGCCGGTGTTAAAAACAGGATGCTGGGCTAGACTGATCTGTACTCTGATCAAGCAGGGTTTCTCTTACGTACTGTCAACATACTTGAAAAGCAAGGGTAGGAAAAAGTTGCAAGTGCAATAAACTGGAAGTGACCTAAGCTAGAACTTTGAAGATCCTGGCATTCTAGAAGTGTGGTAGTGATCATGTTTATCTCTAGATAGCTAGAAAACTGATAAATGGAATGTTTATAATCAATTTGAAAGTCCCTGCTGCAAAGCAAAGAAGAGGAAAGAAATGTAATATTATCAATGGCATTTTTGTTACCTTTAGCACTAAACAAAAGCAATGTTTAATGTATCAAATAAAATAATCTTAGTGGCATGATTCCAAAGGGGAGGAGTTCATCTTTGCTCAGAGGAACTGGTGTTTTTAAAGGTGTCTTCAGTGATACCTGGCAAAGCGTATTTGATAAAGACTGCATCATGGTATTTGCCATCCTTTTCTAATGGAGCCAGCTGCCGTTTTGCTCTTTGCATCTGTCACTTGGTGGCTTCCCGGGGAATGCAGAAATAGTTCTGAAGATCTGGAAATTTTATTCTGATATATATCACAGCCCTTCCCAAAGGCTCATGACAGGTACAATATAAAAGCCAACCATGTTTGTAAAAAAAGTTGAAAGTACTTTTAAAATTCCTACACTCAACAATGTAAGTACAGTATTTTTAAAAATTCAGCTAGAGAGAATATTTTCTACTAGACATCATGAAGGGGACATTTCTATGACTTCCTGCCATTCAGACTTTAGCACTAAATTTTTGAAACTCAGGTTATCTCTTCATTCACCCCACCCCTCAGTTTCTTACTGCCAACAAAGCTACTAGATGCCAAATCAAAGCAGAGGTTGTAAATACCCCAAACCATACATTTTTGCTTTATGTTTTATCCTTTGAGTTTCCTTTAGTAGCCAGCATCTATTTGTCTTTGTTAGGGACTATCCATCTCATCCAGGCAGTGCACAGAGACTGTTCACACAACACAGCAAGCAACCTTGCATGATACGCAGTTTTTTTTTACCATGATCTATCTGACCGACATTCAAGTGGCTTCTAATTTATAGTGGCTTCTATCCTCCCTGCTGAGTCCTCCCACTGTTTACATGTATCCTGTCAATTTCAGTGCCTAGCATTCCATTCCAAGGTGCATCATATTCCCTGCTTATGCTACCTGCCTCTTCCTCATTGGCCCATACATACAGGCTGCATGGCTGGAGCAGCTTCTGCAGTTACCACTCTTTGCAAAGGACCCTGTAACAGCTGCATGCCAGGACCATGGTAGCCATGATCCTGGGTTCAGACAACACAGTAAGCCATGGCAGTATAGCAAAACCATAGAATAAATCATTGTTTATTACCATGGTTTCTAAAGACCAAAGTTACCCGGTGAAATAGCACAACTGTTTCAGACAAGACAAAAGATCTGCAATGATAAAATAAAAAAACAAAACAAAACCACCCTTGGTTTTTGTGCTGTCTGAACCTAGCCAGAGAGATCCATTGCCAAGTGCCTCACATGGAGAACGTGAATGCAGACAGTGCCGATTTCCATCTACCAGGAGGAGCTTCTATCAGCTAAGAGAATTGGGCAGATTCTGTAGGAAACAATGACTATGCCACACTGGGCATCTGATACAGATCATCAAAACTCAGTGATTACTGAGTGTGACTGCTTTTCTTAGAGCAGTATGCATGCTACTGTGGCCCTAATAAGGAACACAGCCAAAAGCTGGCACTGAATCCAGTAAAGGCACTTTGGCCAATTAGCCAGGGCACATAAATGGGAATCAATCTATGACCTGTAATGTGAGGTGCACTCAAGCTATTACACTGTGACTCTCCTTAGTTTAAGACAATCACTCTCCTCTAAATCTCCAGGCAAGAGTTTGTCTGTAGGCAATCCTGTGGAATAATGGGGTGGGGGAGACAGCCTGTGTGCCGCAAGGCATGGCTTAAAGTATGCCTGGGAAGCAGCAACAAGTCATTAACCAGATCTAGTTGGCCCCAGCAGCCTGCCTTCTCCAGTATTAGCAACCATCAGAGTGGACACAGAACCACATCCTGTACCCAGCAGCTTCTCATTACCATGTGGGAACACACCTTTGTCCTTAGGGATCCCACCATCCACCAAGGAGAGAAACTGTTTTGGCCAAAGAGTACCTTGTGCATAGCACAGACAGAAGGACTCTTCAATGGCAAAAGTTCAGTTCTCTCTGTGGATAAATTGAGCAGAAGATTTCCTTCTCAGCAGCTCAATTCTTTGGTACAGACCAACAAAAAGATGCCTGCAGTTTGGTATTCTCATTCTCCAAGGCGGTGCATAGCATTCAAAAACCTTTGATAGGATGTAGCTAGTAAACAGTGCATGCTTTCTGCCTTCCCTTCATTTCCATCCTTCTTTTCCCTCCCAAGATATCCAAGTTTATTTTGTATACCTCTGTCCATGAATGCACACATGCAAGTAGACAAACCTCACTTTTCTTCATTGATGTTTAAGTCCTGTGATATGAAACAACTCCTAGTAAAAGCAGCCTCTGGGACTCTGCACTGCAACAGGCATCTACAGTCTTCTGACTGAATATTTGTTGGTGAGCAATCTACCTGGAACAGCCTTTTGCCAGCCTAGTGCTCCTCAAACATGCTGGACTGCAACTCAGAATGCCATGAGCTGCGATCCAACACATCTGGAAGGCACCAAGCAGGGGAAGGCTGATGTAGAGATTGTGGTGTTCAGTTGTGCATGAAGCTTTTTTACCCACCTTTGGCTGCTGTCAGCATGGTGGAAGCCAGCTCACACTGCTGTGATTCCAAGTGTCCCAGAGTAAACCAACGTGGGTACCTACTAGGCACCACTGAAACCAGATGGTGAGAATGTGTGACATCACTTGAAGGAGTTGTTTCCAGAACAGGAAGTCTAGGAGGAACCAAAGCAGCAACATGACATCAGACAAGGATACCCACCTACCAACAGAAGGTTTAGAACTTCTCTGTCGCATTTTCCCATGGCATGTCAGTGGAGAGCCTTGTCAGAAACCTTTGAAAGGTTTCTTCAACATACAGATGCAAAACCAGCCTTGAACAAACTTGAAAGGCCTCTGGAGATTTAAGGAGTGACTTAGAAAATTGTAAAAGAAAAAAGTGAGTTTAGAAAATAACCCTTTTTGTGCTTTCATGTCAGGACCAAGCAGGATTGCATGGCAGTCATTGGATTTTACTTAATAAATGTGTGAGTGCATGTGTGTCTTGCTCACAGGCATTTGCCACAGTTTGGAGCTACCTGGTCATAATGTTTTAATTTAGAGGCCCTGGAAATCCAAGGAACAGGAAGCCAGAATTCTTCTTTCTCCCCACTCCAGAGACAGAGCTAATGCAAAGACACACAGTTAATACAGTCCCTGATGGTTTCCTGCATTTATTTTTACATCCTTGAAGATAAGGATGACACATTTGCCAACCCAGAAGCAAAGTAGCCAAGCCTATGTGTTCCCAGCCTGCCTACCCTTTCTAATTCTCTGTATATCTAGCTGGAACAGCAATAAACCAAGCAACATGCAACTACTCTTTAGTAAACATGTCCCATGTAGGGAGCATTCAAAAACTAATTTACAATGCTCCAGTTCTGTATTTGCCATCACCACCACTTGGCATAGGCTCTGCCTCAAATCCATAGTGAAGATACTGGAACAACTAGGGTCACTGAAATTTCAGGATGCTGTCTAGATTAAAATATCGCTGCTTTCCAAAAGCTAAGTATTGAATCAAAGCTTACTAATGAAACAGACCAACAGCACCTGCTAATCAGTAACCTTGTTTTTGCAGATTAAAAAAGTAATGTGTGTGCAACTTCTTTATAATTCTGCCAGGAAAATATTGCAACAATTGGGATGCTAAAGACATTTTAGAACAGAAGGATTTAAAATACAGCTTTAGAAAAACATCCTGAAGTTTTCATTTTGCATCACAAGCTGCTTTTTTATGGAAAAACGTGGGGAAAGAGGTACCAACCTCATGGAACGCAGTGCCAGTTTGTAGGCTAGGTCAGCATCGTGGGGCAGCAAGGCAGAGAACAGGAACTTGGCAAAGGTGTGCATGGGCACGCTTTCTCGGTGGATCACCTCGCCAAGGCCACTGAAGGGGCCACCTAAGCAAAAGCAGAGCCATTTCAGTATCTGTGTTGCAAATGCAGCCTCAGGATTTCAGCAGAGGAAGTTCTGTGGGCATGGCAGGTACTCTCCTGCTGGTCTCCTTTCTGTATTAAGGATTTTGACCTGAGAACTTAAGTTTCCATGGGTCAGGGGAGACACCATTGGTGGGGTCTCTGCCCAGAGGCCCAAACATCATGGACACAAAGGGCCCAGAGGGACAATTTCTCTCCGCAGGACACTGAAACGCTGCTTCTATTCCCCTCTTTTCCAGTGCTTTGAACTCAAACACCATCACTAGTAAGAGAAACTAAGGGGTAACTCTCCATTCACTCTCTGTCCCCCACATGGCTGTTGCTCCTCCACCCTCTGTTGATTTTCAGGGGGAAATGCAGAAGTGTGAATATGTCGGGCTTTGATGCAGCTGGAGTGGAGGGGAAAAGCAGTGCCTTGGCTCAGGCAGAGTGAGGCGCTCCCTGGGCTACCCCTCTCGTTCAGTGCATCTGCAGCAGGAGAGCCTTGGGGCAGATAAGTTGCAGGCATCACTGCAAATGCTTCCTTTTCAGTAAAACAGCAGCAGAAGCAGCAGTGACAGAGAGGGAGAAAAGGTATGCTGGCAGCAATTGTGAAAATGCAAGATGAGCTGTGTGTGCTATTCCCAGAACTTAGGGAAAAAGAACATCCACACTGTCTCGCTCTTCCCAAAACAGTGCACTCTTTCCCTCTAACTGTGACACAAACAACCCCCCTCTTTCCCATAGCAGGACATGCACTGCTGCCTCATTGTTCCATTTGAATTCTCTGAACATCCATCCCTGATGGGGATAAGGCACCTCAGTCCCCTCACCTTCCAGGAGCAGGATGCACTGCTTGCGTAGTGTCTGCACCAGCACGGCATCCAGCTCCAGCTCCTGCAGGCAGGCAATAATCTGCTCCTCATTCCGCCACACTTTGTCTTGAGCATAAAGGCCCTCGGGCATCACCCGCTGCTGCCCCATTCCCATCAGTGCTACTTCCAGAGCTAGGGAGAGGTAGGATTCCCCATTCTCAGGAGTGCCATTGGCCACTGGCACGTGTTGATACACTGGAGGCTTCGGGTCACCAGCATCTGATGGAGAAGAGAGTTACCAGCAGGATGGTAGAGAAGTCCCCATGTCACGCTTGCCTCCCACCTCCTTCCAGGATCCAGTCTGATCCTTGCTACTGGTCTAGTTCTAGCCTGTCCACAATGCAGTGGCCCACCATTGTTTGCTTCAGCTATAGTGGGTTCAGGTGTGTGCCAGCAGCCACTTTGAGGATTCACCATGACATGCAAACTGAGCAAGGGTGAGTGACTGCTGTGGTTAGCTAACCGCCCACAACCCAAGGACTGTCTCTGTGTCATCTGTGCTGCGATAAGCTGCAGCAACTGCCTGCCACAATGTGCATATTCACGATGGCTGTCAGTATGCACTGCAACCCACTGTAGCTTAAATAAGAGACCCTAGGAGCCAACCCAGTGGCTATTTCTTGGTGTGGCTCAAGGGCCCAAATATGCTGGTTCAGTTGCATGGACATACTCATTGACTCCAGACCGGCAACTTCTGCACAAAGGACTGCACTGCATGGAGATCATAAAGAGTACCACAGGAGCACTTGGGTCCCTTGGGCGACAAGCAATGTAACACAAAAGGTGTCTGCAAGCTGGCATTATTTTGGGATCCACTTTGGCATCCTTTGCAAAAGAAAAAGGCTTGTCCTGCTACCTCTCCTATGGGATGTCTTGTGCTCACAAGAGGAAGCCAGCCACGCAGAATACGTATTGACAATCAGGATATCGTACATAAATTGTAATGGCTGCCCAGGGAGCATGATGCTAATAGGTGGCTTTTATACAAATTAATTGATTAAATGAATATCCTGTGCTGACTCTACAGATTATAACTGTAGTCCAAAGTTCCTGATTAATGCATGCTAGAACTGAAGGGCATCATGCTCTGGTCCCATCCACCAACCCAGAGACCAAGGGCAACTTGGAAGCTGTACCCCCTGCCTTCCAGGAAGAGCATGAAAAAAGGTGGGGGAGTCCAGCGTGTCCCCACCCGTCAGCAGAGAAGGACTTCCCTTCCTCTCCTCTCCCTGTTTTTTCCCCTTTTGTATTGTATCTATTAGATTGTGAACAGGGATGGGGGACTCTCTTATCTTTTGGTTTTTGAACAATGCTTATTCTTAGCCATCAGTTCAGCAGCAGCAGCAGCAGCTTGTAGATGGTGCTAAAATGGAGGCAAAAGAACAGAACAGTTCTGCTTTGTACTCAGTGTTTGACAATCCAAGGTTCTCAGAATCTCCTACCTGAAATTTCAAGGCAGTTCTCGTCTTCTACTCGGCATGCTTCGGTCAATGTGAGAAATAAGCAGCCAATGGGATTGAGCGGATGCCCTACCCAACTTTCCAGATTTGTGATAGTGGTCGCTCCTCTCTGCAGCAGTTCTGGAGCAGGAAGAATAGAAGAGAAATCGTTCAATATTTATTTATTTATTTATTTATATTTGTCTTGCCTTCCTACCATTCGAGGCATCTTCTCTGGCTCCAACAGAGAACAATGGACACTTCCAGCACTTCTGCAATGATGGGGCTGCCTTTCTACAGGGTGCATTTGTGCTCTGCTCCTCCATCACAACCAGCTTGATCCTACCATTAAGCAGGCTGAGGTGGCCACTGTCAGGCTTCAAGTGTTGGGGCAGCATAAACCCCATCTTACCTTGTGCTACGACAAGAACAGTGGTTAACATAATCTCACAGCAAGACGGCTATATATGTGTCTGCACACACATGCATACATTCACTGCATGGGCAACTGTCTCATTAAAAATGTTGGATACATTTGCTCTAAGACCAACATGTGGTTGGGGCATTCAATTTCTGACTATCCAGAAAAGATGTAGGAAACTACAACTTGGCACAGCTGTGCTGCAAACAGCACCAAAGCCATCCACCAAGTAGGCAACCACTACTGGTCACCTGCAGGATTGGCATGAAGCCTACGCAACAACAGGCTAATCCATACCTTTCTTCTGATGCTTGTATATCTCCAGCTGCCTCTGCTGTTGCAATCGCAGGGTGTTGATTATAGCTACAGTGAGACGGAGTGCTTCCTTGGGGTATCCATGTGAACGAAGGGCATCAACACGGGCACAGGCTGTAGGGACATGCTCTGTGGCATAGTTCAACCACAGTATACAATTAAGCTCAAAATATAGACAAAGGAAGAGAAATAACTCAACTGACATTAGGAGCACAGAATTCTAATTCTACTCTTTTGTTTGGTTCTTTCATAGCACTGAAATACACATACAGATATATTATGTGGTACAGCCCTTCCAGAGTCCTCCGTGAGAAGTAAATTTTCCACAAGCAGGGACAGCTCCCACGTAAAGCAAGGGTTTTAGCCTAGCCTTGCCTCAGACATGCCAGATTTCCAAGGGAAATAAGATGCTATGTTTTTTGTGTACATTTCCTGTTAGTGAGGGGATAAGACAGTCCCCAGATCCAGTGTCATCTGGGCATTCAAAGAAAAGGCTACAGTGGCTACTACCCTCACATCACCCCTTCATTCATGTCTTTTTGTCAGGAAAATATTTACATTTCTTCCTGTAATTATTACAGACTTGGGCTCAGCTTCTTGAATGCCTCACTGCAAGTGCTCTTGCATGTAGTGAGTATTTTGTGCTTTTCTTAAAGACTTGCTTACTGGAAAACAGCTTGCCCCTCTGTGCAGCACAATTGTGTGACACAGACATTCATCTGTTCCTACTGGCTGTCCTCTACCTGAAGTCACAAGTACCGCTGAGAGGATTATGACTCCAAGGGAGAAGTCATAAGGAAGAACAGACGACACGCTGCATGAAAAGCCACCCAGGTTCTGCTCCTCTACAAATATCTCTATACAGGATGAGGATCATCTCCAAAGGCAGTTTCTTTTGCTAGTTCCTTAAATGTAGCTATACTCTCTTTCCTCATCTTTCTTCCACTCCTCAGCTGATTTCAATGTTGAGCAAATGCTAATAAAGTCTACAGATGACCTGAGGAAAGGCTCAAACATTTCCAAAAATTTATCTCTAGTGTTTGTTTGTCACATGGAGTAAGACCTCTTTCTCTGAATTTATCATTCAAACATTTCTAGCAAATCAGAAGCAATTCCAAGTGCTTCCAGAGTCCTCTAGGGGGAGCTCCGAGAAAAGTGCAGGAGGCAAAACAGCAACCTTTTAGAATTGCAATGTGCACTATCAATACCTTCTGCAAGAATTTAGCAAGTTAAGAAAGAATCGAGGTAAATAACTGAGGACCAAGGAACAGGATGCAGAGGTGGCCTCAACTAGCTGCGGCACAAATCAATTGGCCCCAAAGAGACTCGGCCACAGCCACTGGATCCAATAAATGCACCCATCAAATCTGATTTTGCTTCACTTAAAATATTGCCACTTGGGTTGCTTGTGCAGTTGGATCAGTCTGGCAAGATAGTATGGTGTTCCTGGATGTGAATATCCTGAACAGTGCAGCAACAACTGCTCTTGATAGCCAGAAGTAAGCCTTTGAGGAAGGCACCCCATAGGCACTGGAATATTGCTATGAATGCCTCGAATTCTCAGGTTCTGAAAGAGGAGTCAATGTTCTTTCCTAGAAAATGACCACATATTCAAATGTGTGCTATTATTATTCTATCATGATAGGATAATTTTTGCAGCCTTTTCTTAAGCAAACACAACTTTCCTCCATCAGCATACTGGATTATAGCCATTGTCAAGAAAAGTAACAGCTTACCCAGCCACAATGGCTGCCCCTGCGAGTTGAAGAGAAGGCCCTCTCCATCCCTTTGGTAAGAGGGAGAAATATAGAAGTCACTGCTGATTATCCGCTGAAGGTGACTATCCTGCCAGTGCAGATCACAACCTTCGATGGCACGAGTGAACACTGTGCGTCTCGGCCTTGCTAAAGAGCCTATAAGTAAAAGAACATGTCGCATGTCCAAGTGTATTCTAAGGTCTTCTCTGACCTTTCACATAGGTCTGGCTAAATATCCATTTTGCCACAGTGAGTCTCTCCACTGAGTTGTTCCCCACCAGAACTGAGCTTAGGGGCACGAGAGAGAGAGCAAGTGGAATATAGGGGGGCACAGAACTCAAAGGCCTTTCTCAGGGGCTGCTCCCAGGACCTAGAGCTTCCTTAGGGGGATGCTCAGTTGTCTCCCTCTTTCCTCTCCTTCCTCTGACAGGAATTTTGGTTCTTCTCATTATTAGCTGTATTGAGTGCCATTTCCTTGGTGGAAAGGTGGGGTATAAATCAATCTAGCAAAAAGCACTGTTAATGCAAACAACATCCAGAAGCACCAAGAACACTTCCTTTCAAAAAAGGGCACTACTAACTCAGGTTCATGTCCTCTACTTTGACTACTGATAAGCAAAGGCTTAGGAAACTCTGCACTTGAAAATACCAAGCTCTAACACTGCTATAACTTCTGCAATGTGCAAGTCTGCATAGTTGCCCAACAACAAACATCAGGGGCCTTTTAGCCCACAGCATATAAGGGCAAAATATGGCAAAATATACCACTGCATATACAAAGAAGTTCAAGTTACACTACTGAGACTGAGCACAAGATAGCCCAGTAGAAGGAATTACTGAAGAGACAGATAAGCTGAGTAGAACTTGTTTAATTTTCTTGATTATATTTTGCGGGGGGATATTTATATTGGCATGTAAGGCAACCCAAGTTACAGCAGTGCCCGTATATCCCTGGATATCTGCCTCCAATGACCCCAAACTAGCAAGTAAGCACCAAAGAGAAGAGGAGAGAGCAAGAGGGAGAGAGGAGAAGTGCAGAGAGAAAGCTGAGATGAGCAACCAGAGAAACAGAGAAAAGAAGAAAACAAGATTTATAGCATTCTAAAAATGCTAACATTTGTACTTCAGCAATTTTTGCTTAATTGGCTCTTTTAATCAGAATACATCTTACACAAGGCACAAACAAGGTAAGAAGCTCCTGCTGGTAGAGCCATGTGCCTCCCTACTGAAAACATCATTCAAATACCTCCATAAAGGAATCTATCAATTGACATGCAGAGGCAACAATAGAGGTAATCACTCATCTGAACAAGCATTATTCTCAGGCACAGCTGGGATCGTCTTGGTTTTTTTTTCTTTCAACTGCTTGCTGCAAGGCTGGGGATATCCAGTGGGGAAAAGGTTCCATGGAAGAAGACAAAACATTCTCATTTCAACTTACTTTGCCTGTGACTGGAGCTCTGAGTAAGTGCACTAGTGATGTTGGGAAGTTCATTGCCATAATTCCCATCCTCCAGCGGGCAAACATCCATATCTCCCCACTTCCGGAGCTGTCGCAGCCAGCATGCCTTCTCTTCCAGCGTGCAGTGTGGGTTTAACACAATGCACACCCACAGCGCCCCTGTAAGAGCAAGCCAGGAGCAACCATGCAGAAGGAGTTATTCAGCATTATTTGACATGGACATGCAACAAGGTAATCCTGCCACTTCCCCACCTGGGAAAGTTTCAGGCACATCTACACCTTGCTTCAAAGAAATGCACCGAGCCCCAGAGGGCTAACTGAGAAAGTAAAATCCCTAACTGAAGAAAATATTTCCATAATAAAGCTAAACTGCATTCCTGAGAGATGTATCCAAGATCATTTTGGTCTGCCAGGACATATTGTTTGAACTGCACATCAAAGCCCACTTAAATATATGCCAGCAAACCCGCGTCAGTTACTCCAAACAATCTGATTTCTATCCTGTACACGTCTGCTCCACAGTATAAAAGGGGCACCAGAGTAGAATTTCATCTACCATTGTTCTTCAGCACATCTGCATTCAGGTGGTTATTGATGCTAATTTCTCAGAACTACTCCAGTGAATGTTGAAGTTCTCTGTAGTATCCTGCCGGCATAACACCCCGTACTGTAATCTTGCCATGGCTCTCAAACAAAGCAGAAACCACAAGAGATAATGGAAAGGAGAAGATAAGAAGGGTAATATATGGTAGTACTCAGGCTTCCACGTTCTCTGCCCAAAACCACCACCACATCCCAGAGGGAAGGCCCCTAGATGTAATGCCTTCTTCCAACTGGTTTAAAACAGCAATACTGAGAATGTCCCACCTGTAAGGATCTCTTTCTGATAATCTGCTTATAAAAGGCCAAATGTGTTTGTTCCCACTAGATTTTTCTCCCCAAAGCCACCCTTGCTTTAGGCTCTTTCAGGGCAGCTACCTGGATTTCAAAAGTTACAACATTGTTCTTCCAGCCCTGGCACAAGCTCTCTTGCCACCTGAGGTTGGAGATAATGCGCTGTCACTGCATTGTACCCCTTCCCATCCATGGCATTGTGCCCCCAACCCTGTCACACACGCCCTCCCCTTATCATTATGATTTGCTGGTGCTGCAGCCACTGCCACTGGAGAGCCGCGTAGTAGAAAGAAACTGGGCCATGTGTTCCTGAGAGCTTGCCGAGGTCTGATGGGGCAGGGTGGAAGCAGGGCAGCGGCAACAGGGTTCAGGGCACAATCCAGTGGTGGAAGCAGGGTGGGGGCAACAAGCCCTCATGGCAGACACTTTCCTGCTCCTCCTGCTCTGTTCCCTGATATGGGAACCAGGCTCAGCTTCCCTGCCAGACGTGTCTATCCTGATCTTACATGAAAGGTCCTGGCAAGCAGGATCTGGCCAAAGATACTCACAATCCAACTTGCAGACTTTCCCTCTGAGGACCTATCATGGATTCATAGTGTGAGAAGCCCTGGCTGCTTAGTGATTGGTGATTCCCAGGCCAGGAGAGAGCTAATGATGGGTGATTCCCAGGCTAGGCCAGAACTAATTATTGGCAGAGCAACTCCTCCAAGCATCAAAAGAGTCCCTTTCTCAATAAAGAGAGAGGCACGGACTTCTGTGCCTCGGTCTTGCGCAGAGAAAGGTAAAATGGCAGTGTGCTTGTGGTGCTAATAACATCAGAGAAAGAGGCAGGGTACAGCCGTGTGATTTGATTGATTCTGTTGCATTGTTCCAGTAAAATCTGTCCCTTCTACCACAAAAGATTCTTCACCCTCCTTTGTGTACATACAGCCAAGCCATTCGCAACAATCACAGATCAGCATAATCATGATGAAAAACTAGACAAACTAAGGGAAGTCTTCCTTAATCTGAAATACAGTTCTGGTGCAGTGCTTTCAAAAGCCAGATCAATTCCTTTGGATTAAATATTCCTGTGAAGCACTTGGCATAATGAATAGAACAGAACAACACCGGTAATCCCTTACAGTTCCCAGCTAAACGTTCGATACTGAATTATAGGGAAATGTACAAACAATTCTTGAGAATGGTCCTACCAACACAAATGCAATTGAGGGGAAACCCTCTAAGCTTCAACAATCAGAAATTAAAGACAAAACCTTAATTTGATTCAGAACATGGAATCCATCTAGAAGCAACCTACTTCATCAGATTGAATGGATAGAAAAGCAAGGTGGGGAAGACAGACTTGGCCGATAGGCAGCAAACATTCTATTTCATTAAAAGAGATATCTACTTTAGGCATAGCATGCAAACATACTGGATAACTATTAATATTTATCTCTGTAATGTGCATAAAACTCACAATTACTGTGCAAGCTAGATGGATATAGTTAAGTGTTAGTCTGAGATCCTGCTCTGCTGCTTCCTTTTCCAACTATCCCGAAGTCTTCTTGTCCTGGGAGTTTAAAATATTCACCAAGAGGCTTTCTAACATTTCTGGGTTTTATATCTGTTTTATTTCCAGTCAGTCTTTGCCATGTACTCATACTTGTTGTATACTGTATACTGCTAGTGGGCATGCAATACATGATCCTAGGAACACAATATTCATAGACTCACAGAATAGGAGAGTTGGAAGGGGCCATGAAGGCAATCGGATCCAGCTCCCTGCTGTTGCAGGACACTAATTTACACCATCCCACTCAGATAGCTGTCCAGTTTCTTTTTGACATGCAGGGGTAAGGTTGCATCACTGGAACCACTATGGTTGGTGTTGGTTGGGGCACAGTTGGCACTTGCTGCAAAGTCTCATTCCATGCTCTGAATCAAATGTGCAGCTATTCCATCTTTTCCTCTTTAGCAGATTTTTTCTGGTTAAAAGTGGAAGAGGACTATATCTGGACCACCATAAAATACCGTGAATGGAGCAGGGCAATTGCACAATAAAAACCCCTTCAAAAAGTTGTACTTTGTACTTCAAATGTGTATCCCCATTTCTGCAAGACCTCTATTAGATCTTCCCCATCCTGTTCTTTGCTTACTAAGGATGCACAAAAGCATTCTTTTGTTGGCTCCCAACGGGTTTCAATCCTCTGTTTGTGCTCCAGGCACGGCACACAAAATTGTGGATGCTTGGCACCTTATTCCCCCTTGCCTGCCTCCAGAGGGCCCTCAAACTTACCTGTGGCAAGAAAAGGAGGAGGGGCAGCAGCAAAGGGAATAGTAGGGTGTTTGGTGAAGCATCATGTCCCTGCCAAGAAAAACACAGGAACTACATGTCACCCTGTGCCCACCAGAGAAATGGACATGATTGGCATTCTGTTCTCACAAAGCATGCTGGGACATGCTGCCCCCGTCTCTCCTTAGTGGGAATGCAATGCTCCATTGAGGAGCTGCCTCAGTTGCAAAAACATCAGAGAATGGTGTAAGCACTGAGCCAAGTCAATATCAGGATCCTACAAGGTTATTTGCAAACAAGTAACTCCGCAGATCCCTGACAGTCACCTAAGTCAATGCTTACACCTTTCCCTTCTCCTTCTCCTGCTCCAGGTACATTTGGGGGCCTTCTGGGGACAGGAGAATGGGAATTTGGAGGTCATGAAGACAGGGGCTCAACATACAGGCCAAAGGCTGACCTTGCTTCACTCTCACCCTCTTATGAGTAATCAGTGGAAGGCACTAGCTGTTACAATTGCTACTTGTAGCATCACTAGTGCAACCTTCAGTTCCTAGGTCAATAAAATTTTAAACAAATGCCAAATATGACAGCACAGAGCTTCCATGGAAATGCTCCTTTTTCTTCCTATAGACAGAATGGATCTCGGTTTACAAGCTAAACAGATATGACGTAAGAGATGTGACTGCAGACCAGACTTCCCACATTAAAAGCATACGCATTCAAATTAGCCATGAGAGGGAGGGCAGTGGCATTGGAGGATGACAAGTTTAACTTTCCCCAGCACTGCTTTTTATTTAAATCTCTTTTTCAAAGTAGACCCACTTGCAAAAAATACAGTTAGGACACAGTTCCATGCATCCTTAGGCAGCTAAAAGTCCTCCTACTCATCCAGCCAAGCTGGTTGGGGTGTGCTGGGAGTTACACAAGTTTCCTGTCTAAAGACACAGTTGATTTGCCTTTGATTTTTTTTTTTTTTTTCCTCCTGCAGGGATAGCCTAGGGAGGGGGGCAATTTAGACTGCAAAATTAGATGAGAGAATGGACTGAAAGCCTCCTTTTCCATCACCACTGCGCTGATCAAAATTAGCAACCTCTACAACTGTTTTTTAAACAAACACACATGCACACAGAGTTTGGGAGAACGGATCATAAATCACCCACTTCTCTCACTTGCTTAGGCCCTCCAAGAAACTGCCATCACTCACACTCTTCATTAAGGGGTCAGAGAGGTGGGTCGTCTCCTAGAACCTCCCTGGGCAATCCTGACTCTTCCCTTCTCTCATGAGCTATTCAGCAGCCAGAAAAGCCCAGTCGCCTAGCACAGCAAAGCAAAACAAGTGATATTCCACTTCAGCTCCTGCCATCACTGACCATTGGCTATGCTGGCAAGGGCTGATGGGGCTGCAGTTCAATCTTATCTGGATGGCTACATGTTCCCTAAGATTTCTCAACACACTCCAGAGAGCAACAGACATTAGGGGGAATTCTTAATGGGAATCCAGGACAAAATTATCTAGTAAAAGTGAGAAAGCGCCTGCATTTCTTAAGTGTACTTAGGAGAGAAACTAGTGTCCTTTGAAACTGCCACCATATTAGAACGTACAAAGTTGGATTTAGGAAGGGCTCTTTCTGTTCATAAAAGGCATCAGGAGCCAACAGAGATTCACTACTGGAAGGAGGGGCAAGGAGGCACCCCCTTTCCCTGCACACCATTGTATCACCTCTCAAGCTATTCTGGAGGGATCCCCTATTCTAGGGTGACTTTTCAGGAGGCATGGGAGATGCTGCAGAGAAAAGGAGAAATCACGATCACCTCCTTGTCCATTTCTTCCATAGTGAGCAGACTTCTGCAAACCATTATTTTGGATCAGACCCACAGCATTCAGGTTTTGGTCCCAAAAGTTACATAGAAAAACAGGCACAAGTCAATCAAAGGCAAAGAATTCGGCATTCTATGTAAACTTTATGGCAGTGATTTTGTGAAAAGC